GGGAAGGGCCAGTAGCCAGCAGGCCTATATCGTCTGCATAGCTAAACCGTAGCTTCTGATCGTCAGCTAGGATATCGGCTATATATAGCAGAAAAAGGATAGGTGATAGTGGCGAGCCTTGCGGCAGTCCGCAGGATAAAGGGAAGTCCTCTGTGGTAGTATCCTCTAACCTTACCCGGGCTGTGCGGCAAGAGGTGAAGTTGAAGATCAGTCTAATCAGACTACTAGGCCAGCCCTGCTGTCGTAGCCTAATAGTAAGTCGATTTCGTAGGACAGAATCAAACGCCCCCTTGACATCCATTGTCGCTAGAGTTGCAGTAAGCCCTGAGTCTAGAGCTCTTTCGATCTCATGGGTTAGACAGGTTGTCAGGTCGACTGCAGCCCTCCCTGGTAATGCCCCAACCTGCTGTGGGCTAGCAACTCCTTCCAGAATGGTGAGATATGCCATCCTCTTTGCTATCAGCCGCTCTAAGCCCTTGCCTAGGCAGGATAAGAGGGCTATTGGGCGCCAGGATCCAGCCTTTGAGAGGTCTGCTTTTCCCGGCTTCTGGATCATAACTACCTCTGCTTTGCGGAAGGTCCTAGGGAAGTAGCCTATCTGAACGCAGGCCTGAAAGAGCTGCTGTATAGGAACACCTATCAGGCCCCAAATGGATTGTAGTAACTTTGTAGTAATCCCATCAATCCCAGGGGTTGTAGCCTTTGTGAGAGTTGCCTGGCGTACTTCCTCAATGTTGACTATCTGCTGCCAGGGTATTAGACGCCTTGGAACTATAGGAATAGCAAATGGGTTCCCATGGAAGTCGTCTGTAGCGTCAAATCTCTCTAGTAGGGCCTTCCGTAAGGCTTGGGCTTTATCATAGCTGTTGTTAAAAGCCTGTCCATCTACCAATAGAGGTGGGGCTTTAACAGCTAGACCAGACTTACGCCAGCTAAGTATCTGATATAAGTTCTGGTTAGACCCAGCCTCCTCAATCTTAGCAGCCCAATAGGCGCGTTTTGCCTTCCTGACTGTGGTCAGAAAGGCCTTCTGCTCCTCTAGGATGGGCGGTGGTATTATTAGCCCAGGTTCTTGGGCTTGCTGACGCCTAGCCTCAATAGCTGCTTGGTGGGCCTCTGAGCACTCCTCTGTCCACCAGGGGGCTCCCCTGCCCTGGTTAGTCCGTCTCTTCCCTACAGCCTGGATAGCTGTAGAGAGGAGGCTGACTAGTTGGGTAGCTAGGGAGTCTATTTCTGCTGAAGTAGGTGTATCCCCTAAGGTAGGCAGGGCTAGGATCCCTACTTTCACTAGGTCGGCTAGCCGGAGTAGGGATGAGTCTGAGACCACAGGGTGGCTAGTCTGACACCTCAAGTCCTGGGTTTTGCTTATAGGTATGGTCGTTATAATAGCTTGGTGATCAGCCCCTGGATGTAGGTGTGGGCTGATGCAGGCCTCTGTAAAGGGGATATTTGAGAAGCTGAGGTTGAGTATATGCCCATGGGTATGGGTTGGAGCCCCAGCTACCCCAATAAAGTTAAGATTACAGCCTTCAGCCCACTCTGCAATATCGTCCCCTCGGTTCCGGCTTTGGGAGCCAGGTTCCCAGGAGGAGTGGCGAGCATTGAGATCCCCAGCAATAAGGGCTCTCTCCGGCGGTTGATAGCTTAGGAGGGTATTTGTTGTGTGGTTTGTGGGTTCACCTGGTGGTCTATAGACGTTTGCAATAGTAATGTCGCCCGCTTTGATCCATAGGATATCCCTTGATAGGGTAGGTCTTTGCTGCTGTATTTGTAACCTTAGACTTTTGTGTGTGTAGGTCATAACCCTAGGCCTTGTGTCCCTGCTGTTCCAGAAGTCAACTGGTACGTAAGAGTTATAGCCTGGGTGTGTGTTGATTTGCATCTTATCTCTATAGCCTATCCAGGGCTCCTGGATCAGTACTATATCGATCTGATCTGCCCAGCAGAGCTCTAGGAGAGCTGTATGAGCTGGGCTGATCTTCCCCACGTTACACTGGGCGACCCGTAGTACCCGTGGGGTAGCCATTTTGAGCCTACGGCTCTGAGTTGAGATCGAGGTGGGTATAGGCATTAATAACGTTGTAGTCAGGCTTCTGTATTACCCTCTGGCTTCTGCTACTGCTTGGAAGCGGGCAGATAGGGCGGTTGGTAAGGGGGAGGGCTTCAGAGTCTTCAGCCTCATCCTCATCCATACTATTGCTGCTTCCAGCTATGCTAGCAGTATCTGCAACAACAATTGAGTCTTGTGTAGGTGTGAGGGGTCGAGGGCGCTTAGATGTAGTGCCCAGCCTGGCCTCTGCTTGCTGTGTGCTGCCTAGGGAGCAGGCCTGGCTAGCTAGGAGGTCATCTGAGGCCTTGCCACCAACCTTCCGGATCCCTCGCAGTTCCTTATAGGTAGGTATAACAAGTTTTCCATTAACTAGTAGCGGTCTGGCTGGGCAGTTGGCATGGCTTGCTGGGAAGGGCCTATAGCAGTTAGCACACTTAGACCTGGCTAGGCAGATCCTATCCTCATGCGAATCTAAGGGCATACTGCAGTTCTCACAGAGGGGTTGCCGGGTGCAGTAGCGGTTTGAGTGGAAGCCCTGGCAGCCAGAGGAGTGTCGTTTAGGGACCTGTTTCCTAGGGGGGAGCAGACGAGCTGGGCCTGACTGGCCGAACAGGCGGAAGCCTTCCTTAACTCCCTGGGGGAGGGCAATAATCAGGCTTTGCGTAGCTGTGGCTAGGTCAGGGCTATCTCGGGTTGGGCGCCAGGAGAGGAGTCTTTGCTTTGTCTGTAGGAAGACCTCTTCCTCTATTTCAGATTCAATACCTATCCTACTTCCATCTAGGCTTGTGAAGTATAGGGGGCAAAAAGGGATGGAATACTGGTACCATCTTGTAGGCACTTCTACCTTCTCAGCTGTGAGACAGTTCTTAATCTCAGGGGCCCTCTGAAGGAGTAGGGCTTGTATCTCTTTGTTCTGGGGCCTCAGCGAGAAGCCAGTAGCAGTATGGCGAACCTCAACTAGGTCTTGTGGTTGTAGGTTGAGCTCTTTTGTAACTACCATTTTTACTGAGTGAGGGGCTAGGGTTCTGGAGGTAGGGATATGTTCGGCAGGAAGCCTAACCAGTAGGCGGAGATCCTGGGTCTGTTTTGGCTTGTTTGCGTAGTTGGTGGCCTGCCGGCCTGTTGTTCGGCTCGGCCGGGGGCCGGGGCCGGGGCTGGGGCCGGAGAGGGATCCACCTTTAGTGGAGCCTCCGGCGGCCAGGGCGTACGTTTTTCCGGGGCTGGTAGGGGTGGGTCCAGAAGTTTCTGTGGTTGCAAATCTGGCAAAAGAGTCGATAAGGTCCTGGGCTGTAGCCTTCAGACGTGCTGGAGCCGTCCCAATGAGGGCATCTAGGCCTTTTGCGAGGAGGTCCAGGGCCTCATCTCGGAGGGCCCGACCTTCCCGGGCTTGCTGAAGAGCGGCAGTGGCCGATTGTGGCCCTCCTCCAAGGGGCCGGATAGGGGGGGGCGTGAGGCCCCTCGGACGCGGGGGTAGGGAGGTAAGGGGGGGAGGGGTCTTCGGCAGGTTATGCATAGAGGATAGGAGGCCGTTAGGGCCCTGCGAGGCGCCCGCGGCTGGCTCTGAGGCCATCGCGGGCGAGAGTAGGTTGTAGGGGTGGATTTGGTGGTGTTAGTGGTAGGGTGACGAGCTCAGCGCGGCACTAACAGTGGGTGCCGGTGGGGTGGTGTGTAGGAGGGAAGTGCTTGAATAACGTTGTAGTCAGGCTTCTGAGCTACCCGCTGGACCCTGCTGCTTGAGGTAGCTGGGGCATGCTGGGTAGGTAGTGGTGGTAGGATAGGGTTGCTGTTAGAGATATCTACTTCAGCCTCAGTCTCATCCTCCTCTATACTACTAGAGCTTGCTGTATCGCTAACGTCTGCTATAATGATTAAGTCCTAGGTAGGGGTAGGGGCTTATGGTCGCTTAGAGCCAGGCTGAGGGCTTGTCAGGCTGTTGCTAGGTTGCTGGGTGCTGCGGGCGTGGGTGCCGGCCTGACTGCTCTGATAGAGGGCCTCATAGGCCTTCTGCCCAGCTTTATGGATCTAGGAGAGTTCCTTTCGACCTGGGAGGGTGGGGGAGCTGTTAACCACTAAGGGCCTTGCTGGGCAGTCCTTATGGTTGGCTTGGAAGGGGCTGGCGCAGTTAGCGCACTTCGGTCTGGCTATGTAGGGCTAGGTCTTATGGGGGCCTGCAGGCCTGCTGCAGTTGCTACAGAGTGGCTGTCAGTTATAGTACCAGCCAGTTTGAATGATATCCCTGGCAACCAGGGTTATATCTGATGAGGGTCTTTTTCTTCTGGATAAGCTGAGATCTGCTGCTTTGGTTGAAAAGCCTGAAGGGTAGTACTTCTGCAGAGAAGGAGATAATCTAAGAGACCTCGTTTATGATGGGGTTTATACTAAGTTGGGATTATTAGGCCTAGGTAGGCTTACATCCTATCTATGCAAAGACCTCCTCTTTAACCAGAGTGGCTAGGTTGAGGGCCTCGCTATCAAGGGACCATAGTTTAGCAGGGCAGCGTGGGATAACGTAAGTAAACCACTTAGTAGGCGTTTTAACCTTATAAGCTCCCAGGCTGTCTGCTAGTTTCTATCTGTTTGCAAGCAGGGTTTGCTGGACCTGCTTATTCAGGGGTCTTAGCGAGTAGCTAGCTGCAATATAGTAGATATGTGGGATATCTGCTAGTTAGAGGCTAAAGGCTTAGCAGACTGTACAGCGTAGGGTAAAAGGGGCATGCTTCTTAGCAGCCCCTAGGCCCTCTTCAGGGATACAGGCAAAGACCTAGAGGTCCTCCTTCAGCTGGGTTAGAGCCTAGGGCTAGGTCTGGGCCTAGGCTTGAGGCTAGGTTGGGTTTTGGGTAACGTTACAGGCTGGGGCTGGGGCTGCAGCTGGTGCTGAGGCTGCTATATCAGCCTAGTCCTAACGTAGGGCTGGGGCTGCTGCTTTATTACCTATGATTCTTTTCAAGGCTTAGATCATATAGGCTGTAGCCTCCTTTGCAATCTGCTTCCTAGGCCCCTCAAAGCAGGAGACTATATTATCCACAGACTGGGCGATAGCTATAAAGACGTCCTTCCAGGCTTCATAGTGCTTCGCTTCCTCATCCAGGGCTATAAGGATAGCTCCAGTAGCTGTTCCAGTTATCGTCGTAGGCCCCTTAGCCGTTAAGGGGGCTGTCGTAGAGGCGTCAGGCTTGCTTCCCACGAGGCTGGGCTGGAATAGCTGGGCCTCAGTACCACGGCGGCGTTTAGCCCTTGAGGTTGGGGACGGCTCCGGAGGGGCTCCAGAGCCTCGATCAGGGCCGGCCGAAGGGGCCGGCGGCGATCCAGGGCCCGCCGGAGGCTGTGAAGCCATCGCAGGAGGGCGCTGGAGGCAAGAGGTGAAGGATTTTCAGCTGTTAAGGATTTTGGTGGTATCCAACGTATTACACTAACAGTGGATGCTAAGAAAAATTGGTTTTTCGCGTGATGGAGGGCATTTTCTACATCATCCATAATGATCGTGAGGCTTGTAACCAACGACGCGAAGTCCATGCTAGATCGGCATCGGAGACCGCTGATATCGTTACACAAGTCGAGCCTGGCGATTTCCAAGTCCTCTAGAATCGTCTCGAGCTTGCTGTATACAGCCCTGGAGAGGTCCTTTTCGACTGCGGATTGCTCGACGTTGGCTTTCGCGGGCTTTAGTAGGCCCATGGTAAGAAACGTGCGGAACAAACCCTCCCCAACCGACATCTGATGCCCAGACCAATCATCGTCCCAACCGACTTTCTCGTACATATGCTGTACCAGTTCGGTAGGCTCTGACTGCTCACCGGTGAATAGGTCGAAGGATGTCGGCTCGCGACTAAGACGAACCGCGGCAAGTGCTGTTTTTGGCTCTAGTGATGTGTAATGTAACCGGCTGGGGTCCCAGTCCGCCTCTTGGTAGATCATCAGATGGGACATTTTGTTGAAGTTTACGTTCTGTCGAACGGGAAACGGGCAAGCTACCGCCCCAGCAACGGGTTCCATCACTCGTTTCGCTCTCAATCGCCTGGTTGTAGTGACATCTCCCCCCGCCCAGGTATCGAGTGCGTCCACGTATTCTTCAGCCGCCGCGTCTTTGCTTGGCCATTTCCCTTCCACATAGAGGCAGTGCCTAAAAAGGCCTCTCATAATAGTAGCCAGTGGAAGGCCCCAATCATGTTCCTTGCCTTCGTATCCGCCCGTATTATGAATCATCTGTTCGAGGTGTAACATCATTGTCGGGACGGGATAAATGTCCAAAAAGCGCATGCCAGTGCTGTAGATGATCTGGAGGGCTTCTGCAAGACCAACACCGCATAGGAATGGAGAAAGAGTCCATAGGGAGTGCGGCACTCCGAATCGGGACGGTGGGATAGGTGCACCCTCGAGCACGGAGTTGCAGCGCCAAAGACGAGATTCAAGATATTCGACGCTCCAGGAGAGGACCTCGGTAGCGGGTTCGATTATTGCGCTGCAATTATAAATGCCAATTTCTTGCCGTGTCTGTAGCTTCTTGGCAAGTCTTTTGCAAAACCTAAGGTGCGATCTGGAACAGCAACAATTATCGTGAGTATGACCGGCGTCATCCTCGGGGCGTTCATCAATGATATCGTTGATGTCTCTGAGGGCCAGGAACCCGGCGGCGGGGGCCTCAAGGATATGACCCCCGTGCTGGCACAGCGACCACCCGGATTTCACGAAAGTGGCATCCACAATGCACTGAAGTTGGAAGACGTGCCAAGGAGATATTTTCAAGCTGAGGTCTGATCCTGTCTTTTGACTGACCAGGGAGGTGACAAACGCGGCGAAGTCAGTAAGACCGAGGAGAGTGCGCCGAGAGCCGGATGGGCCTGAGGGAGACCAGTCAACATCATCCGAGAAGCACCTCTCACCCCGCTGTGACTGTTCCCAGGAGGAGTACTCATTGACCAGGTCGTAGAGCCAATTGATGGTGAACTTTCGACGCCAGAGAATCCTCTCCTCCTTGGTGGCAGTTTCAAGTGAGAGCTTTGGGTCCCACAGGCCGATCTTCGCACGCATAGCCTTTGTGGGCTTCCCGTTACGGCTTTTCTGAAAGTCTGTGCAGAAAGCCAAAAGGTCCTGGTATGTATACATCAGGAGCTGCTCCTTGACGTCAACCAAACATCCATGATGATCACGATCAGCTGCTGCCTTCTCCTCAGCAACCTTCTGCAAGCGGTTCAGGCCTCCTCGAGTAAGAGTGTCTGTAATCTTCTCGAAGTAGCAGTGTTCGGGAAAGTCGTCAAATAATTCGAGCTCCGTCTTCTTAATCTCAGCAATGGCTATGTTTGAGACTGCTCCAGCGACAGCAGTGTTCAGATTCTTGTGGATAACGTCTATCCATAAGTCTTGTACATATTGTCGTATTTGAGCCCACTCCGTTCTGAAGGATAGTAATTATTGCCATGGTGTAGCTCAGCAACGGGTCATCTTCTAGGATACGGTAACTCTCCACAGGAGCGTCCGCGCTAGAGTCCGCCTTTCTGGCAGGTTTGCGTGATTTTCCAAGCTTGGATGTCTTGCCCTTGCCCTTCTTGCCGTTTACACGGTTCTTCTTTGCTGTCTTGGACTCAGCAACTGGCTCATCTGCGTCAGATTCAGGTTCCGAAGGCGGCTCTGGCTTGGAATCGCCATGGCTGAGATCGAGGGAGGCAAATTTGTTGCTGAAGATTATGCCCTTCATCTCCTCAATTTGCTCGGCATCGGAATCGGGACGCTTTGAGGTCATTTCGTTGGCCTCCATCTGTTTCTCCCACCAGCTAACCCCACCCAAGATGGAGAAAATGTCGATGAGGGAGTCGATGAAGTGCCTGTGCATGTCGTTGCTCTTCTCAATATCTGTGTCAGACCACGTGGATGCATGCTCTACGAAGGCGTGGTAGTGGTTTCTTCTTGCTCTGACCATTGAGATCAATCGGCGAAAAGTGCTGCCAGACACTGCAGCTCCGCTGTCTGCGATCAGGCGGGCCATGGACACCAGGCCAGCCACGGTTGTCGCTCCGGAAGAACTGACTCCAGTGGGCAGCTGGGCGCTTTCGCCCGAGCGCGGCTGCGTTTTGAGGATGAGACTGGTGGTTTTGATCATCCATTCCACAAGATCTTGCGCATCTTTCTTGTATCCAATATAAGACTCGCGAGTGGCCACGGGACTCGCGCCGTGCGCCATTTCGTGGGTCGGGATAGCCATGGCCGCTGCCAACACCTTGAGTCAGATCAGTTAGAGTCACCGGACCAAGATGATAAACTGATTTGTCGTGTGAGTTGACAGGACGATGCCATCGAGTAAACCGTTTAGGGAGAATTCCTTTACAAGATTGATTTGCTGGGCCCACATGGAGGGACACGTCGATGCAAAAGCAGGCTAGGTGACATATTTTTCAGTGCCGACCCCTGTCGGAAATAATTGGAGCCGCGCATCTGTCACTGTGTGAGGGGTTGGAATTTTCTTTTCTTTTTTTTCTTTTTTTTGTCCCAGTCAAGTTAGCACTGGATGCGTTATGCGCTCTTAATTTATTAGAGGGCGCAATATCCGTGATGTACAATGACACTCTGCAACGTTGTGACCAAGCACGCCCTGATTCCGCCAGTCCAATACCGTGGCCACAAATTTGGTCAACGTCTAGTACCTGCGGTAATCATTCTCCTTTAAAGAAGTTTGTCTAGAAACTCTTGTTTGAAATAATTCAGAAATTCTTCCATCGTCTCCATGTTGTACGTCTTGAGAACTTTTCTGACTAATCTCTCCCGCGGATGCTCCACGGTCTCCCAGTACACCACACTGTAATCGAGTAAAAACTTCATCTGCATCTGACCTGCCATTGCCTTTAAGCATTCTTCGTCATTTCCTTGAAGGGCCAGGTTCAGCAGCTTTGCTTTCTTCATGAAGGCCCACGGTGCGCCCGGCAGGTAGGCTTCCTTGAACAACCTGTTGCCATGCTGTTCCAAAACTTTTTCGAAGTGACAAATCGTCGTGCCAATGAAGATGCCCATTTGCATGAAGTCCATTCCGGAAAGAGGAAACGAGCCGCAGATGTCGTTGATAAGATCTTCTTTGGCTGGGCCCAGCAAACCGGTAAGTTCCGAGTGCTCCCTGGGTGTTATGAACCACGCGTTGCTCTTGCTCTCGATCGCGGCATGGATAACGTCAAGAGTGTGTTGAGTCTTTGACATGCGTACAAGTAGCTCGCGTTTGTCGAAACCTCCCTCTACATGCCTTTGCACAAGCACGGTCCCCTCAAGTTGTGTATTGCCAGTTTCGGGGTCGATAACCTTTCTGGCCTTCTGCAATCGGTGGTACGCAAGATGTGAACCAAGAGCAATTTCAGTATCGGGGATGCGACTCGGATTCCAGTCTGCGTCAGCAAGAAGGAGTAGCAGCGACTTTCGTTTGTAGAAATTGTTCTTTTCGTGAAACCGCCGATCGACTCTGTAGACATTGCAGTCTTTCGGGGGTATGATCTTTTCCGTGCGCTGGATTCGGCAAAGTTCCATGTTATGCCTTCCGATCCGGTTCAAGAGACTCTCTGAGAACCTAGACGTGGGGACAATGCCTTTGGCAAACACAGCATCCTTGAAATGGTCGAGGAATATCTCGTATAGCGGAATCTGGACGGCCATGTACCCCTTCTGCACTAGCATGTTGTACAAATGAACCATCATCGTCAACTCGCCGACATTATCCCAGATCCACATACTAGCCAAGTATGCAAGTTGCAGAGCTTCGGCTAGGCCCTCTCCGCACAGATAGGGCGAGTATTCCCAGAAGCCGTTGGCATTAGTGGCTGCGAAGCGGGATCCTGGGCTTGCTGACTGAGTATCCGCAAGCGGAGACCTACCAAGATGCTTGCGTAGGTCCTTTTCAAGGTTAGACAACGTATGGGTCTTGAGGTAATGACGGTTATCCCAACCGTGGTCGTAGGTGTCGCAGAGGAGATAATCGACCATCAGGCGGAGACACTTAAAATATCCATACCGGTTACTGTCGGGGGTAGCAAAGAGGAACATTTGGAGGTCCCGATTTGGGCTGAAATCCTCGGCGGCCGCCGTAAGAGAGTGTGTCTCCCCGACCCCTTCAAAGGACCATCCCTTGGACTCGGTCATGGAGTCCAAGATGCACTGCAGTTGGAAAACATGGTGCGGCAGGACTTTTCTGGCGACTTCTGCTCCGGGCTTCTGCATGGCAAGAGAGGTTATGACGGCGGCAAAGTCATCCAAACCGAACAGACATCGATGATCTTCCCAAGGGCCCTTCACTTTCCAGTCGACATTTTCGAGTTTACCGTTTTTGCGGTCGCGGTGCGCTATGCCATGCTCAAAGTACGGTGCAGAGTAGACATTGACAAGATCATAGAGCCAATTGATGGTGTAAGCACGACGCCAACAAATTCTCTCCTCGTCGGTGGCGCTCAGGATATCGAATTCTGGGTTCCAAGCAAGCTGGACCTGCAGCGCTTTCGTTGGCTTCCCTGTTCGACCCGCCTTGCGGAAGTCTTCGATGAAAGACACAAGGTCTCGGTAGGCGTAGCTCATGTTCAACTCTTGAGCATCAACCGATCCTTCATCGTAACAAATTAGATTGAGGTCTCTTCCGCCGATGATATTGCGATTGACGCAGTCGATAATCGTTTCGAATGAATCTCTGCCTGGAAATTCGACGAAGATCTCCAAAGCCGTCTTTTGCACAAGGACAACTGCGATCTTGGACAGTCCGACTGCAACGGCGCTGTTCAAGTCTTCGTAAGCCACTTCATTCCAAGCCTCTCTGATCTGGCGTCTCAGATGTAACCACTGATGTCGAAGTGAAAATACTGCCATGATGTACAGAAGACAGTCATCGCCCTCTAGAAGTCGGTAGCTCTCCATAGGGACGTTCTCCAGACCAGAGTCCGAAGCTGTCCGAGGACCACCTTTGCGGTTCGACTTCTTTGATTGCTTCTTCTTGCCCTTGCGAATTTTCTTTGCGGCCTGCTGATGAGCTGGCGGGCGTGACTCGTCAGCCGAATCTTCGTCAGACTCCATGTCACCGTCGACTCTGTTGATGCTCAAAACAGAGAACCGATTGGAAAAAAGCATCTCTTCGATATCCTGTTGGCATACGTCGAAGCTTTCGGTTGCTTCAGTGTCTGGCTGAATGGTGCCACCGAATTCCTTGAGGATATCGGTGAGAGCATCGATGAAGTGCTTGTGGGAAGAGTTGCTCTTCACGAGGTCGGCATCTGGATAGGCACTGGCGAACTTCTGGAATTGTCCATAATGCAGAGATCGAGCTGAGATGACGGATCGAAGTAGGTGCACGATGCCTTGTGGTATTTTGCGCATGTGTCGGGCGATCAGTTGGCCCATCGCGACAAGTTCCGCAACCGTCGTTTGGCCAGAGGTATTGACGTTGACCCTGATCGACAAGGGCACCTCATCCTGAGAATTCGTGTATCTCTTGACAATGGAGTTGGAAGTATTGATCACCCAGTAGAGGAGGTGTCTTGTGTCGCGTTTGTAGGCAAGGTAGGAGTTTTCGGGAGGGGGCTGCCGAGCAGCAGTCTCACGTCTGATTTGAGGTGGCATCATTCGGAATCAATCTGCGCGTTGTTAACTCAGAATTCGATGGATATTTGGATGATGAGTATACTTGCAAGCGATCAACCGATGTGGGAGCAGATGCGAAGTAGTCGTGTCGAGCAAAGGCATCCGGCATGGACGGGTGGGCGAAATTTAGACGACAAAGTTTGGAAGCTTTTTGCCTGTCGCAAATGGCAATCGAAGTTTCCAAAAGGAAAAGAAAAAAAGAAGGAAAGTCCAACAGTTAAAATTTCGATTAGACCATTCTTTCCAAGCTGGTCCCGTTTGCATTCAGGTTGACGAGGGTGGCTGCAGTAACCCGAGCAAACACCGAGTAGGTATCGAGACAAAAACACAAGGATAGATGGGCGCAGAACATGAGCTGTCGATGGCCTGCTTTGTTTACTGAACGTTAGCTGAGTCATTGCTGTGCATTTTTTAAAGGTGTGAATGAACCCGAAGAACAACTTTCGCTACTATTGAAAGAGAGCATATGGCAAATTCGACGAAGGGTATCTAGCACAGCGGAGAACATCAAAAGTAATGTGCAGATATGGATTGACTATGACTGTCCCAAAACCAAATATAAACTCATTCACAAGACATATGAGAAATTGTCCTCAAAACCTGAAACCCACAGCCTCCTTATTTCTAGCTTGCATCGCAATCCGCATTCCAAGAAGCCATTGCATGAAGCGAGTCGGCAGTAAATATTGATCAAGAAGCATCAAGCCCACATTTGCCCATGTAGCCATGGCTGTGGCGCCACTTGACTGCTGACAGCCGGCTTTCACATCCTCATAACGTTCCTGCTGGTACATTGCGAAAGCTTGGGAGAGCGATTTAGTATCCCATGCGCTTCCTCCTTCGCGATGGGCCTTTGAGAGAGTGTGGAGATGGTTCACCAAGACGACAGTGTCTATCATTCCAAAGTTGACACCGGATCCCGTACTGGGCGTGAACTTGTGGGCTGCGTCTCCGACGAGGACGATCCGGCCGTTCCAGCTCCAGTGTTGGAGAACACCCTCTTCCAGGTCAACTAATCCGGACCCCAGGCGCGCTTCGTACGCGTCTTTCAGACAGACGGGAGTATCGCTTCCGGTTCTCTCCAGAAGTGGCAAATGCCCATACTCCTCGACGAGAGCTGCTTCATCCTTCTCGCTATAGCGCGTCGATGTGCGCGTGGGTCGGGGCAGTTTCCTGTAAATGCCGGCCGTTGCTGTCTTCTCACCCACGAAGAGCTGAGTCGCGATTCCAGACCCGTGAGTCTCGGTTGCTGAGCCTGGCTTGCAGCTTGGCAGTCTTTCGGTCGGAAAGCGGATCCACAGCGCCTGATAGGTTGTGGTGAACGGGTTCACTTCATTGACGCTGAGAACTCCTGCATCGCGTGCTAAGTTTCGCATATGTGTTCGAACTGTGCTGTAAGCACCATCGGCTCCGATGATGAACTTTCCGAAATATTTTGTGCCATCAGCACAAGAGACTGTGACGCTGTCTGGCGAGTTGCGGATGCCAGTGACGGTTTTGCTGGTGAAGATCCGACTCTGAGCATCCTCTGGTACGGCTTCGTACAGCGTGTTTAGCAGGTTCTTCCGGCTCAGAACATAAGGGTAATGCCCTGTACTGCAAAGATGCGCGTCATCACTAAGCTAGGCTTTGGCAAAATCTCTGCTTCATTGCAACATACCTTTCTCGTAGGCATTGAAACACGCGGAATTCACCAATGCCTCGCCCGTTATGATCAATTCGTGAAATTCCTGAGACTGGGTTCCAAACCCTCGATAACGGGTCGGAAAGATTCATCTGATCGATAACGCGCATGGTCATTGGCAGGATGGTCATGTCAGACCCCTCTTCAACGACAACTTCCTTTCGTCGCTCCAGGAGGATGAAGTCAATGCTTGCCCGTGTGAGAGCCAATGCTGCAGTAAGGCCAACCGGGCCACCGCCGACAATAATAGCTGTAGTTCTCAGATGATCCATGTTTCTGCCCTGGATTCAGTGAGAGTAAAGATGTGTCGTTGGAACAGATTAGTTGTGAACAGGCGTGAGTAAATAGTAAGGTTGATTGACTGCAGACCGAATGATCGAACAGACGGACCAGCGAAGGGATTGCTTTCTTATACACATCATAACACTAATGGATTTAGGACCAAACGAGTAGGGCTCATCATTATCCAAGGGCTCTTCAGACTTGTCGATGCACTCATTCATCGGGTTCGGGTTTGCGTTTGGTGGGGCAGCGCCCTTTGCGTCCCGAGAGCCGATCGAAGGAGCTAAGGACCCGAACCCGAGAACGCCACCTTTTTGAGAACAAGGCAGGGATTGTGCATCTCACGTGAGCCACTGGTTCTGTGTAATGATCCGCGAGGTCACTTTAACTCTTCGGCTTGGGAGCGGCTGAAAGGCAAGATATTCGCGAATCATTATTCAGAAGTAGTTCTTAATGATTATGACCCTATCGATTTACAGCGCCTAGCAATATAGAACATAGATCTGAGTGATCATCTACTTGCATTGCTGATAACGGAATGTTCAGGAACGACTGCCACTCAGGACCAAGTTCATGGCAGATGGCCTTTAGGGACTGTTGACCGAAGCCTGCTAGCCACCACACACCCTGCAGTAGTTTCAGGAAACAGGCATAGTGTGCAATTATCACGAGAGCCCTCGGTCTCCTAGCCCTCGCCAGGTCAACGATACCATTTACCGCTCCGGTGCCCCAGGTGATGATGCGCAGAAGCATGACAGAGTCAATACCCCAGCCCAGGCTGTCTAACAGACAACCCAATGCCCTCAGGCCGTTCTGATATGCTTGGAGTTCGGCGAAGTCAGGATCGTCTCGTTCTACAAATGATATCATGAGGAGTAAGTCCTTCGGAATTGCGGCGGTAGATGCAGTTAGATCCATGGGCGGTCGGGAAAATAAGGGTGCCATGCCAGTCGTTTTGATAGATGACGCGCTGGTGATGTTGATGATCGATTCCACACCTCGCCATAGAAGCATCCAGTCAAGAATGTGGAGATGATTGGACGATACTTCCCCAAACGACTGTGTCGAAAGAATGGGTCGCAGTACGGAGTTGGCCAAAAGAGCACCATACGTGCTTGGCTGTGCGGCTTCAATGGCCCTGCGATACCCTTCAACGGACCTTGCCTGATACACGAGGGCACGGGTTGGCTCGGTTGCCTGTCCTAGGCTCTGCATATGAAGGCTCGCGAGCTCGAGAATCGAGTTCATAAGAAAGGGCGCCTCGAAGGCATGCTCAACTAGAACTGTCTGTAGCATGTCGTTTATCGGACGCTGCGTATCGTCCACGTAAGACAGAGACTTGCATGTGGAGGAGGTGTAGAACCACAGCAGTCTCATGTCCACAGCATCGGTAGTTGGAAGACAGATCAAAGGTTCATGGACTATCCTCGGTTTCATTGCGATACGTTCCGACAAGGTGATTGACGTTGCCGGGTAATCTTGAGAAGGCGAAGATGCTGGAGACTTCCTCGAAGCCACAGGTGCGTATTCGCATTTTGCCCGACGTATCCTACAGGAGCGACAGGCTGGGCGGGTCTCATCGCATTTGACCTTGCGCAGCTTGCAGTTGGTACAGCCGAGGCGAGACTTCTTATGCGAGCGCTTCGGAGGAAGATTCATATCGGCTCTTTGTTCGGTAGGATCTGGCATGGTGGATGTCCCCGGGCAGGGACCCAGCTCTACGCATTCAGATAGAACCGAAAACGTGTCTTCGATCATGATGCGACGTTTGTTCTCGCTGGTAGGGACTGACAGGGATTGGAAGCCAGTTCATGCAAATGGGTGTTGAGGGAAGATGTACCGTGCGATATCCGAGGCGACTTGTATGCGATGACCGCAGCGATGCGAGCTCTCTTAGCTTATGGTCGATGAGGCTGAAATGTGTGAAGTGGAATATCGCAGATGGATCATTAGCGTCATGGAGGAAAACAGTCTTGGTAGCATCGCGCTAAAACTCGGGTTCGGGTTTTGTGCATGTTACCCATGTTGCGTCCGAACGATTTACAAGCCACGTGAGAAGCGACTTCCGTCGAATCGGAGGGTCTTATTTCAGCCCGAGGGACAATGACGCTAACCTCCCGTCGTATTGAAGAGTCCTTGCGATTGGTCCTGATACTAAAAGTCCCTAACCAGCCGTGTTCCGCCTCTTGAAATGGCTAGGGCTTACTCTTGCATTCCATCACAGTGATCAGTGGCTTTTGACTGAGGCACGCTCTTCTAAGCATTTACAACAGTGATCTGCCGATGCAGTTGAACTCCTTACTTATAAAGGATGAGGGGGCTTCCCTTAGGTTTTGCCTCTGAGGCAGATCCAGCCACATCTTCTCGATACGCGTCACACCTCACCTGTGAAACTGAGACATACCTCATCTGCCACCATGGTGAATTTGGATACCGTCCACGCCATCAATCGCGAGTTGGTACAAAGCCAGAAGCTCGTCGCCGTCTTCACAGGCGGCACTGGAGGCATCGGGCCTCTTAGCCTGAAGGCGCTAGCCACCGCCGTCGCGAAACACAATGGGCAGGGTCTGAGAGCCTACCTCGTTGGCCGTAACGCTGATGCCGCGCAGAAGATCATAAGAGAATGTCGCGCCATTTGTGAGGCAGGCGAATATCACTACATTAAAGTCGAGGATTTATCACTCGTTGAACAAGTAGACAAGGCCTGCGCGGATATCATCTCCTCTGAAGAGCGCAATGCGTCAGCCACAGGCGAGACTGCGAGGATCGACTTCCTCTTGCTATCTCATGGAGGGACCATATTTCTGCCAAGACAAGGTACGATCCACCACGAATACCGCCGTTTATGATACGATTTAGTTAGGCTGACCTTCATTGCGTGTTTTCACTCTCAGACACTAAGGAGGGTCTAGACGGGACCATGGCCCGCTTCTACTACAGCCGCATCGCATTCATCACGTCGCTCATGCCTCTGGTCCTAAAGTCGTCGCATCCAGCCGCCGTTGTATCTATCTACGCCGCAGGCATGGAAGGCAAGCTCTACCCCGATGACCTTTCACTGCGCGACCTGTCTCACTACAACTATTCGCAAGCGCGATCACACGCTTGCTACATGCACACTCTCGTTTTCGAGGAGTTGGCAAAGAGGCACCAGGGCAAGCTACGCTTTACCCATATCTATCCCGGGCTCGTTGTCCACGAGGGCATGGGTAACCCAACCAATCCCTGGTGGATACGCATCCTATTCACTAAGGTCCTGCCATTTCTCGGCGTGGACGTGGACCTAGAAGAGTCAGGGGCTCGGATGGTGTCGTTGGCATCGCCATCTTACTACCCGGCTCAACGTCTTGACAGCATTGACGAGGTCAGCAGTTCTGCCATTGCTGGAACCGATGGACAACCTGGAAGTGGCTCGTATATGTTGACTTGGAATGGTGAGAGCTGTTATGCTGTGAAGAAATATGCTTCGGTGGACAAGGACGCGCTAAGGCAGAAGCTGTGGGATCATAGCAACGCCGTGCTGGAAGTTATCCGCGCTGGTAAGGTTTTCACGGAGTGAGGACATTCTAAAACATGTCCATGAGAAGTATGTACCTTCTGTAGATCAGTGACGGGGCAGGAGCCTAGGATGAGATGGAGGCTATGAACAAGGTTGCGGTATGTATTGTTTCTACATGAATGCTAGTACACTGCATTGAGTTTCCAACCAACTGCTAGCACTCTGGCTGCAATGTAACAGGCGAGGGATGCAACATATGAAACCCCGGAAAACAAGATCAATGTTGTCCATGCCGTCTCTTGGTTTTTGATTCCCAGCAGCAACCCACCAAGGGGAATGCCAAGAAGAGTTCCGAAGCTGGCGGACAGCATCGCTGTAGATAGGAACCGCCCGTAATCTCGAGAATCGCAGAGCTGTCCGATGCAAGCCGGAATGAGGCTCACGTTGCCTCCACTAGCGAAACCGAATATGAAGGTGAATACAAGCAGCGCTGGCCATGAGCTACCCGCCGGTAGCCAGATAGCGAAGACCGATATCGTGCACAGACCGACGGTGAGGACGATGGTGTTGAAACGTCCAATTTGATCGGCGACGAACCCAGGTAATGCTCTCCCAATGATACTACCTACGTTGATCAAAATGGGCAGTAAATAGTTTGAGCTTGCATCGCGCCCTTTACTCATGGAAAAAGAGATGATATACGTGAGCGGAATCAGAACCCCGTACTCCATGAAGAAGACACCCCCACAGCAAAAGGCGAACTTTGGGTCTTTGAAAAGCCGTATATCCGGCCAGATGGAATCGAACTTTTCGCTTGGTGGAAGACGTGTTCTCATCAAGAGATTTGTTGGTACTGCGAAGATGAGGTAAATCAGGCCAAGTAAGCGCATGCTCCATGCGAAACCGAATCTCGGCAGAGCAGCTTGTAATACAAAGGGGAATACGACGCCCCCGAATGAACCACCGGTTGCTGCGAGACCCATCGCAAGGCCTCTCCTGGTATTGAACCAGTGCCCAATGATGGCGAACGACGGGGTATTGAGAAGAGATGCACCAAGGCCGGCTATGATGGAGAAAGTCAGGATGATCTGGTAATATTCTAACGGGAATCAGTCAGTTATCATTGGATAGCGATTAGGATGCTCTTACCTGTGCAGAGGCTAAGAATCTTTAGACTGGCAATCATTACCAGACTCCCCGCAGCAACCAACCCTCGATGGCCATACCTGTCAAAGGCTGGCCCGGCTAGAATTCCAAACAAGAACAAAACAAAGAGATATATTGAGAATATCCACCCTAACTGAGAAGGGCTGTATTCACTCAATTGGTTCTCGGAGAAATAGGATTCAAACACGGCTGCAGTATTGGGCAATCCGAACACAGACACCATGGCGCAGAAAGAACCCAGAACCACGCACCAGCCCTGCAATCCTCCTTCAGTATATGTAAGCGGTTCCTCAAGATCTTCTTGTGGCAGGCTTGGGTTCGTGTCTTCCCTAGAGGCCGGCACCGCTTCGTTCTTCATTTTGGCATCTTCGACACCTTTTCCGGATTCATCGCGGATGGAGGTTGATTGCGATGTAGTTGACTCTTGCAAGGCGATCTCCGATGTCATGTTGAAACCACTTGAAGCTGGTTTTCTGAAATGACGATTCGTTTAAAAAAAAAAAAAAGAGAGAGTCTTTCGATGCAAAGAAGTAACTAAAATCACGGCCACGACATGTGATCACCATTTGAGTCGTAAATGATAATCTGGGGCCTGATGTCGATTGTCCGTGTCTTGAGACTTCACCGCATTGTTCTCGATGCCCGATGTTTTGAAATACTAAATGAGAGACGGCATTCATCATGAGCGCGGCAGAGAGGATGATCGGGATTCCAAATGTCCGGCTGGTTCTTTTTCCTTTTCGGGTCAAATTATTGTACCCCACTTTCGCGGAGTCTCCGCCAACTGAGGTGGTGACACATGCCTTGAAGCTAAAATATTCCGCGGTTCGGAGCCCCGAGCAAAGCCCGTACACATCAAGACTTCTGATTCGATTCGATGCATTGTGACTTCGGTTCATTCTCATTCGCCGTTTTTTCCCTCTGCTTTGTGCGAGGTTGAGAGGGGTTTAAATGGACTAGGGTTGGGTTGTAGCGGGATGACAGTTAACGGTTACAGTTAGTGTCCGCTGCGTGTTGAGCCACACCAAGGTGGGCTGCTTAATTTCTCCAAAAGTGGAAATATACTGAACCTTTTGATTATAAATACTGCGAGAACCTGACGTAGAAGCAAGATTAATCGGCTGCGCAAGTACTGTCTCTGTGTCGATTGAATGTTTGGATCTTACTTTTGTTTTCTACCCTATTCTATGGTTTGGGTCTTACCTCTACCTACTAGGTACCTATTCCACATCGGGCAGTAGTACCAACTCAAGGTCACACACCGATTCAGTAGCAGCAGAAGTGCCCACTAAGCATCAACGGAATATGAATCGCGGGGTCGTAGCGCCTGCGTTATGGCAAATTCCTATACATGCAGCCAACTTCTTCGAGTGCCGGTATTTCAATTGATGATATCCCGAGTTCGTTTCACGAATTGACGCACACGAAACCAACACACATCATGACTATCATTGCAGTTGCTGGTGGCAGAGGACCAGTTGGGCGAACCATCGTCGACGGTCTGGTTCAACACGGCGGACACAAAGTGTTTGTGCTTTCAAGAGCGGTAAGCAAAAGAAGCGTATTTGACTGTGTCGTAAGCACACACGCCAATATTTCTCACAGACTCGTCCGCCCCAAGATGGAGTCGAATACCTCGCGGTCAATTACCCGGACATTGAGGGAACCGCCAAGATTTTGGAGACCAACAAAATCGACGCAGTCATTAGCGCTATGGGTGTAGTCACAGCAGAGATCAGCGTATCCCAGGTTCAGCTGGTTAAAGCCGCTGACAGATCAAGCACGACCAAGCGGTTCGTAGTCAGTGCTTATGACATGCTGCACAAGCGAGAGTACGTGGCCAAGCATCTGGATGGTAATACGTGCATGAATGCTGAGACTTGACAGGCATATTGAGAACAGCCCTCTTGCCAAGTTCGTCTTTGAGGCAATTGATGAGCTGGATCGCACCAATCTGGAGTACACTCGGGTAGTCAACGGCTTCTTCTTGGACTACTTCGGCATGCCGCACTGGAAGACGTACATGCACCCTTGGGTCAACATGGTGAATGTGGAGAAGAAGTGGGCTGTCATTCCCGGAGACGGCTCGGCAAAGGTCAACTTCATCGCCTCGCAGGACATGGCCAAGTTCATCGCTCGCCTGATGGACCTTGACAAGTGGGATAAAATCAGCAGCATCATCGCGGAGACGCGGTTGATATCCGAGATTCTTGAGATTTCCGAGAAAGCGCGAGGTATGTCCGCTTCTACGAACCGTCTGAGCGCCTAGCAGTACTGATTAACAACTAGGGGCGAAATTTCGTGTCGCTTATGATGAGCTTGAGAAATTGAAGTCGGGCAAAATCTCGTTCATTTCAGACTTCCCGGACATAGGCCTGGGCGAAGAGGAGTCGGAAAAGTTGTTCGCAATTTTACACTACCATGCGGGGACTGAGCAATTTCTCGTACCGAAGGAAAACAACATCAAGCCCAAGTTTCCGGACATCGTTACCAAGACGGCAGAGGAAGTCATTGAGGGATCATGGAAGGGCAAATGATAGTAGCGGACATGTCAACATTACATAGCAATTCCAGTTTTCAGTATTCACACTTTGACGGGAATTTCACTTGGAAAGCAAAGCCAAGGAATCGAAGGACATTTCATGAGTCAGCATAAGATTCTGAGAAATATAAAAGTGACCATAATTAACCATTCTAAACATTTGATCTCGCATGACAAAGTTCTGGCAGACTAGATCCTCCCTTCATTGTCAGGTTCCCTAACGTAACGCAAATAAATCCCTTGCTCTACGCTAAAACCTGCTGGTTTCACCGACGAATTTGCTCAACCTTTCATGCTTTCAGTAAAACAAGACACGTTTTCAATTGCGACAACTCTTTTTGACTTAGCTAGCTTCTCGGTCTATTCGAGCCATTGTGCTTGTCCTGCACTGAGCATATTTTAACTGGCAAACCCAACGCAGGATAGAACCAAGACCGGCATGTTAATGCTAAACATGAGATTCTGCTTTAGGTGCCCTACATGAGCAGAGTCACCCGACGTAATGTGTGTAAACCGGGCTACCTTGTTGTATATAAAGCAGCATACCTCCGGTCGGCGCATGCATCACCAACTGCCTTTTACTGATCGCAGCACCGTATAAAGACATCTGCGTGACATCTCCCCATATCGGTTTCGTCATACAATGTGCCAAGACGTTTTCTATACATACGGCTGCGGTCATCGGATACGCAATACTCCGACTGTAATTCGCTGCGAAAAGTGCGTTAAGTCTGGCTTCGATTGTTAGTATCGATCAACAGGCAAAGACGAGAACTTACCAGGCGGCGCAGGGCTATGCCGCGACTGCCTGCAAAAGTGGGAGCAAGAATCCCCAGGTGCCGTTGTAGACGTCGCCAAATCACCAGTTGAATCGATAAACGGGTTTTGGAAGAGGACTGTAATGAGCTTGGGTGATCTTGCAAAAGGTTTCATAAGGACCATTTCCAAAGCAACAGCGGGCATGAGAACTGACAGGGAGGAGGAAGAAAGTCTCTGAAGTACAAAACTCAATCTTCACAACAGTCAATGCTTCAAAAGTGCCAAAGTTCAAGGTAAAGCAAAGCAGTATCTATTCTGGCTTCACGATGATTAAAAGCTTCAGCCACCACGGCTATCTCAATGGCAGAATCGAATTACTTATCACCATTTAATCCAATCTATCTCTATATTTTACGCATCTAACCCCAGCAGCTCTTGGGCCTCTATCACAGTCGGGCCCTGACCTTTTGGCCCTCAAGCTCATCTTCCGCCTTCTTTCGAGAGTCTTGCCAAGACTTGGTTTTAGCCGTTCCCATCGTAGCCCAAATATCCAACAAGTTGTCGTCAAATGGCGGCAACACACGGCCAGTTGTGCCTGGTTCAGGATCGCCTGCAACTGATCTGAAGTACTCAAAGACTGTCTTGTAGTCCGGCGCGATGGTGTAGTACGCCTTGCCACCTCCGAGCTCGGCAACCCGCTTCCTCTCCCATTCTTTCTGCTCTTCCTTCGATGGCAACGGGTTTCCTCTACCAGCAAGAAGTCGAGCGACAGCGACAGCTTGCCATTCGAAAAGTCTGAACGTAAAGCCTCCACCACACTGCTTGACGTTAGCAACCAAGTCATGCGGGAGTAAAGAACACCACTTACCATTCCAAGGAAAGCGAGGGTTGGGTCCTCGATATCCCACGTGTGGTAGTAAACACCCGGCAAGCGGCGGTCAGCTTGTACCACTCTCTCCTGCACTTTAGGCAGAAACGGGAAGCTGAATGTGTAGCCGGTGCCAAAGATGACATGATCGACATCCTCTGCTTTGGTGCCATCTTCAAACGTAATGGTCCCTGTCTTGGAGCAGAAGTGGACGAGTTGCTTTTGAATCGAAATGTGAGGATGTGTGAAAGGTTCCCAGCCGAAGTGGGGAATTGGATCGCCTCGAAGAGAAGCGTAGACTGGGTACTGCGCGACCGGAAGGACTTCGTGGAGAAGCTCGTGTGATGAAACGGATCCTCCAACAACGATGACTTTCTAGAATCTTGTGAGTAAAACAGCTCCCTACAGTGCAGTGGGGTGAGTGAGGTACCTTGCCCTTGTATTTATCAGAGCCCCTGAAGTGCTTGCTGTGCACAAGCCTTCCCGGGAACCTCTCATCGTACTCGGCGATTCCCTTGATGTCGGGTATCCAGGGAATATTGTAGTGACCAGTCGCAACTACAACGGCATCAAATCTCTCATGCCACCATTGGTCCTTTCCTGGAAGCTCTTTCCGCAGGGTGAGAACCCACTCATCGCCCTTCTTCTCCGCAAGTTCGACTGTGGTACTAAGTTCGAGCAGCTTCTCATGACCATTTCGCACAAAGATGTCTTCAACCCAGTCCCTGATTTGACCGCGACCCCGAAACGGAGCATCATCGCCGTACTTCTCTCGGATGCGATCAGTCAACGTCTCGGGGAAAGGCTCCGTAGTGAAACTCATGATCTCGGGTGTGATGTTTGTATGCAGATGCTCATGCTGTGCTGTGTCTGAGAAGCGGATTTGGTGACTGTTGACGGCTTCTGACTTTTCGGTCTGCGCTGGAAGCTGCGTGGGGATGGGGACGGGGACGTCAGCGTTTCCATCGAGGAGCTTGCGCAGGGATGGGATTGCTGCTGGTAGATGAGGGGTGTAGATCCTATGTTGTGTGAGTTAGACTTCCCATCCTGGGCTTGAAGTTCGTTCGTGGATTTGAGTTACCATGTGCCGCCCGGAACGGCCCGCCGATCAAAAACTCTGACGGTGTCAAAAGCTTGTTCCTTGACCAAGGCGTCGGTTGCGATGGCACCGCTCGGTCCGGCGCCAATCACAGCCACCCGGCGAATCTTCCCAGCCATGATGATCGACCTTGGTCCTTATTGAGTGATGTTGTTTTGCTTGACGCCACTTACACCTTCTCATGAGAGAGTGAAAGTTTGAAATGCCAGGGAAACTGGCTGAAAGCCTATTCGCAGTTCAATCGACACCTCTTAAAGTCGCTGAAGAGCTCAGCGCACAATCGTGCGCGCTTATCTAACCCAATGGTCTGTTGGTTGATGGCGTCACGGGTGGTAGAATTGCGTCTTCACGGAACACGAGCACGTCAGGTGGGTCGGAAGACTCCCCGTTTCCCCAACGGGAGCAACCCCATGTCGCGGAAGAGTGAACGCATTTTGACATCAAATCGGGTGTGAGCTTTTATGAAAAGTCTCCCCATTCCACGTAGAATCCTTCCGGGGGCTCGCCGTTGCGGCCGTCGGCGCCGATGTCGCCATTCCGGTGGGTTCCCGGATGCCCCGGTCAGCAAATTGCGTGCGCAGCTCACTATCGGCCCCCAGTAAAAAGGATTGTGCGAGCCTTAATGAAGCACTTCAGTTCAATTCACACGCAAGGACGAGACAGTTCCGATTGATATGAGTGCCCTACACTTAACTCGGCTTTGAGAGTCGCCGGACCATTCTAGGGTTTGTCGGATATCAATCCTTGAGCACAACCGCGACCTTCTCTCCGTCCTTACCCTCCACAGTCTCCACTTCACACTTGTAATCCTTGAACTTCCTCGCTGGTAAGCCCTTCTGGAACATGTCTTCCAGCTCAAGGTAGCTGCGGCCCTTCATCTCAGGGAAGCAGAAAAACAGGTAGACAGAGCAGATCAAAGACGGGGCAAAGAATACGAAGGCTACCTTTCCTCCCAGGTTTGCGTTGCTTGGATTAATCAGAAACGGAATAAGCTGGGTAACAAGACAACCTGCTGAGGTGTTGCTCATGATCGTGATTGAGTAGGTCTTTTGACGCAGGCGCGGTGACGGTGTTTCGCCGCCCACGGCAAAAGCGACCGCGCCGATGGATAGTTGATACTGAGAAGCAGAATAAGATGTCAGGTGCCATTCGCGTCCGGGATGTGGAGGAGAAGACTTACCAGGAAACCCCAAAGAGCCATGAAGGCCACGACTGCAGCAAGCGCCTGCTGGTTGTTCTCAATCACGCTTAAACCTCCGATCAGCAGCAAGAGCGCAGACATCGAGATGATGCCCCAGACGATGAGAGGACGTCGGCCGGTGCGTTCCACGAGAAACCAGGAGCAGATGTTTCCGAGGAGCTGGATGCTGTAGCAGACCTGGGCGATGCCGATTGGGTTGCCTACGCCGGCAATTGTGAAGAAGTAATTATGTTTACCAATCAGTACTGCGTTTCAAGAAAGAAAAAGAAAGGAACTTACGGGAGGTAAGATGCCACAAAGTTACTGCCCGCGAGTTGTTGCGCAAGATAAACGACAACCACGATGGTGGTTCGGCGAAGGTTGGGACCCTTGAAACACTCGAGATAAGAGGCACCTCTGTTGTTGAGCTCCTTCTCCTTCTCGAGTGTAGTTTCCATAATGGCTAGGGTCTCCTCGACATTGTGCTTCGGACCATTGAACTTCCGCAATGCCTTGGTGGCTTCTTCCCTCCTGCCCTTCATCAAAAGCCAGGTGGGAGACTCTGGCAGCAAAAGACCACCCAAAACGAGGACCAAAACGGGTGGCACCAACTGAGTGAAAACAGGCAGCCTCCATCCCCAGTCACTTTCGATGAAAGAACCACCATATCCGACCAAGGCGCAAGACCATTGTCCAAGGACAATCATCGTGTTGATCAGGATGAGACACACACCTCTCAGAGAGTCTGGGGCGATCTCTGCGACGTAGACCGGTCCGAGGGTGTGGCCCAGTCCGTAGCCAACAGTGCTGATGAGCTTTCCGCCAAAGAGCATCATGATTGAGTTCGAGAAGCCCTGTACCATAATTCCGGCGATGCAGAGACCGCATCCGAGGAGTACGACGAGACGGCGGCCGATGATGTCCGAGATGAAACCGGTCGTGTACGCCGCGACGAAGACGCCGATCGTGGTTGAAGCGTTGAGGATCTGCTGATCATGGGTGCTGATTTCTTTCCCACCGGTGGCTGTCGTTACTCCGAATTTGTTCAGGAAGGAGGGTATGGCGAGAATGTTTCCGACCAAGGCGAGCTCGTAGCCAAAGTTGATTGGCAAGATGAAGATTAGGAGGCCTGTTCGTGGAGTTGTGAGTGATTCGAAATCGTAGGAAATAAATGCCGGCATGATCAAGGGTCAGACTTACACCATGATAGAACTCTCTTGTTTTTGGAGAGCTCTGCAAAGCCGGAGGTCGGCTTCTCCGTCGTGGTTGACATCGTGGTTGATCCTGTCGCGCTACTGCTGATGTGTAACACATGGAACAGTGAGAGTAAGGCAAGCAACTTCTGGTTGCTCCATCATGCAAGAGAATGAAGGCCCTCCGCAACGTACTTATAATTTACGTGGTCCAGATTTAGTCTGTACACAATGCTCCCCAACTTCTTAAGCCGTCAAACCACATGTTTCCCCATGGGCAGACTCTGAAAGCCCCCACATCGCATGCTGCGATCCCCGCAAACCCACCGAATTGACTCACGTCATTGGCCGACTATATTTCTCCGCGGAGGATTGTCGATATCCCGTCGTTTCTGTCCGAGTCAGCTGCCCCTTAAAATACTTCCTTCAGCACACTTGCTCGGCGATTCGGAGAATTGGATTGACAATACACTACAACCCGAATATTCAGGTCAATTCAGATGACGAAACGAGCATGCGATGGGTGCAGACGGCGCAAGGTCAAGGTGAGTGGCTAGACTTGTTGTTTTTTTATGCGTTGCTGATTGGCATAGTGCGATGAGAAGGAGCCCCGGTGCTCAAATTGCTCCGTGTCTTCTTTGGCATGCGAGTACACCGTCCCGGCAAAGAAAAGAGGCCCTCCATTCAAGATAAACAAAGACGCGAATGAGCGCCGAGCCCGAACTAGGAATGCTGTTCAGCAGACAATGGCCGAAGGCGTCTCGCCAGACATTATCGACAGTTCATCTGGCAACAACGCCGAAACAGAGGCTGTCTGCCTGAGTACGCCCAGCTCTCCAGCCGAGATCAGAATCAGCCCCTTCCGCGAGGCGCAAGACGAGCTTCTCTCGGCGCTCGGAAGGGCGCTGCCATATGCGCCGTTGGAGCACGTTCTCTCCACCTGCATCGACCTCTACATGCAATGGGAGTTTCCCACAGGTCCGGTGATCTGCGAGCCAATAGTGCGTCAAGCCGTCCCCATCGTCGTCCCAATTCTCCGGGGCGAAACGGCGATTCCCAGCAGCTCGGTTGCCGGGCCCTCCACTTCGGACGTATCGACAATCCGTGCATTTGCTCTGTTGACAGGCATATGCGCGTTCGTCTCATCCAGTTTGCCAAGCGACTTCTTCGCGCCAGGCAGCGCACTGGCATGGCCTTTCCTCAGAACGTCACGCGAGGCTCTTCGATTGTATCAAGATTACGACGTTGAGCATCCAGAAAGCAGCTCGGTGATTATCCGGTACTTCCATTCGAACGCGCTTCACGCGCTGGGAAAGACAAGGGTTTCGTGGCACGTGATGGGCGAAGCTTTGCGTCTTGTCCAGGAGATGCGCCTGTATGATGAGACGAGTTTTGGAGGACTCGAGGGGCCTGAGGCCCAGCTGAGGAGGAATGCGTTCTGGCACCTTTACATTGGTGACAAGTCTGCCTCTATCCTGCAGAAGGTGCCAATTTCTCTACATCAAATGTGTCTGGATACGCCCATCACGACAATCTTCGACGAGAACATGGCATGCGGACTAATGGACTCGGCGCATGATTCAAGTAACGTCGCCTTTGAAGACCAACTACGCGTAGGCTTTTATCTCTGTTTCCGCCTCTGGTACACAGCGTCAGAAATGCTCATCGACCTGAACCTCCTGACTCGGCTCCAAAACAGGAGCAGCTCCGCCGCCACAACCTCCCCAGATACCTCGACTCTGAGAAGCAGCATCATGCAGTCATACTTCGACTTCACGAGCATCCTGCACAATTGTCCGCTTTGGATAAGAGACCCTTCTTCCAGTACAGATACGTCCACGAACGAAGCTACGGCTCGGTTCCGGACTCGATCATTTGCCACACAGAAGGCAAATCTCTTCGTCACGCTACAAGCATTGCGTCTCGTGCTCCTCTGCCGATTCGCCGATCGTGGGTTCGCAGACATTTTGGGGCTTACTAACGATCCCACGATGTTGTCTCTCCGGAAGGTGGAGATTGCAAGTGACTTGATAGACATTGTCACCGAACTGCCATTCGAAGCCCTCCAAGCCAACGGAGAGCCATGCGTAAGTCTTTTTCCATGGTTCATTTGAATCTGCACTCCAGCTGACACTCCACCAGGTCGAGAAGCTCCGTCAAGTCGGCGTGGCCCTCCTAGAGATAATCCACAGCGTGACCAACGACGCAATCTCCGCCCGCGCCAAGTCCCTGTTTGGCACGCTTCTAGACGTACTCGCGCGACTCAATTCCAGAGTCTCGGATGAGCTGAGCAATGACCGCTAGTAATGGCCAGGTACTCTTCAGGAAGCCTGGACTTGTCTTTCTCCGCGCCAAGTGGGCTTTGCTCCAACATCGGAAGTGGGCTGTTGGCGCGCATAATCCTCCGCGGAGAATTGGGCCCGCAACCCCCCATCTGGCCGTATCCACTACATGACGCGCGGGGTGGTATAAGGTAGAGGTGCCGACGAGCGAGCGGCAGAGGCAAGATGGTTAAGGCAATGGCCTGATCTAGGAAACCTCGCAGCCGGAAGACATATCCCGCGATGGCAGAGACGAAAACCTTCCGCAGCCCCATCATCCCCGGCTTCGCGCCCGACCCGTCTGTGGTCTTCGTCGGCGGGGTGTTTTACCTCGCTACCTCGTCTTTTCACGTCTTCCCCGGGATCCCGATATACGCGTCGACGGATTTGCAAGAATGGAAACACATCGGTTTGTGCCCTTCTCGGTATCTCAGGATGTCTTCCAGGGCCGTGGCTAATAAGGAATTCAAAGGCAACGCGATCAACCGTAAAGAGCAGCTCAGCCTCGAGCGCGCCGAGACGGCCGTGATGCCCCTCGACACGGGCAACATCATGGTCTCGTCCGCAGGCCTATTCGCTCCCTCGATTCGACACCATGAGGGCAGGTTCTACATCATCTGCACCAACGCAACCCGTCGCGACGGAGAGTTCTGTCTGGAGAACTTCTACGTCAGCACCGCCGACATCTGGGCCGGCGAGTGGTCTGACCCGATCTACTTCCCCTTCCACGGCATCGACCCCAGTCTGTTCTTCGACGACGACGACGGGCGGGCGTACGTGCAGGGGTGCTGGATGATCGATCGCCTCAAGCAGCCGAGCTGCACGATCAAGCAGTTCGAGATTGATATCGCGACGGGGAAGGCGCTGTCCGAGGTCAAGGAGATCTGGGGCGGGTTTGCGAAGTATGATACCGAGGGCCCGCATTTTTATAAGCGCGGGGAGTGGTACTATCTGCTTGTGGCTGAGGGCGGGACGTTTGAGCATCACATGTTGAGTATCGGGCGCTCGAAGAGTGTTTGGGGCCTGTTTGAGTCGTGGGAGGGGAATCCGATCATGACTGCCGACGGAAAGGCGGAGTATGTGCAGAATGTCGGGCATGGAGAGCTCTTTCAGGATGGGGAGGGTAAGTGGTGGGCTGCAGTGTTGGGGGTGAGAGATGAGGATGGGGCGCCGCCTTTGGGGAGGGAGACGTTTTTGACGGCGGTGGAGTGGCCGGAGGGAGGGTGGCCGAGTGTGCAGCAGCCGAGGATGGAGTTTCAGCGGGAGGTGAAGCAGCCACTTGGACCGAGGAGAGGTCTGCCGCCGTCGCCGAAGGATATTGATCTGGTCTACATCCGGGATCCTGATTTCGACAAGTACGAGTTCAGCGGAGAGGGTGACGAGAGGGCTTTTCGACTTCGGGCGAGCAGTTCCAGCATCTCATCGCCATCCGGTACAGCTACATTCGTCGGGAAGCGGCAACGGGCAATGGACGCGAGTGCCTTGGTCAGGTTAGACCTTTCGGCGACGAAGTCGGGAGACCCCGTCGTTGCAGGCCTAGCTCTTTACAAGGACGCGCTGCGACATGTTTCTCTCGCATACGACCTTGCTTCGTCGCGGCTAGTATTCGACGTCACAACCACATCGGAAGACAAGAAACAGAGCGTCTCCCTGGATGCTGGCTCGGGAATAACTTCACTGAGCTTCCGGGCTGAGACGTCGGCGAAGGAGTACAGGTTCTTCTACCGGGAGAAGGATGGCGAGGATTGGAAGCAAGCGGGATCGGCATGTGTGGCAGATCTGGTCGCAAGAGAGATGACTGGGCCAATTTTCGGGTTGTTTGCTCATGCCTCGGGAGCCGAGGGTGTTGGAAAGGAGGCAAGATTTGACAAGTTCATTGTGGAAGGACAAAAGAGCTTGGTGTGGTAAATGGTAAGACCGAGGCACTGAGGCAAAGCCCGAAGGACAGGAATAAAGTATTTGTGGCGGAACGGTCTCTTTGAGATTGATTGTCTCTGCGCTCAGTTTCAAGTAAATATTTTGATTTAGAAAACAGATCATCGCGCATGAGGTTGACTTCACGTCTCCTCATTCGTGGTCCTGAGATGCCGAGGTTCATGACGTAATCATGCCAACGACCATTCACCCCTCCATAAGCAACATCCTCCCTCTTTCGTGAAGATATTTCTACAGTGTTTGGTCCATGTTCTCCAGGATATTTCATCACACTCGTTGCTGTTTCAGACTTGACAATACGGACTCGTTGACCAAGATGGATCCTGCCAAACTTCCGCCCTGGAACCTTCCACAAGGTGTCACGTCTCGGTTCGTCGACACGTCTCCAAAGGGCCTCAAAGTGCATATTCTCGAATCAGTTCCTCAGAGCAAGTCATCGGACTCCCACGATCCCCTCATTCTCCTACTTCATGGTTTCCCTAATCTGTCTTACGACTGGCGGTACATCTTGCCGCTGCTCGCGAACGCGGGCTATCATGCCGTAGCTCCCGACATGAGAGGCTTCGGACGAACGCACAACTCAGACCTCAGTCCGATCGAGGAGGAAACCATTCGCCCTGTGTTCTCAGTTCACGACGTGGTGTCGCTTCTCGAGGGCTTGGGCTACGATTCCATCCATACGATTGTCGGTCACGATCTCGGGGCCGTTCCGGCATCGCTCACGTCGATAATACGCAAAGACTTGGTCAAGTCGCTTGTTCTCATGGCACACCCGTTCAAGGGCATTCCGGGTCCTTCCGCCAACGATAATAAGGCTGGAGGGGATCCGGATATTCAGGCGTCTCTCGGGAAATTGGATCCTCCGAGAAAGCACTACAAGTACTACAACGCGTCGTCTGGTGCGGCTGATGAGTGGACGAACCCGACGGGCCAGCCTCTTCATGACTTCCTCAGGGGCTATTTCCATCTGAAGTCTGCGGACTGGGCTGGAAACAAGCCGCATCCCCTGAAGTCATGGACGGCGGAAGAGCTGGCTGCTATGCCGCATTACTACGTCATGAGAGCAGACTTGTCGATGCGCGGAAACGTCGAACTGGACATGGCAGAAGAGTCACAGAATGTTCTTGAGAAGCTTCCAGACACCCCTTGGCTTACTGACGCAGACCTTCATGTGTACTCTGAGGAGTTTGGCCGGACAAGGTTTGATCGCGCTTTGCAATGGTACAGGGCCATCATCGACCCCAAGCAGGCGGAGGACCTTCTCCCTTTTTCGGGGACAAAGATAGCTGTGCCGACAAAGTATGTCTCTGGCAGTGCTGATTGGGGGACATATCAAGTTCCGGGTTCCCTTGAGGCCATGGAGAATGGAACAAGCGTCGAGCCTAATTCATGGCGGGGGGCAGTACACATTGAGGGCGCGGGGCATTGGGTGAATATGGAACAGCCAGACAGGTGTGCTGAGGAGATATTGGCTCTGGCGAGATCTATTTGAAATTGCTGCGCGTCCAAAGGGGTGTCTTCATCCAGGTTTATGACAGCGATGGCCTCCCTGGACGGGTTCTCAGCAAAGTAGGGGTCGATAGTGCTTAGGTAATCGAAAGCCCTTCTTTTGACGTTCCACATCGTGAGGCATGGGTGATTCGCAGTTTGGTGTTGATACGCAGCGGTGATTCAGTCAGTTTAAGTCTAGACTCTGACCAAGTCCAATGCTGTTTGCGTACTTCGCATTTCCCACACGGGCGAGCTTTTAGGACTCTCTCAAGTAGCCATTTAATAAGTTCTGTTCATCGTAGAGTACATTTTTAAGCTCGACGCGTTAACACGCGTGGAGCTTGAGGGTCGTTGCTGGCGAGGAAGGAGCGATGTCGGTCAACCACCTGCCACCTTCCCTCGCTCCTTCCACCACGGCAGCGAAGGTCGAACCTTCCTTTCGGAGATGCTTCCATTACAAATTTTCTCTCCTGCCTCTCGCGACGCGGGAAGCCGCCGGCCTGCCACCCTTCGACGCCTTTCCCCGACTCCTTCCCTCTCCTCTACATCTTCCCCCCTTCCGCCTCGCCGACTCTGCAAATTTCTTCCCTTTGCAACCAGACAAACCCCATTCCCCATCAACTGTCACCTCAATACTTGGCTTCCGATTTGTACTATCGTACCACACAGTTGTCTGCATTTTATCGTTTTACTTGCTTCTATTCGCACCGCGCAATCTCGCGATCTCACCCCTGGCCATCACAATGTACGACCAGGCGGTACTTGACGAGCAATGGGTCATCGCCAGAGGCCTCCCTCCTGACGACCGGAAAGCTGCTGAAGGCATTATTCGTCTGGCAGAGATGATGAACGCGGAGGAGCGCCAAGAGGCTGAGGCCGAACGTCGTGCCAGCGGGGACGCCGTCGCCACCCAAGATGCGAACGAACCTGTCGAGCAGATGACCGACGAGGCCCCTCGCGTCGTCGCCAACGACGATGATGTCGCTTCCCATAGCACAGCTTCTGCAGAGACCGCCATTGATGGCTCTGGTGGCCAGAACACTGGTTTTGCAAACGCCATCACCGATAACGACGATCTCACCGCCGGAGGCTTCGTCAACAACACCTTCGACATCGACGCCTTCGCCAATGACATGTTTGCGAATTTCAACGCCAATTTTGAGAGTTTCTTCCCTGCTATGGACGGAACTGACGAGCAGACCGCCAACGGTGCTGCTGAGGTTACTCGTATCGTCGACACTACAGAGCAGGACAGCGAGACCGCCTCTGAGCAGTTAAGCGTCCCTTCGGAGGTTATCTCCCCTGTGACCGCGCAAAGTAAGTGGAAGCCTTCTTTCCATTGTTTCCCGCACAGCTGACACGCCAGCAGCCACGCCACCGGCTCCGTCCGACAGCCCGGTCATGTTAGATGCTGCGAAGCCTGCTACTGCTCCTGCCACCCAACTTCGCGACCGAGAATATCCCTGGCAGGACACGACAGGCATCTGGCCGCCTCGGACTCCATCGGGAATCTTGGGTATGTTTTCACTTCTCTTCAATCAAAAACCACAGGCTAATTATTTGTAGTCCAGAGCCCTCGTCTGCCTCCGCCTCAAGCTGTCTTCCACGGTGCATCTTCCCACACACAGCGTCTGCCGCCTCGCTTCCAACCCGTGACAGCCGCAACAACTCCCATTGTCGCCAGAACATCAGTTGGAGAGTATCAAAGACCACACAGACCACTTCCTCAGCGAACATCAAGCCAACCAGCCGTTCATCCCACTTTCAATCAGTTCTCAGGAAGAATGACCACGATGAACAACGCGCCCGCCAGTATGCCCGCCACGATTCCCACGAGAGTTCCCACCAGCATTCCCTTCAGAATGCCCGCTACCACGTCGAGCGGCATGGCAACTACGCAACAGTGGATGAGTAGCCGTGCGTTCAACAATATTCAGACAGGCCATGCACCTCCAGGCCTCAACACCTTCAACGATGCGTCCTACATGGCACAATATGGCACTCAACCGGCAGCTTTACTTTCCCAAGGACAGACTCAACAGACTCAACTTTCAATGAGTGGGTTCGAGCAGCCGCCAATTTCGATTACGCTGTTCCAGTGTCAGATGCTGCAACGCCAGTTGGAACAACAGCAAATGCAGCTAGAAGCCTTGATTAGTATGCAGCAGAACAACATGCAAAACGACATGCAGACTGCTGCTCCAGCAAGCATGACGCACCCTACGCACACTCATAACCACCGCCGAAAGCGAGCATCAGCAACGACTCAGGAAACCTCCACTGGCGTCACTCAACCAGCAGCGAAGAGAGCCAGGACTCAGCGGCCACCGCTGCAGTCAAACACGTCCGCTGGAAGTAGCGTTCCCCGAACCACGAGCGCACCTCAGCCTGGCAACCGCGGCGCGGTTTACTCGGTCTCAGATTCGGTGTCATTTGTTCCCCACTAGGTCGCGGAGCAGTCTGCAGCGCATCTTTGGTAACAGCGTCAAGTATCCCAAAATGGTATTGATGTGTGCTTCTGATACCATCTGTGTAACATCATCCAGAGACTGGCTTTCAAAGGAGCCGACACTGCTTTCATCAGTTCTATGCACATTGCATCACTCTACTGGCTTTTCTTTTGTTCTTCTCGATGGAGGTATGGGGACTTGGGGTTCCTTAGTGTTATGGGACACTCGTGGTATTCTTTCTTATGTTCTTTGTTTCCTTTCGACTTTGATAACCAATAGGCCTTTTTGGTCACTCCATAAATACAATCTATGCTAAAGCAACTCTTCTCTGAGTGAATATTACCCGCGAATCACGCGGCCCCATCATAAGCACGACCAGGCTTGCTGCCGATATCAATCCTGGTGGGTCAAGTCCGAGGCAAATACAGGTGAGTCACTGCGTATTCTCAGAGACCCCATTCCGGTGTCACACCCAGGAACCAGAAAGATTCTTCCGATTTCGTGGTGTTACTCAAGATGTGTTATTCATATGGGCGTAACTGGCGTATCTTGTAAGTGGGCCTGGCAACTGCAGCATGGATCCTGGATTCATTTCTTCGTACTTCGCAGATCTTCAATGCGAAACCGAAGTTGATGCTCTTTCATTCCGACTGGAGGACACTGTTCTGAGAGTTGCAAATGTTATTTAAAGAGACCTCATAGGCAGCTATGAGACTGACGAACATGATCGAACTGTCCTAAGATCTAATTCGAACAAGTTCATCTTTACATTATGAGCAGTGAGTTCAACCCGAAACATACTCTACTTTGGAGTATGCAATCGCTCATGACCAAGTTCCAAAAGCACTCGGATCCTCCCTCCCGTCCAACCTCCCCCCGCCCGTCGACGACGGCGCCTGCGACCATCTCCCCGGCCTCTCCCTCCCCAGCATCCCGCTCCCGACCGCCAGCGACCCGTCCACCAAGATCGACGTCTCCGCCCTCGCGGGACTCACCCTCATCTTCATATACCACCGCTCCGCCGCCCCGGGCGAGGTGATCTCGCCCGAGTGGGACGCCATCCCGGGCGCGCGGGGGTGTACCCCGCAGGCGTGCTCGTACCGCGACAACGCGGCGCGCCTGGCGGGTGCCGGGGTGGCGCACCTTTTTTTGGCGTGTCGGCGCAGACGGCGGAGGTGCAGAGGGAGTTTCGGGAGCGGGAGCACTTGCCGGATGAGTTGTTGAGCGACGCTGGGCTGGAGATGGCGAAGGGGTTGGGGCGGCCTACGTTTGAGTATGGGGGGATTAGGTTGTTGAAGAGAGTTAAGATGGCGGTCGAGGCGGGGAGGGTTGTGAGGGTTTGGTATTCTGTGTTTCCGGCTGATAGGAATGTTGAGGTGTTGGAGTGGTTAGAGGGTCGGAGGGATGGAGGGAGGGAGTGAGTTGGGATTTGGGTGTGGAAGAGTTGGTAAGGAAGTTATGCGGAGCATGTAAGTGATGGCTCAGCTATGTGAGGAATTTTTCAGGCCCTTTTTGCGTGACCCGTTCCTATCGCTTTCTGAAACAGAGATGCAAAGACAGACAGGCAGTATTCAAAGTGAACCTTCGACATCTGTCCAACCTGATCTGTCATATGAGTATATGACCAGCCTGAGTCTGAGCGAGAGACGGATTTCTAATCATGCAGGCTGACAACTCGTGCCCGGTCATGCGCCAATTCTGACAAGCCTTTTCACCACGTTCCTTTCGCGGGGTTGCACATATTGTGTAGAGGAGCCTCCTGCGCCTTCTGAAGTAAGCATTTCGAGCTGCATATTAAACAGCGTGATGAGTGGGCAGTCACTGCTACGTATCACTCGAAACGGAAGTAAGCGCCGAGAGTCAGCCAGGGCTTTGCTTATCCTGCAAGCTACATGAATGTCAAGTGGTGTGGGTGACAAGGCTACCAATTGGCAACCCGCTTGGAGGGATCGCTAAAGAACACTCTTTCGTCCCATGCATAAGTATCGACTCTTGGGAACACATGCCTGGGCAGGCTGGGCGCTCGGCCTGAGGGATATCATCTTGGCAGCCTTTCTTCCCGCCCAAGAGCTTTTAAAGCTGTTGCTTTCGCAACCTACCAGCGAGGTTTCCTCGTCCCTCATTTCCATCTTCGACTCGGTCTTGCCTGAAGAATCTTTCTTCCCTTCTAACTTTTTCTTCGCAGTTTGCCGCCTGGAGGCGCACCTGTTTGACTGCCGTATGCTCGTCTGAAGAAATCGGCACTCTAATATGGATCCTACATCCCAGGATCCGCAGGACCAACAGCTCGGCGATCATGTTGAACCAACAGATGATCGCCTTTCAGCACAGCCACCGTATGAAGATGATGGCCAAGAAAACCTTGACGGTAATGGGCAAATTCAGCCCAACGTATCAGACAACGCGAACGCGGTATTTGGTCCAGAACAGGAAACCAGGCTTCTTTTGTTTCTAAAAGGCCTTGGCAACAGCAATAATATTGCAGATGGCGCGGTTTCCAATCTTGTCCCAATCAGTTCCAATGATGCGGCTTCCGAGGCAGCTATCAACGACGTTCCTATTGAAACCAGTCTCAATATCGCCGATGATACCGCTGCTGATGCGACTATCAGGGCAATGATCGACGATCCCGACGTAGCCTTACGACCAGATCTCGAGGAGACGCTACGGGAAGAGATTAATGTCTCATCCTTGGAGCCGCCAAATTCAACCGCTTTGCACATTGCTCTTGCGAAAGGCCTCAACAAGATCGCCGAACAGCTTATCGGTGCTGGCGCAAACGTCAACGCGTTGGACGAAAACGATGTGCAGCCATTACACATTGCTTGCGACAATGGCAACACGGACTTGATCAAGCTGCTCTTGGATAATGGAGCCACAACAAGAGGTCCGGACCGAGATGGATGGTGTCTCCTCCATTGCGCAAGCTACTATGACATGGATGCAGACTTGTTGGAGCGTCTTATCGAAGTCGATCGGAACAACTTGAACCATAAGGAGTCCTTTCAGGGTTGGACGCCAATCAATCGGGCCGCTTGGTTTGGGCGCCAAACTGTTGTTGAGGCTTTGCTGAAAGCACGTGTGGATCTTGGAATCGCGGATGAAAATGGTTGGACGCCGTTAATGACGGCCATCGAAGAAACAAACTTCCAAATTTTCGACAAGATGGTTGATCACCTTGCTGAAATTGGGTCAAATGACGATGATATTTCCAAAAAAGTCATTGACCAACGCGATGATGAGGGAATGACAGTCCTCATGACGCTCTGTGATGCTGATCCGACTTCGGCTGCGGAAGACTCACTTCGGAACTTTCTTCAAAAGCTGCGACCAAACACGGACATCATCGACAACATCGAACAAACGGCGCTGAGTCACGTGATGGCTTTAGTGAAGAAATCTAACAGCCCTTATGCATGGAACATGGCATTGGAGATGATCAAATGGTGGCCGGAACAAGACCTTTTGAGGCGGAACAATGAGACGGCATTCGACGATGTTTTTGACAACATGGAGCAGTCTACTCCACTGCTGCAGGCTCTGGCCAGACGCCTTGAGGCAAACTTCGCCTTGCGAGACAAGCTGCTGTGTCGGCTTGCAATAAGAACGGAATCACACCCTGCCGCTATCGAGGTTCTGTCAAAGTTGGAGCTTCGTGAGCCGATCGAAGCGCTAGGATACAAGGATAAATGGACGCTCGTTGATTGGGCGATATACCATCGAATGCCTCGAGTATTGCTGAACTGCCCTGCTGCTGATGACTTGACCGCAGATCACGGAACCTACGGTACCAGAATCATCAACGAGTTGAAGGAACGCTATTCGGATCCAGACGAGAAACGGAATACCGATCGCAAGGATGAATTGACCCCGAGTCAGGTTCTGGACGAAATGGAAGATATTCTAAACTCCCTTCCTCAGATGAGAAGTGAGCAACAGCCTAAGACGCGTTGGAAGCTTTTGCAACCCAGCGATGAAATGCAGAGGTGCCTGGAGTATTACAAAGCAGCAGTTGTCAGGTTTCGCAAGAAGGAGTTGGAGGCGCTCAGGTTTCGAAAGGTCAGCAATATTGTCTATGGCGATTTACCAATCGATGTGATCACAATAAGCCAAATACAGGAATCTGTGTGGAAAGAAGGAACAGCTACAGAGTTTTCGAAAGAAAACACTCCCGACACCGAAAGCAGCTTCACCTGGGTTCATCTGCCAGCCACCAATGTAAGCCGAAGGCAGCCCACAACGTTTATGAAAACAATCTAATGACGGATAGATGGACTGGATGAAAGTAAGATCTCTTTGGCTTTACCATTCAAAGGAGATAGATTAAAAAGCTGACCTCATTTTTACTTAGAACACCGGAATGAAGATCATGAAAACGCAAGCAGAAAAGGAGAGAGGGCCCCAAGACAGGCTGACTTCGTTTCTACAAGCCAGCTGGGTTCAAGTACCTGATAAAACTTCACCATCACGATTCATGCGTCCTCGGTACGTTAGAATGCAGCAGGATGAAAGTCAGGACCCACACAAAAACAAAACCCAGAGTGAGCATATGACATTATACCACAAGCTTAGGATGATTAAGTAAGATAACACAAGCCTAGACCAAAGCAAGGCTGCTGGATCCAACCAAGGAGCCCCTCCCCAGGATGATGGTAAACCTGAATCTACCAACTCTCATGAATGCCCAGCATCGGCACTATATGTAAGATGAAGATGAATTTTGCATTCTCATGCTCAGCTGCTGAAGGTTTCAATAAGATGCCATTTCTTGTAGTCTCGAAATACGACGAACAAATGGAATCTATAAAGCGGAACGAAACCTCTGGGTCGCAGCTTTCCCAACGTCAGCATCTTTTCAGCGCTTACGAAGGCTCTGTCATGCATGACTCTCCAACATTGGACGAGCATTACTACCACTTTGCTGAAGACGAGGATTCCACCAATGACCGAAAAGGACGCAACAGGACGCAGGTGATCTCCAAGTACCTGCACATGGGGCCGTATGCAGATGAAAGCGACATGCCCAGGACAATCCTGCGCGTTAGCCAGCTTTGGGCATGGACCATTGGTGACAGTAAATCAAACCTTTTGAGGGCATTCACTTCTGAGGAGTACTGATCACTCTCACAGGATGGCTTGTCACATCAACATCTTGCGCCAAGGTAGACGGAGCAAACGCATTTGTAGCAGAAATCCGCCAGCATCTTCGCCGTCGAGATGAGGACGGGAGTCTCAATGGCGGATTAAGTTCGCCACAAGAATTGTGCAAGATTATTGCAGAGTATTGCATTGGTGTTTACGAAAGGAAACATAAACTTGAGAAGTGGACTTCTGACCAGAGCAAGATCATTCGGTACACCGAAGAGCGATCAATTCGCCAAGTCTTCTCCGATTTCATCAACAAAATTGTCAGCTGAGTCGCATCTCAGTCAATGGACTATTAGCTGACTCGCTTCATAGGGAAGAGAGGAAGCGGACTTGTTCCGCCAGTTCTCCAAACAACCTGTTGAACTAGATGAAAAGCATTCCAAAGCCAAGGACCACTCACTCACAATCACGGCTGTTCTAGGTGCTACTAGGAAGGCGGCCAATCTTCTGTTCCAAATCAAAGACGTCCGTGACGAGCTACACATTCTGAAAACTGTAGCCGACTACCAAGAGAAGGTCCAGACTAGTTTGGACGAAGCGATTCACAGTGCTAGCAACGCAGCATTTGAGGAGAATATGAAGGCGAAATACGTCAGAAATGACATCGACGAGCTGGACAGGCTTGCTCGCAACATTCAAGAGGCTGTAAGCGAAGAACCAACACCCCTTTTCGCTACTGAGTTCTGATCTTATTTGCAGTTGCAAACGACTCTTACTCTTCACGAGAGCGAAATTGCTAATCGACAGGCCAAAGAAGCTGTGGACCAGGGAAAGAGAGTCATTATATTCACGGTCGTCACTGTCTGGTTTGTAAGTTTTGTGGGACAATTCATAGCCTCCTGCTTCCTATGCTGAAGATTAATCCAGTTACCTCTTTCGTTCCTCACCAGTTTGTTTGCCTTAGATGTGGAATCCTTCCTTGGCGCACCTTGGTGGTCTCTAGTAGTCATTCGTATGGCCCCTTTCGTAAGTCATGCTTGTCGTAGTGTCACATGCTTACATCACTGTCACAGTAACTGTCCCTTTACCTTTCCTTCTTGTGGCTGTCGGGTATATGTACGATTGGGACATAAGAAAGTTCTCTCCTCTAAGACACAGAGATGGGGCGAACGAACACGACAATGCAGGTGCGAACAAGACATCGGGTGAATCCGATCACCCCGGGATCCTACGTGTACGTAGAAGATTGTGGGGCAAGAAACGTGACGATCAGGATGGGGAAATTTCTGTATAATTCCAGTCATGTATTCTTCGGAATATCGTCGAACTTCTCTTTGATTATTTATTCGGGCAAAAACTACGATCTGATTTTAACTGAAGGGGCTGCAAGAAACAGAGGCTCATTTGAGTGATGTTTCGAAGCTCACGAGGCCTCATAGAAGGTTTAACCTCACCTAATAATATCTTTGGAATGTTGAAAAGACGATGCTGCACATGAATCATGACTCGAGACCTGCGACTGGCGGCCTTGAAAAGTCTCCGTCCATGCCTCGTAGACTAGGGAGAATATCCCCGCAATGTTCCCGCTTGTCGCACAAACACAAAATGAGGTGTTCTCGTTTGGGACCCTTGACTGTGAGCTCAGGCCAATTCGCCTAGCATGGATATTACTGATCATACCGACACTGGCTGGTTCAAAACTCTCGGTCTGCGGACTTATCCCTGAAAACAATGGTAAAACCTCCGAAACCCAATAAGCTTCCTAATGTAGCCGGTCCGGTGGGTTGCGTAATGTTTCTTGGCAAACGGATGGAATTCAGAACTAACATCGCGGTGTCGGATCAGATTGTCCAGATTATTTATTCTGCTGCTCTCCCGGCAGATCTCTTGTGCATCGGCGCATCTACCCTCGTCTGAATCCACACATACACCAAAGCGGCTTCAACTCAATAAAACCTCGGCTCTCAAGCTATTACACCATTACAATCAAAATGAAGTTCTCAATTATTGCCGTCGCCCTTTCACTTTTCGCGGGAAACGCGTACGCTCTACACGTAAGCCAAACCACCCTCGAAAATCCTGCCCCTCATGTTTCTTGTCTGCTGTTGCTTTCGATTTCGGTCAATCCAAATACCCGATCATTACAAGACGGGTTCTATTGTATTCAAATTGTCTAACCTTATGTTGCAGAGGTGCTCTTGCCAACTTGGGTCGTCGTGTCAAAGCTTCTCTCAGGTTGAAGACAATCAGAGCTGCAGCGCCTTCTGCAAAGCAAGCTTCAACAATGCCAAGACGTGTTGATCATAACTACTGCCGGCGTTACGATGGCAGAGTTGACATAGAACCACGATAGAAATTATTGATTTAGCGTCGCCCACGTAATTTTATCAAATTTTCTCTAAGAACCAGGGACTGCTCCCACTTAGAATTACAACCCAAAATCTCGGCGCTGCTGAGTTTTCCCTTCCAATGATGTCTTGTAGTGTAAGTGATGGTCGGAACTCAGCTAGCGATAGAAAACGGCTAGTCCAGACCCTCCCACAACGCCACCGGTACACCAGCTGAAAGTCTCCACGCGTGTGCATGATCAGAGCGTAGACCAATTAGGTGACTGCTCTGATGCGCCCTGTCAGACGGCACCCAGTAAGACTGAGCCCAAACCCCTCTTTTTTCCAAAATCTTCGCACAATTTTGCACAAGAACTCGAGCCGGTGCGTCACTGATGTGGCAGCTTTTGTTCGGGCGTTGGTTGTGTACCCGATGGATGTCGCCTATGCCTTCCGGGACATGACCCTGGCCGTCAATGGATTGGATTATTGTCCCGGCTGCTATGAGTTCTTCGACTTTTTCCCGCCTCCGAGGACAATCACCGCATTCAGCAAGACGTTCAGCCTCAAGAAACGGAGACTTGTGCAAGAACATTCCTCGGTGTGCCAACTCTGCCTCCACGTTCATCGGTTCCTGAAAGACGGATACGGGCCGGGTTATGATATGCCGGATAAGCTCGGAGACCAGTATGATGTCAACATCGAGGCATCTAAGTGTTTTCTCTCAGGAATGAGCAAAGATCCTTTTTCGAGTCTTGGCTTTAGTTGGAAAACCTCGCCCAAGGTGCGACCGTTGAAGTTGGCGGTCTGGGCTTCGAAAGGCAAGCAGTTCCTTGAGGAAAGAGTTGGGCAGAAAGTCTGGTCTAACTCCGGCGACTGAGTACAGGCACACCTGCATCGAAGCTGATAACCACTCGGCCACCACTCCTGGATGATGATTCAGCTAAAACCGCAAGTCATATAAGAGAATGGTTACATCATTGCATTGAAGGTCATCCAATCTCCAGACCATGCCTAGACGGATCTTGCGACCCTGAGGCGGAGCCTTTGGCTCCAATCACTGCCAAGGCCTCAAAGCTACCAACACGGGTTCTCTCCATCACTAAGGATGCAAGCAATCACATATCGGTTAGGCTCATTAGAACAAAAGACTCGCATGGGTCCTACTGCGCCCTAAGCCACTGTTGGGGTCCTATCAATAAGCAGCCGTTGCGGACAACGCGGCAAAATCTCGAAGCCCGAATGGCCGACATCCCATTCGATCAACTACCAGCAACATTTCGGGATGCGGTGTATCTTGTATCGACCCTTCAGATCGAATACTTGTGGATCGACTCTCTCTGTATTGTGCAAGATGACCCCAAGGAATGGCTTCGAGAGTCCGAAAACATGGGATCGATCTACAAGAACGCCACACTGGTCCTCGCTGCTGCTGGCTCAAGGGACTCGACCGAGGGATTGTTCATCGCAAAACGCCCTCACCCCGAGGTTTTCACTCTACCATACTCGCCATACTCTCTCATCACGGGAAGATCTGAATCTTCACAAGGAGAATATAAGTTGGCGATACTCCCTCAAGAGCCTGCGGCCCCATCGCATGGCCCACTACATCAGCGAGCTTGGGCCTATCAAGAGTGGTACTTCGCCAATAGGAAAGTCTTGTTCATGCCAGGGGGCATGTCATGGGTGTGTTCGCATCGCGAGTATAACGAACAATGGAATTACTCAAAGCCTCAAGTTTTTTCAAGTTCTTGGTTGGCACTGTTGAGCGAATACACCGGGAAGGTCCTCACCTATCCTTCCGATCGACTAGTTGCGATCCGCGGCATTGCGACTGAGACAACTGGTGCATCTAACTTATTCCGCCACATGTTCACAGACGAGAAAACCGCATCAGCTGAAAATAACGTGGCGGGAGGCAGGCCGGCTCTCGAGGTCATTAATACTATGTTCAAGTTCGGCGTTTGGAAAGCACAACTGCTCGAACAACTTCTTTGGCTGCCGATAGAAATGTCTAGTGACGATGAGTATCTGCCAGAGCTGCCATCATGGTCCTGGGCAGCCTCAGGGGGTGCGAAAAGGTGGCCCTTGGGGACCTACAACAGCATCCCAATTAGGCCAGAGAGCCGGGACGATATCGCGAACCTGGAGCTAATGGACTCGGGACTGGTACAAGCAAAGGGTCAAATGCTCAGCGTTGAGCTTACTCCGCTGCAAGAATGCTGTGTCAATCATCTGTCCGAGGAGGTGACACATGCCAGCATCGCGTCGAGCCTACAAAGATCTGAAAATATTGAGCTGGCGTTCTCCGCACTCAACTCTGAAGAACCAGGTAAGAAGATGAAAGATTACCTGATGCACGATTCATACAGTACAACGGATGGCAAGATTATTGGGGTAGCAAGGCTTGATCAAGAATGCCCGACCCATAACATCCAGTTCCTCGTCATGGCTTCGGTTCGCCGGCCGATTTTTGATATATGGTAGGAGACTATCTTTCGAGGCTTCTTTGAATGCGGCTGACTTCTTATTAAAAGCAATCTACATTTCCTGGGCGATGACATGATACACCGCGCAATACCCTCCGGTCATTGCGACGTAACCACTAGCATACCAGGCCATGGTTCATGTTCACGTTGCGGCTCGGTAGGTTTTCTGCGGTGAGCTTCGTTTCCTCCCGACACCGCTGACTGCTTAGGTCAATTGCCATGATCTCCTCACGGTTGGGAGTTGCGAAATGGTTTACTGGGGGCTTTTGGTACAGCAAGTGGAAGAAACCCTGGGAAGATACAAAAGAGTAGGAATTGGATTCGTTTACCCCCGCGCTTTGCGGCCGGTTGATGCCCAGGGAGAACACTTGACTGAAACAAAAATTGCGATTACTTAGCAAAAAGGCCCAGTCAGTCCTTAGAAATGTGTTTACAATACTGCGGCAGCCTTTCCAGCCATCATCACCTGATGTTCCCTCTCATAAGGTGTAAACTCAATGCCCCTTCCCCCCGACTCCTTCTTGTCTTCTTCAACGCCCTTCAGGGCCGGCCTAATGTACTTTCTCCAAGCCTCAGGATGAACACCTCCATTTCTCTTCACCATCTTGTTGATGGGTAATTGCCTTGTCCAACTCATGAGCGTTTCGTACGCCTCTCCGTCTTTCCTTCCGATAGCGCTGCCGAACCCAGCGTCTGTGAAGTCCCACGCATCAGTAAGCCCAATTGCATCGGGCAGAACTCGTCCAACAGCCTTCCGAGCGTATGCCGAATCTCATCCAATTGATCCTCCGACAAAAACCCATCCTCGACAAAGGTCAAGGCGTCCGCTGACTGTGGGTTCACAATCGTCGACAACGCAAATACCGATCTCAGCCTCTCCAACACGCTCTTCACTTCTTCATTCTCCACCTTCTCCACAGCTCTGACAAACTCCCTCAAGATGAGATACTCGGTATGCGCCCTCGCAGCACTCATAAGCCCCATGACACACTGGTTCCATGCCTCACCCTTGGTTCTACCCTTCTCCACTCCCCTCCTCAGTCCCCTCGCCGCCCGATCAACCAATCTCTGCGCCCGATGTTGGAAAATCAAAAGCTGAGTTCTCGCATCCTTCGGATCTCTGAAGTCAGCCTCCATACACCTCCTCGTATACGGCGCTGCAAGATACCTCAATCCCCAGGCAACTCCTGCTCCCCTGTTTTCCCTGCAAATCCCGTAAACTTCATCAGATACCTCGCCAGCTGCTGGAACAACAGATGCGTGTCCCCTTCGCCGGTACACATCATCGCAGAAGTCTGCACCAGCTCCGGCAAACCCGAAATGGCAAGATATCCCTGCCCACCACAAGCCCTTCTCGCATCCTCCGTGCCCTCAGACGCAATCGCCGACGACCACGCCTTCATCCCCGAGATGAGCGCATGCGCGTCCATCATCGTCGAAAAGTCACCCTCCTCGCTCCTCCGCTCAAACTCCCGATGAGCCTCCTCGGTATACTTCCACGCAAACAAGATACCATACGCCTTCGCCACCAACGTCAACAGCCGGAAATGCTGACTGCGGAAGCTCATCAACGGAAGCTCATCCTCATCCCCCTTCCCAAACAGCAGCGTCCCCTGCACCCTCACCGTCGAGTACCTCGTCGCAATCGTCGCGGCCGCAGCAAGCTGCACCCCGTTAACCCACGTCATCTTCGACCTCGTCACCATCATCGTCCCATACGCAGCCTTCTCATGCGCCCCCTCCTTTCTCTCATACACCCCGTCCCGCCCAACCGCCGCCTGCGCCATCAACAAGTTCCCCCTCCGCACCCTCACCCCCTCAAACCTCACAAACCCGTTATCGTTCTGGTTGTGGCTCATCTTGACCCCGATATCCCCCAACTCGACCCCCTCCACCGGCCGCCCCGTCTCAACGTCCCTCAACTGCACCATGAACGGATGCACCCCCTCATCCCTACCCCGTGTAACCAACCGCGCCATCACAATCGCATGCGACGCCGAGAACGCAAGACTCCCCGGCCAGAACTTGGTACTCGCCGCGCCCCCAGGCGACCTAATCACAAACTCGTCCGTCGCAGGATCAAACTCCGCCACCGTCTCGAGCCCGCGCACAAACGTCCCGTGGCCCAGCTCCGTCTGCACGTACGCGCCGTTGATCCGCCCCGCGAGCGCGGGGGCAAGCCAGCGCGCCTGCTGCGCCGGCGTCGCCATCAGCTGCAGCATCTTGACGAACATGGCCGGCGAGAGGCCGAACGGGGAGTAGTTGAAGAGCGTGTAGCGCGGCGTGAGCCAGTCGAAGTGGGCGTGGTTGTGCGTCCGGCGGTCTTCCCACACGGCGCGGCCCATGCGGAGGCCGTCGAGGTATCTGGGCACGCTCTCGGTCAACACAGTGGTCGTTTACGGGAAAGGGGGGGGGGGGGGGGGGGATGTTCGAGATGGAACTTACAGATCCTCGCGGCTCGTCTTGGCATAGTGCCCTGGCAGACGCGACGTATCATCCGTCCCAAGCGCCTTCTCAACCCTCGCCCAAGCCGCGCGCCGAGCGCGGACGACAGACGCCCCGCCGTAGATGAGGTTGGTGAGCTTCTCGACGTCGAAGCTCGTGCGGGAGCGCGCGTGGGCCATGGCCAGCGCCTGCTCAGATATCGACTTCAACGCGGCGGGCATCTTGGGTGTGTGCAGGATGCCCCTAGATTTCAGCAAGAGAGAGGAAAGTCAGCAGTCTGCGACCGATATTCTGCACACAAACCTCCGCAGAAGATCGAGGAAGGAGGGTCTCTGTTCATAAGATCTCCCAGCATGCCCGGAGATCTCATCCCACCGTAATACGCATCGGAGACCGACCTTCATGCCAAGGCTCACCCGACCTTGACCGGACAGAGGTTGGATGTTTACCCACTTCCTGAAAGGAGACATCTTAACCGCCCACGGGATGGATGGTACGAGGATAGTTGGGGGCATCCGGCCCCGTCCGTGTTCCAATCTCTTCATTGTTGCCATCCTCGATGCAAGACCATCTTCTCATCACTGTCCTGATATTCAGCTGTGCAATAGTTGGCAACATCCTTCGTAATGAGTCAGTCTTCGTCATTCGTAGGTCTCCTATTCTTCCATAATCGGCGGCAGCCAAGCCTGGAAACATCTCAGCCCATCGAGATGTGAAGCACCTCCCATACCAAAACAGCACTCGCCAACTCCAATCCCAAGCCCAAGACAAAATCATAACAAGCCCGCCTGCCGCTAATTGGCCACCTCCCATCTTATCAGATCAAACCCGCCCCTCGGACCAAGAAAATGGGCCGGCCCGAAGTCCCACCCTCCATCCATCCAGGGGTGGTGTCGCACCCGATCCCCAATCGTAAGTTTGACAGTCCCCCATCCAAGGATCCCACGCGGCTCACCTACCCAATACAGCAATCCTCTTACAAACCTCGCCAAGACCACGACGCCGTCAGATTAAGCCTCGACGTCAAAGAGATCCAGTTCGGTGAGGGGGGACGAGTACTATCCCGTCGGCTTTTGGCCGATGGGTCCTACGTAGTACGGGCTGCCTCCGTAACGTCTCTAACCCCCATGTACACAGAACGGCAGCTTTCCGCGAGCAACATGGCCTGGACTTATTCTGATATCCGAAATCCGAAATTCTTTTCCGTCCTCGACGATGATTGGGAAATCTCTCAGCCGGCAACGACGGAGCACCTAACATGATCTGATACTCTTCAATTCGATATACTTTGTAAGACGCAGCTGAATAGCGTCGATCTGCTAACAGCTTGAAGCGTATCATTCAAGACTTTCACTTTATAGAATACTAAAAAAACCTAGGTGTAAATGGAAAGAAGAATCAAAAAGCCCAGTACTATATGCATAGACGCGTCGATCGATGACTTGTGCGAATGGACAAGTCGCGCAGCATGTTATACTACACGCTGTACACGCAAATAAACACCATCTCAATGGGCACAAACCCCCAAAGTCGCGCTAATACAGCCGGTTCTCAGTAGTTATTCCCATCTTAACGCAGTCCTGGGGAATGTCAGACGTCAAATACATTGTACGCAAATACAGACCTAGCTAGCATGTCGCAGCCCGCATGCGCGCGGTGCAATTCCTCCGCCATGCAACACGACATCATGCCGTTCTTCGTCAGCTTATGCGCCCCTTCGAGCCGCCTTCACCCGCCGGTGGGATACCGCCATCGCATGTCAAAGATCCATCGCCGACAGCAGGATCTGATCCTGGCTCTTCGACGTGGGAGATGTGTCATTCTTCCCGCTTAATCTCGCGTGGTGGTGTGAGATGTTAGAAAACCTATCGGAGATAAGACACACAGACATCGGCGATCAGGAGACGGCGCATAGCCCTTGCTGGTTGAAGCCTCAGGAAGTACGTCTTCAATATTCAGTCGCTTGAGTTCAGGCGGGGCAAAGGAAGATCATCACAAGAACAAAGGCTAGAGTATGCTAAATATAAATACGTCGTATCATTACACGGGAAGTTATCCCAACATTGAAATCTATCTTAACACACGGCAGAATAATGCTCATACATAGTCATAATCATCCCAAACACATCTAATGCCATTACCCATACGCCATCCAGTCCACATATACTTAATCCCTCAGGTACTTGAGGAGCTGGTCACGCTCCTCAGGAGGCATCGTGCGGAGAACTTCGCGGACACCACGCATACCAGCGTTGGCGTTGTTCCTCAAGATGGCGCTCAGCTCAGTGGCCAAGTTGTCAGCCTTAACAGCCTCGATTCTCTCCGTGATTGACTTGCGGTTGCCCTCGTACCACTCAGAAACCTCGCGGTCGTTGGTGGCGAAGTTGACAACACCAGACCAGGACTCAAGGAACTGGAGGTTGCGCTGGCGAGCCTCGGGAGTTTGGGTGCGGTCGGAGCCAGGTCCGGAGGTGACAATGGTAGAGTTCATGCGCTTGAGGAGGTACTCCTCGTTGAGACGGCGGCGCAGGCGCCAGTAGAAGTAGCGACGAGAATTACTCCACTCTAGCTGATCACGGATGACACCCTTGGCCTTCATGCGGCCGGCACGGTCGTGAAGGTCGGCGAACTGAACAGCGATCTGGGAGTAGACGGGCAGAAGCTGCTTCTCGCGGATGGTCATCTTCTTCTTGAGTTCATCGGCCTGCTCCTTGGGAAGGTCTGCAGTCATCTGCTTCTTAAGAGAGGCGTAGACGGGGTCAAGGCGGGCCATGGTCTCAAGCTGCTTGTCCTTGCGGTACTTGATACCGATGATACCCTCGGGCTCGAGGACACCGCCACGGGCATCGACGTCGGCGTACATCTCCATGTAAGTGGGGTTGATGGTGGGGTCAACGACGACCCAAGAGCCACCACGAAGCTCACCGAAGGGAGGAATGTAGACGAAGACGGGCTGCTCGTACTTGACGAGGGCGTCGACGATGTAAGAACCGTACTTGAGAACCTCGTTGTACATGTCGCGCTGACCACCAGAGAAACCTCTCCAGTTGGCGAGGATCATGAGAGGCAGCTGCTCACCATTGTTGAAGTCGTTGATAGCCTGGGCAGTCTTGAAGGCGGAGTTGGGGTACCAGACACCACCGGCCTCGTTGGTGACCTGCTCGATGGAGTCGGGGTTGGCGGGGTCAGCAGGAGTGATGTTCTCGACAGTGCGGGTCTCAACAGCAATGACACCCATGGGGATACCGTTAAGGCGAGCGCGACCGACAACGACGGTGCGGGCCCATCCGCCGAGAGTCTCGACGAAAGAGTCCTTGTCGAAGAGACCGGACTCGAAGGTGCCATCCTCGTCGGTGCGACCGTGGATCATCCACCTGACGTCGTAAGGCTGCTTCTGAGGAGGCGTGTAGACGACGTCACGGTCCCAGCTGTCAACACTGGGGCTGATGGGAACCGGGTTGCCGCGGCTCTGGGGAATGAAGGACATCCACTCAACAATCTTGGAGACACCATCGAAATCGTCAGCACCAGTCATGTGGGAGACACCGTTGCGGTACATGATCTGGGTACCACCAAGCTGGAGGTTGGAGGTGTAGATCTCACGACCAAGAACGTTGTTCAAGGCAGGGGCACCGGTGAGGATGATGGGCTGACCCTCAATCTGGACAGCACGCTGTCCGAGACGGACAAGGTAAGCACCAATACCTGTTGTCTTATTAGCCATGTCCAGTTTGGAAAGATCATTTTGTACTTACCGACAGAGCGGCACGTCACCAAGGTGACGGTGAAGATATCGTTGTAGGCCTTGCTGGTGGCACCGGCGATGAGACCAGAGCCTCTCAGGCACTCGACACCGAGACCATCCTCGGAACCGACAATGGTGACGATCTTGTGGCGCTTCTCGCCATCCTCGGAAACCTCCTCGGTGATGACATCCTTGGCGAAACGCTTCTTGGCATCCTCGTCGAGGTACAAGTACTTGAAGCCGGAATCCTGCTTGTTGGCATCGTTCCACGCAACCTTGAAGTAAGGCATGAGCTCGTTGGCGACACCAAGACGAGCACCGGAGTTGGCGGAGAGGTAGATGCGGGGGATACCAAGCTTGCGGGCGAGCTCAGTGCACTTGTAGAAGAAGTTGTCCTCCTTGGGTCCGAAGGAACCGATCATGTAGGTGATGTCGTTGGCGACAACAATGAACTTGCGTCCCTTGGGGTACTCGGGGGTCTTGGCGTTGAAGATCCAACCAACCATACCGCAGGTGTTGGTGCCAGGCTCGCGGTTGACCTCCTGCAGGTTGTCCTTGTCATCAAGGACAAGCTCAGTGTACGAGACACATTCACCAGCCTTGGGCTGTTGGGTACCAAGAGTGCTGTGCTTCTTGACCATCTGGGTCCAGGTGTTCTGGATGGCCTGGCGGAAGAGCTCAGGGAAATCGTAGACGTACTGGGTACCCATCAGGTGAGCCTTGTAACGCTTGGGCTGCAGAGGGTTCTTGGTAGCGTAAGGAGTCGAGACAGGCAGCAAGTGCATGGGACCCTTCTCCTTGGTGCCACCAATGGAGTTGAAGACCCACTCGCCCTTCTCAGACTTGCGCTCGGCGTAGATGTCGACATCAACAACGTAACCGGAGGTGTTGGTGATGATGACACGCAGAGGGTAAGGTACACCGGTCTGGGGGTCGGTGCAGATAATGCGGATCTCAACCTGTGCGACACGAAGGCGCCAGGCGCGAGCACCGAAGCGGTCCAGGAAGCCCTGAAGGCTTTGCTCGACCTCCGAGGGGTGAAGCTGGAAGACGGGAGTGAAGTTGATGAAGACCTGGTTCAAATCGGAGTTGTTGTTGCCGATAATCTCAAGGGCATCGAAAATATCGTTGATGACGCGGTCAGCCTCGGAGATGAGGTACTCAGCAGTGGGGATCTCGTCACGGAGGCGGCCGGGACGGATGACGGCGCGAGTGAAGTAGCGCTTGTCACCGTCGACGGCCTTGCCAATACCCTCGTAGACGTGGATGTTCTTGTTCTCGGTGAAGACGGGCTTGATGTGGAACTTGGCGAGACGGCCGAGCTCAAGCTGGAAAGCAAGAGCGGGCTCGCTGTGACGAATGCTGTCATCCTCGATGTACTCGGGGCCACGGAAGGTGTAGTAGCCGGGGTAAGAACCATCGTTGCGACCGCAGATGAAGGTGATGCGGCGAACGTTGCGGGACAGAAGCTCATCCTTGAACTGCTCCACGATGGGGACGATGCGGGACAGAATCTCCTGGTCACTCTGGCTCTCAGAGTCCCTGACGGCGACGTTGATGACGGCGGAAAGCTCGTCAGAGTCGACCTTGGGGGCAGCAGGCTTACGCTTGCCACTCAGGTCAGGGATTAGACCAGGCGTGCTACGCTTTCTAGCCTTATCGGAGACGGCAAGGGTCTCGAGAGCCTTGCCGAGCAAATCCTCAGCATCATCGAGGTACTTGACGGGGACGATGACACCCTTGCGGTTAGGCTCGGAATCCCACTTGTGGTTGAGGTAGGACATGTCGCTGATGGAGTGGATGCGCTTGAAGTCGAAAGAGCCACCGCTGGGAGTGGCGGGAGAAGAGGGAGCGGCAGACTGCAGAGGCAGACCGTACTCGCTCTGGCCAATCTTGCGGAGAGCAAAGTCCCAAGTGCAGAAAAGGGGAGTGTCGGACTCATCAGAGTGGTACTCAATCTGCTTGAGGATGTACGCACGGTAGGCACGGCGGACGTAAACCTCGAGGGCGGCGAGGGAAACCCAGGGGTCCTCGTGAGCGAAGAAGAGAGTCAGAACGTCGAAGACGGTGTACTTGGAGTCAACGACCTCCTTGATGACATCAAGGCTAGGCTCACGGTGGTCCCAGGCAGCCTCACCGTAACGAGACTCGACGACGGAGGAACGGAGAATGTGCTCCATCTGAGCAGTGCGCTCCTCGAGGGAAGGAAGAGAGCACTGGATCATAATCTCACGGGCCTTCAGGGAGACCTTGGAGGTCGTGCGAGAGGACTGGAGCTCAGTCAACTGCTGCAGAGCAGGGCGGAGGTACTTGGCGATGTTTCCGACGTTCGGCTTGTTGGGGCGGTACTCCTCGAGGATGGCAAGGATCAGGGAGCTCTTGGCACCAACACGGCTGTGAGACAAGACGGTCTGGACAACCTTGCGGATGTCGTCCTTGTTCTGGTCACGGAGCTTGAGGATGACGCTGTCCTCCTGAGTGCCGTGGCCAGTGAAGAGACGCTCGATGTCGATGTAAGAGGCCAAGAGGTTCTTGATGACATTGAGCTCGTGGCCCTTCTGGCCCTCGGACCAGGACTCGAGGCACTCGTTCAGGGGAGCCAAAGTAGCCTTGAGCTGTTCAGCATCACCGGCAGCGACATGCTCGTCGAGGAACTTCAGGAAAGCCTTCTGCAAAGCCTTGGCGGGGAATTCCGCGTGGCGGGCCTTGGCCCGGTCGACAATCTGGGAGAACTGGCTGTCCAGCTTCTGAGGCATACGGCTGTGGAGGGCAGCGAACTGAGCATTCCACTCGCTGTAGGGCAGCTCGGGGTTGCGGAGAACCTCAATGAGCTGCTTGAGGGTGGCAGCCATGATAACGGAGTTGTCGTAGCCGAGCAGAATGTTCTTGAGGGTGTTGTGCAAGACGGTAAACCTCTGTGCGGGCTTGGTACCAACCGCAACGGGCTCTCCGTAGGTGGGGAGCTGACCGACGAACGGCTGGGCCTGCTTGACGCGGCTGGGGTCATCAAGAGCAAGGATACCCAGAATGTCACCAGCCTCGAGAGTAGCTCCCGGCTGCTTGATGAGCTGAACGATACCATCCTCGGCAGCGATCAAAGGCATGTACATCTTCATGACCTCGACCTCAGCGAAGCTCTGGCCAGCCTTGACGTGCTCACCGTTCTCGACCAGGTACTTGACGAGCTTACCGGGAGAGGGGGTGCGCAGCTGAGTGGGGTCGTTCTCCTGCTCGAGCAAGCAGGTCTTGCCATCAACGGACAGACGGGTGGCACCGACCTCCTCCTTCCAGTAGACGCTGTGACTGCGGCCGTCCAACAGAATCAGGAGACCACCGTCACTGAGAACACGAACGCCGACGGAGCACTTGGAGCCATTGATGAAGAGGTGGTAGGAGTCCGTGCTAGCGCGGGTAGCGGTGAACTTGTAGCGGAAACCCTCGTAGATGAAGTCAATCGCGAAAACGGTCTTCAGAATGTCCTTGGAAGGAACCTGACCCTTCTCCAAGCTGGTGCGGTACTCGGTCATGCAGTCCTCGCTAGCAAGGTGAGCCTTAGTAACGGCACCGCAGACGACGGCCAGCATGGGGTTGGGGCGCTCAGCAGTCAGCTTCTTGGTGATGAGCTCGTCGAGCCAGCCGGTGGTGATGGTGTTGTCCTCGAAAGCCTCAGTTTCCAAAAGCTTGATGAGGTACTCAACCGTGGTTCTGAAGTCACCACGAATGCTCAACTCCTTCAGAGCAACAACCATGTGCTTCCTGGAAGCAGCACGGTTCTCGCCGTAGGCGAAAATGTGACCGAACTGAGAGTCGGAGAAGCTGTGGATACTTGAGGCGGTACTGACGGAGAAGTAACCCCAGACGTTGGAACTACTCCTGAAGTTCAGGTCGTGCATGACACCGTTGGAGGGCTTGAAACCTTCACCAGGGTCCTCAGAGGTAATTCTGCAAGCGGTGGTGTGACCCTTGGGTCTGGGACGGCGCTGCGTCTTCTCACTGCCCTCGTGCTTGAACTCGAAGTCGATCTCAGTGGATGTCCTGGGATCAACACCGTACAGGAGACGGATGTCGCGGATTCTGTGCAGGGGAATACCCATGGCAATCTGAAGCTGAGCAGCGGGCAGGTTGACACCACTGACCATCTCGGTAGTAGGATGCTCGACCTGGAGACGAGGGTTAAGCTCGAGGAAGTAGAACTTGTCGTCAGCGTGCGAGTACAGGTACTCGACGGTACCGGCCGAGACGTAACCGACGAGTCTACCGAGACGGACGGCAGCCTCCTCCATGGCCTTGAAAGTGATGTCCTTGGCAATGGTGACGGGAGCCTCCTCGATAATCTTCTGGTGACGACGCTGGACGGAACAATCTCTGCCGAAGAGAGAGATGTTGTTGCCGTACTGATCAGCGAGCAGCTGGACCTCCAAATGTCTAGCGTTGCCAGCCAACTTCATGATGAAGATGGGCGAACCCGGAATTTCGCTTGCGGCGGCCTTGTAGAGTTGCTCGAAGCCCTCCTCAGAGAGAGCCTTACGAATACCCTTACCACCACCACCCTCGGAAGCCTTGATCATGACGGGGAAGCCAATGGACTTGGCCTTCTCCAGACCCTCCTGCCATGAGGTAACGCATCCCTTGGAGTAGACGTTGTCGGCAACGGTAACGATGCCATGGCTATCCACCTCGACCTCGTCAACACCGGTTCCTGACCAGGGAATGCAGGGCACCTCGGCGTGCTGTGCAACGATTGTTGAGGAAATCTTATCACCGAGAGATCGCATCGCAGATCCTGGGGGACCGATGAAGACAATCTTCTTGGGGGAGGCGGCAAGGGACTCGGGAAGCTTGGGGTTCTCGGATGCGTGACCCCTGTGGAAACCCTTGTTAGCGATTGTTGGGTCTAGAGGGATGCGGGAATATTTACCATCCAGCCCAGACAGCGTGGACATCCATACGCTCGGCAATATCGACAATCAAGTCGACGTTGGCGTAGTTGTGGTTGTTGGTGCCACCGGGGACTTCGACGTAGTGGTCAGCCATGCGAATGTAATCGGCGTTGGCAGCCAAATCTTCGGGGGTAGCCATGACAGTGAACTGAATGGCCTTCTCGTCGCCGAACGTCTCGTACGCCCATTTTCGCACCGAACGGATCTCCTTGACGGCGGCAATGCCGTTGTTGGCGATCAAAACCTGCATTCGCGCCTCGTCAGCTTCTGTGGTCTACGTTTCGCACGCAATCACAGGGGTCAGATTTCTACGCACGTTGGTGATGACGGTGTGACCATCTTGCTGGGCAACAAAGTCCTTGACCTTGGAGGCCGGGGCGTTGGCCAGCTTGTTGCCGCCAATGAAGTGGTCGGCGATCTTGTGCTTCTGGGCGTACGTCGCCTTGCCGTTAACGTGGGGTACGGTCCGGCCGGAGCCGTTGGCTGCTGTGATTTCGGTCATGATTGCGGTGTGTGGTGAGGGTGTTGCGGGTATCTTAGGGGGTGACCGTCATGAATCGGGTGAGCTCCAGGAGCTTAATTCGGCAGAAGACGCAAGTCGGGAGAGGGTGCTCAAAGGGGGAAGATTCGAGCAGGAGATTAATTCGTATAGTCGGGCTCTGCAACTAAACAGAACAGGGTATTCGCAGAGCAATGGTTGACGGGGTTGTAGGACAGAGATTGTTCGGGTCTCTAGAAAAGGCGGGAAAGTATCATGTTAGCCACGAAACCACAAAAAGTTTCTTGTTGGGGAAGCAGAGACCACCGCCAGCGAGCGCAGGAGGGGAAAATGGGGGGGAATGCCAGGGGTGCGATCGCCGCCGCGGCAGAACATTTGTGAGGGAGAGCGGTCCGGCGGGAGACGCAGCGACAGGCTGGGCCACGGGTATGGGCCAGGGACAGCGAGCGAGGGGTGTCTTTCGGTGTGCAGGGCAGCCAACAGCCACTCGGTAGCAGAGCAGCGACTTCAACTCCAAGACGTACCTGGTTGGTTTGGGAAGCTTCGTGAGACAAGAGCTTCCTTCTTCTGTCTTGTGGCTAGGACAGAAGTTCTATAAAAACAAGAGTGTCAGAAAAGGGAGAATGGAAGGGAGAGAGTGGGAAAGAGGAGCAGAGAAGGGGAGCCACTGTCGGGATGGCGAGGGAGCAGCGTGGTGTTATTGTATTCGGGCAGAGAGGGACTGCGTCTGTGGACTTTTTGGATGAAGTGGATTGTTGGTGTGGACTGCTGAACTGCAACTGCGTGGACGGTGGTGCTGGGGACAAGGAGTCGACGGGTGTTCCGGGGTTCAGTTGAGGGAATGTGAGGTGGAAGTGCAGGGGAAAGTGACTTTGGTGACCGGGGTTGTTGGAGCTGACAGATGTCATGGATGCAAGTACCTTTTTCTGGAGAAGGAGGTATATCGGGACTGGACAAAAAAAAAAGATGGGTGCCGGGAAGGGCTGATTGGGGTCGTAATAGCGTGTGTTGGGAGGTGAGATTGGGGTGACGTGCTGAGTGAGAGTGACAGTGGGATTTCCGTACTTGGAGTATGTAAGTGGGTGAATTAAATTTCCCTCGACACTGCCGCCGGCCGGGGAGGCTTTTTGTTGTCGCTCTGCCTCTTTTCGGTCAAGAAGGAGGAGAGGTTCGGTGGGAGGCACGATGAAGATTACGGACAGCACCGGGGACGGGGGGAGAGAAGGAGAGGAAAGAAGATGCTGGGTCGCGCAGATGGAAGGAGCGACGCAGGCGCACCTGGCTGTTATATTCAGTTCACGATACCTCACTCGGCCTTGCCTAGAGGCAGGTGGTTACCAAGACAATGTGTACAGAAAGTAAGGTAAGGTAAGCACGCAAGTGCGGCAAGGCGAGGCAAGGCAAGGAAGGATCACAGCTGGAAGGTCTGAGTGAGGCAGGTCTGAGATGCTCTTTCCCGCGTCGATGGAGAGAAGGCCAGGCAAGGCAAGGCAAGGAAGGCAAGGCGCATCCCCGAACGAGGTGCTCTGCGCAGGGAAGGTACATCAGGTTCCCGATCGAGATACCTGCATCGGCGCCTTCCAGCGGGTACCTCTCCCAAGTACCTCTTTCCACCGGGCGACGGACTCCTTCCACCGACTAGACCAGATCGTCGTCCTGAGTCCCGTCCTCATCCTCCGCCAAAATCTCCTACGCATCACCATCTTGAGACCCGACCAGACCAGACGCCAGCCCAAGAGCCCCCGCCTTGGCTCCGTTTCTGCTTCTACCGGTGCCGTGCTCTCTCCTGGCAGCAGTCAGGAGAGCCCCAGGTACACCCAGCAACAGGGGGCTTGGTCGAGTCTGTGTGTGTGCAGAGAGGACCGATGCTGCTGATGCTATGTGCATCTCCTGCGCAAGTGCTGCTGCTTCTTCCCTCCCAAGTGAAGAAAAAAAAACATTGGCCGACGCCTCGCCCAGACTCTACCGGCCCTACAGCTTGCGCTCACAGCTTTTAGCACGCTTTGCATTGTTGGAATATGCGGCCCCCTTCCACCCGTCCATCCATCCGTCCATCCAGCATCAATCAATTCAAATCCCCTCCCTCAACCAATGGCCGGGGTGTTGGGGAAGCTCCTGGCTGGGCTGGGCGTGGGCATCACTGAGTGTGGTGGTGGTGGGCGTGGGCGTGCGTGGGCGTGGCGGACCAGCGGGCTGCAACAGTCCTTGTCCATGTCTCTCCCGACTCTCGAGGGTCGCCAAGCTCGCGCCTCTCATCTCAACTTCCAGAGCTCTGGCTCCAGCTCCTTGCGTTTCCAGCAACCCGCCTAGCCCAATCTCGGCCATGGGTTGGGTCAGGTTGGCAATATTCAGAGTTGATCTGTCCCCAATTCTCGCTCTGCCGGCTAAGCCATAGCCGAATTGGAAACCCCAAACCCCAAGCAAGACAGCAGAGACGACGAGGGGGAGAAAAAAAAGTTGAGGACTGGAGAGGGAACAAACGTCAACCTGCAGCATCCCTTGATCCACCGGCACCAAGTTGCGAAAGATACATCGACCAACGCCGGGAACGCGCCGGGGCTTCAGGTACCGATCCCACACGGCGGGGATACGTACCCTGCTATGGCCCCTGCGCCCAGGGGTTTCTGCCGTGCCGTTGCTGCTTGCTGGAATTTTTTCCAGATTTCGGCCAGCAAGGTGCTCATTTCTCCAATCAAAGCTCGTTCTTTGCAGCTCGGGAGATCCACACGCAGCCTTCGGGACGTTATCGATAGGCAGCTGCGAATCAAGTCTGCGCCAAAGCTCCCTCTTCAGTGCTCTGCTCTAGGCGTTGTTTCCCGTTTCCCATTCCTGCCGTCATTGGCGATGTCTTTCTGGGGAAATTCGACCTCAACTCTTCGTCGTCGCCAGACCAGACATAATCCACCAAACACAATCGAGTCCCAGATGATTCTCCCTCGACCTCGTCTCGTACTTCTCGTTGTGAGCCGTCGTTCTTCAGCGACAGCTCCGAATCGGGACTGCTGCTAGATAATGCCGGCCCAGGCCAATAGCTCTGTGTGCGCAAGTACCTACATCGAGATACATCGCGTGGATGGATCGGTCAGCACGCTTGCCACCACCGAACACCGACGGGCCTCTCCCAAGCAATGTCCGAAGGCGCTGCCAGAGACCAAGGCAGAGACAGTTGCGCTCTCAGTCGCACATGGCTCACAGCACGACACACGTTACACGCTGACGCCGCACCACCGACCGTCAGACACCGATCGTCACCGCCGTATAATTACACCCAGACCCGATCCGACGTCCACGAGTCGACATCTCCGACCCAGCCAGCACCCACCGGGCGAACGACCACGCCCAGCGGCCAGCATGCCCGACCTGGCCATGCGCGCATCCCATTTTGTCTCCATTGGCATTTGGCATCCCGTCTTCATCGGCCCCGACATCTCACCAGGCGGGCACTGGCCACTGGGCAGCAAGGCCCTCCAAGTTTCATCACAATCTCCATCAGCTACGCAGCACACCCCTCCAGTCCAGTCCCGATCGCGCAGGCGGTCAGCCAAGTGTCGCCAGGGGTGCAAGCCTCAACAACCTAACCGTCTGCTCGCTTACGCACCTCTAAACCGCCTAGCCTCGCCGGTTCTCCGTCCGGGGACGACCATCGGCTTCCGCTAGTCCCTCAGCAGCAGTGAGCACATCCCAGGCTTTCACCTCGCTGGACGATGAAATTTGAACGTCGATCTCAAGCCCCAAAGCCAGCGGCCAACGGCAGGCCAGGTCAAGCGCACCATTAATTGGCTCAAGTGGCAGGAGCGAGTTCCAACTGCCCTGTCTAAACTGCTTGTCTCAGACAGGCACTTTGAATGGACAGCGCCAAAAGTCTCTTTCCGCTGTTCAGTATCACAAAACTGCATTCCCCAGGTCCAGTGTCTTGGGGAGGGGCTCCCATCGGCTTCGAACGGCTCCGGTGCAAGACAAGTGGAAGGGACCAGCCCGATAAGGGGATAAGGGGCCAGGCTCAGCGGTGGTTGGTGCTTGGCTTTCAATAAAGCCAGGCTGAATTTTCTCATTTCATACAGATCCACGATGGCGATGGGCTTGTCCATCTCGCTCCCCCAACAATTGGGATTTTGGGACACCATTTGGGGGTCCTCTTCGATGGGTCCCTTCCATAAATGCCAGGGGTGCATGCTGAGCCAATGGGAGGCGGACGAAAATAAACAGGCCCCCCCCCCCACTCGAAGGGGGAGAAAACACAGCGCGCCGCAGAAAAAAAATCGCCAACCAGCGCCCGACCAAAAGCAGAGCTTCTCCACCCGCAGATCCCCAACATCTTGTCCGTCCTTCTGCGGGCGTGGAGACCGTGCAGCGCCGCCACGGCAGCCACAACATCGGCCACCCGGCCTGCCACTGACCCATCTGCAGCGGTGCAGCCAACGACGTGAGCCCGCCGAACCCATGGAGACTCGCTATGGCTGCGGACGAACGCCAACCGGCTCCAATGCCAGTTCCTGCTTCTCCCGCCCTCAACTTCAGTCCCTCAACCCTGTTTGCCTATCTCCCAACCCAACTTCGGATACAGAGTCTTCCGCGCTAATTTGCATGTCTTTCTGCAGCCTGGACGCACCCGTGTTACCTCTTGCCGCTGCGGCTACCACTACCGCTACTGCCGCTCCGAAGCCGAAACCTCCCTTCTCCCATCATTCTCCTTACGCCGAGGTCAACATCCCCAGCCAGTCCCTACAGATCGCCCACCAAATCCACAGCAACGCAACCGTGGTCCGTCAGCTTCGTTGACACCACCGCCCGGACTTCCGTTCGTCCATATCCCACCCATTATCAAAGTTTGTCCCCATCACACCCCAGATGGTTGTGACAACCGAACGCCCCAAAGTGAGAGAATCTCCGAGCTTTGGCCCCTTAGGTCGTCCTGTCCTCGGCGCCTCGTATGGATAGAGGATGCTACGCTAGCTCCCTACAGAGGGACGCTTACCCGCACTAAAAACGGGCGAGCAGATCCGATCCTGTCAAAGCTGGGGACCCTCTGCGCGCAATCTGATACTCCCACCTCAACTCGGCATCCACCGTCACCCTTCGACAAACGACGGACGACACTCTTGATTGGATGATGTCCCCTTGAGTCTGGCTGGGACTAGCGACCATGGTGCGCTTTCTCGATTTCTATCCCCAAGAATAACCAAGCTCTCACTCCATCTCGAACCTGTGACACCGGTCATTGCCGGTGAGGCGGCTTGCCTCTGTCTACCCAAGCAGCGGGATGTTTTGGACGTCAAGATCCACTCCCGATGGGTATATGACGGAAGGGAGGCTCCCCCATCTACAAATACGACGTCCTCCCCTGCCCATGGTTTGGAGTCCAAAAGGTATTCGCCCCACTCCCTTGTGAACGAGCCGCATCGCCCCGTGCCTGCAGTAGAACGACTACCGACTGCGTCGTGTCTCGAGCGGCTCCGAACGCCGGTCTTAGCTCATCCGTCCGAACTGACCTTGCAGGTGCGTGCGTCCACACAGTCAGCGTGTTGCTCCGAGACTGCAGCTGCACGACACGTTGGCCAAACGAATTCTCTCTTCCAGATGGCATGGCCCCGTGACAGGGGACGAAGTCGACGCCCTGGGCCGTCAAGTCCCGAGGCTCAGATGGACTCGTTCGCGCTCACATACGCACTCCGCAACTCATTCTTGTCTGATGAACGGCGTTCAGTCAAAGTAGGCATGAGACCTGAGGCTGCCTGGTTGTCTCGCACGAGCCTCGACTAGATGACCCGCTTGTTCTCGACTTAAAGTGACTTGGCCGAACATTGTCCCCTGTGGCTAGTGCAAGAGCCGCAATGAAACAAACAAGCAGAACCGATGACGTGGATCCGGTTCCTGCATCCTGCCAAGTGCCGCATTTAGGGCGCAGCGGTTTTACATTCACATGCAGAGAACGTGTAGACCAGCCATGGGCAGTCCCTATTCTTAGACCGGGGTAAAAGCATCTGCCGAAGATCTCCCAGTGAAGTCCGGCCGACTCTATTCCTGGAGTACGTGACCTTAGCTAAGACCTTGAGAGGCTGATCATGACCATGGTTGTAGCTCTTGTTGATCTATACCGGGTCAATGATGAACATATCCTAGACAAATATGAAGTACACGTGGGCTTATAGCTCCTAAAGCCCGCTATTGGTACACACAGCAGGACCACATAGGAGGCGAGGATGTCTCCGAATCGATGTGGCTCAATGAGGCTGGAGCGGCAAGTTCCGGGGCATGTCGGGCATCATCGATCCTACGTCTTCCAACATCACCATGCCCATGATTTGTTGAGAGAGGCTCTTATTCGATAGGCATCTGGTAACATTCCATGTTTTTAAAGATAGTTCTCATCAACGGTTGATGTTCCGTCAAGCTTGATTTTTGTTTAGCTCTTAGGTGTTTTATTCGTCATGTATCATCCCATATCGTATTGTTTTGCTGGATTCAAACAAGTAAAAGAAACAGCTATTCCATCATTAGACATGCCACCGAAAAGTATTGCAATCCAACAGCATGTGATGAAACTTATCACAGCAAAACGCATCCCCATCCCCTGTTCCTCTTGTCCTCGACAGCATACCGAACCTCCACCGCCCGCCCACCGACATGGAAGGCCGTAAACCAACGCTCCTGATACTCCCTATCCTCTATCCGTCCCAAAAGAGCTTCAAATCTCACAAACTCCTCCACCCCTTCCCGAACCGTCTTGCAAATGTCCTCACACGTGTCTATATCCTCATAGAACCGCGCTCCAAACCCTTTAAGCGCCTCGCACCGCTCGTCCATGGTAAGCACATGCCTCATCACCCGATTCCACGCCTCTGGCCGCTGCGGAAGCGAAGTTCGGGGGTGCTTTCCCAGATTTCCCCTATCCGGGGAAAATCTCACCACCCAGACGCCTCCGCTGGACGGGTGCCCGACGTACACGTCCGGCGGGAAGTGAAAGTCGTACACGGTGCCAGAGCTGAGACGGTCCGCATGCTGTGCGTAGAGGGTCCAGGAGGGCCACCAGTGCGCTCCCAGGCGGAGCATACGATCAGCGAGGCCGTCTTCTACTGCAGGGAGGGAGGAGCGGGGCGTGTCGTGGGTGCGAGGCAGGTCGAGATGTTGCAGGTCCAGAGGGGAGGGGTGCATGAGGACCAGTCCGCCGCGGGAGGGGTAGGCGACGAGGAAGCCTGGGCCCGGGAAGATGTTTGACCGGAGAGGGGGGCGGGGAGGGGTGTAGAGGGGGGAGAAGGGGGGATCGCAGGCGCAGATTTCGAGGACGTCGTCGGGGGATGTGTTGGTGGGGGTGTGGTTGTCTGTCATGATTGTTAAGGACGAGATGAGGCAAAGTGGTGGGAAAGGGCTCGGATTGAGAAGCTGAGCTGGGTTCAATGTTGAGGCGGCAAGGTTGAAGTGAGTGAGACTCTTATGGGCGCGCTTCCCTGCTGTTGGCTAGGCAGACATCAATGTGTTGGTTTGCAAACATTGGGTATGCCAAGACTACATTGCGCACATGTGAGTGACATGGATGTTGGAACGTGGTCAGCTGATGATGGAAGAGACATATATGTTAGGAGGCACGAAAGAAGTTTGTTGCTATTAGTTTTTGAATGTAGACGATTATCATAAGACGGTAAGGAGATCAATGATGATGGCGGTGAGGTGTAAAGCGTTCAAGTCATTGTTTTAAGACCGTGAGTACGTTATGAAACATGTAATATTGTTCCCAATATTACATAGGAAACTATTCCTCGTTACCGAGGACATATATAGGACTGGCTCGGTGACATTGAATGGGATAATCAGTATCAGTATGATACTCTTCTCGGTCCTCCGTGCAGGTTATCCTATTACCTTAGAGAATTACCTCAAGAGACACAGCACCCTCGCCCTTCCTCATGGTCAGCATGTTCACCATCTCCATGCCCCTGTGGCACCCTCTCATTCCCAATCCATCGTGAAAAATACGTTGCATCATCCATACTCCTGAGATGCCCCTCAAAACCCCGCCACTTCTCCCTCCCCTCGTCCAGATCCTTCGCAACAAGCCCGCACTCCGCCACTTTCTCCCAAAACACGCCCCCAAAGTCGCGGATAGCCTCGCACTTCTCATCCATACTCAACACCATCCCCATCCTGACGTGAAAGTCCAGAGGCATCTCAGGCCACGTCCGCTGCTTCCCATATTGACCAAGCGAGTCGAACCAGTTCTGGTCAGGCGAGAACTGCATAACCCACACGCCGCCTGTGGAAGGGTACCCCACGTACGTCTTCGGGGGAAAGTGGAAATCGTAGATGACATCATCGTCGATGCGCGCCTTATGGCGTGAGTAGGTCACCCAGTTTGGCCACCATGTCGCTCCGAGACCCAACATCCTCACTGCAAGGTCGTCTTCCACATCAGGTGTTGATCTGGTGGTGTCGTGGGTGCGGGGGAGGTCCAGGTAGGCGAGATCAACCGCTGACGGGCTCATCATGACGATGCCACCGGTCGAAGGATGGGTGAAGAGATACCCTGATCCGCTGTTGAAGAAATTGGATCGCTTTGGTGGTATTGGGGGCACGTAGGCGGGGTTCCATTCCAGCGAAGGGTCGACGTCTAGGTCGATTAGATTAGCGACATTAATCGGTTCGTGTGGCATTTTGCTCGGAAAACCGGGTTTCCTGGATAAATACAGGTCTTTGCTTCTAGAGTAACCCAGAGTAGAGATCGATGTCGCGACGTGTGTGTGCTAAGGTAGTGATGATTTGGAGAGGAGAAGTCCACCTGGAGAGAGCATCAGACGTAAATGGTCACGTGGTCGGGTTCTAAGCGGCTGCCTGCTTTGGGTCCCTTGCCATGATCACATCAAGCAGAAAACCTGTTGGAACATTGAGACATGCATTTGGACCCCAGATTCTATTTATAAGCTGATGCGCTCCCTTTGAATTGATTTATGTGGTGGTTGCATCTAACAGCAACTGCATCCCACCTCACGGTTCCCCACGGGCCTTTTCTGGCCATATGGGGGCGGTTGGTTCGGATTCGGCGCAGTCTTGCAGATAGACGCTGCATTTAATTTCATTAAAATGAGCCAACAGGGTTCAAGTCCCTGAAGAATTCAAGCTTGAACGAGCGGTTGGTTGCTTGGCCCAAAACTGAAACCAGCTGATAGCCCCCAGTCTCTGGGCAGCGGCGGCAGCGGCGACAGCGGGATTAATGTTGTTGGAAATCTACGAGTGAGCGGGTGAGAAACAGCTTGTTATGACAGTATTCTACCAGTGTTCCAAGGGTTCTCGAAAACGGTAGACGGCTGCGAGTGAGGGGAAGGACCTCCTCGAACGGCAATACTGTGTGGTGTTGGTTCCATGGGCCGGCAACGTCCACTAGTGCACTAAGCGGTGTCTACCGGCCCCCATCACCGGATCAAGATGCTTTGCCAGGGCATCACATCTTTTTGTCTACTCATGCTGTATGTACAGCTGGATACGATTCGCCTCCAGCCTGCAACCCCCAACCCCGATGCACCATGGACCCCAGCGTTCCGTTTGGACCCAAGGCGAAGTTAGAGGCTTCGGGTAAAGTGGCCATCAGTTGGCTCTCATTAAGCGGGCTAATAACAGGCGGCATCTGTGAGAAAGAAAGACGCTTATAATAAATACCGCCGGTGTTCTTGGTTCCCGAAGATTGAGATGTATGAAGAAGCAAAATACATCGCATATCAGCGCAAGAACCTCCTGTTACGGCATCTATACATTGAATCCCTGCGTTGATTTCAATATGCGTTCTATAGCTCTGAGTTTGATGGCAGCTGCTGTTCTGGTCTCATTTGCAACCTTCTCAACTGCCCATCCTCATCATGATGAGACGCACTTCAAGAGAAACACTGCTTCTCCGGAGAAACCAGGCAATCATCCAGAACAGCAGCTTCCGCCAGGTATAACAGTAGATCAGATGAGAGCGGCTGAGCCCCTGAGAGACCCGGTAGATGTGCAAAACTGGTCCGGCACGAGCCTCTATGGTTTTGAGTACGTCCCCGACAGCAGAAAGTGCCGCGCTTGAGAGCTGACAAGACCGTATAGGAACTGTGGAGATGGCGGTGCTATCATCAAGCAAGCCTACAAAGACGCCAACAAGATTGTGAACCTCAAAGGTGTCAAGTCCGACATCAACTGGGATTCTGCGGCTGCGTTGGAATATCTCGGACCTCCAGGTAAGAAGCGCATCCAAGGTCTCCTGATAGGCGTCCAGTGTTACCAAAGCCCTTGCTTTCCTCACGCGAAACACAACTTGCTAATTGGGAGAAATTAGCCTTGAACAGAGCTCAGCGTTCTCAGATCCAAGCCGTCCTTGCGAATATGGCAACTGTTTACGATGGCTGGGCTCCCGGGATATTCGCCAATTGGATTCACGTAGGAAACTCATAACACCCCAATCCTTGCAGCGACAGACGAGTTGCTGACCCATGGGAAAACCTAGGCCCGCTGTGACGACCCCAAAGAACGTTGTACCATTCAATGTAGCGCCACGACAGAAGAAGACGACGATCACGACCAGCCCATCGTGAGGGCTTATTCCCAGAATCCGTCCAGCGTTAGCGGCATAGACTGGCCTTACATCAACTTTTGCCCCGGCTTCTTCGGTCTCCCATCACTCGACACTGCAGTCCGCCAGAACTCGGATCAACCTGCGGCCAAAAAGTACCACGTAGATAGTTACCGCTCCACAGGTGAGGCGAACCTTGCTCAGACCCCTTGCGCGACCAAACTACCTACTGACCTAACTTACTTGCCAGCTGGCACCTTTCTCCACGAGCTCTTCCACCTTGATCTAGCCGCCGACTCCGTCAAGGGCACGCCCAACCCCAAGGTCCGCGACATGAAGATCAGCTACTTCTTCTACGACGAAAAGACAGGCAAACGCAAACTGTCGGAGCTCCAAGGCGCCTACGGCGCCACTCTCGCCAAGGTCCTGGCTCGCTTCGTTCCGAGCCAAGGCCAGGAAAGCACAGGATACTATGTCCAGCGCAATGACGATAACCTGGGTAGATTTGCCCTCGCAAAGTACATCGAGTCCAAGATCGGCGACTACCCATTCTTGCCTCAGATATACCAAAAGCTGCAACGGGTACATGAGCCCAATCCGAGGCCAAACTCCATTGGCGTCTCGTGGGATGTCGAGAACGACAGCGTTGCGGTGCTGAACCTGACGGTTGCCACGTTGGACGCTTCAGTTCCCGACGACGACGGCGTGTGCCCTTGGGGTCGGGCGCCGAATGAGGACGATTTCGTTGTGAAGGCACCGCACCCCGACAGTGCATATCCTGATTGGTATCATGCGCAGCAGGAAAAGTGGCTCGCCGTGGTCACGGATTCCCTGGGATCCGATACTTGCAGTCTCAATGTCACCCAGGTATGGACCTGCGAGCCTGCAGAAGCTAACTTGTACGCTCGGGTCACGATCAATAATCCGAAAGGCGATGTGATATACTCGACTCCTGGGTCGACGCGGACGCCCGGTCAACCCATCAATGACAATAATCCCCTGAAGCTGAAAAAGGGGGAGATGCAAGACACATTGACGATCGTTGGGGAGCACGTCAATGACTACATCCAGTTCTACCACAAAGATCTCGCGTGGACTTCTTGGACGAAAGACGGCCCAGCTAGTTGCAAGCTGGTTGGCGACAATTGGAGTGAAAAGGGGCCAGAAAATTGCCCTAGCAATGCTGTGGTAAGTTCTACTTGTGCACTGCCCCCATTCAAGCTGACCTGTCAATGTCGCAGACGAGACAATTCGAGTGCCGATATCCTTGCTGAGTGAGACTGCGTGAATTGCCGGGCGGTGCTACTGCGGAAGGAGGTCGGGTCAACTGAGGGCGTCGGAAAATATTTGGACAGCAGGCATTTTGACACTGGGCCCCGATAGATTTAAGTGCAGTGTGCAGCCCTGTTCAAGTGTTCCCACGACAGTCGTCGCGCGGGCGAGCGAACGTACTCGGCGCTTGGTTCGGGGCATTAAAATCCAGTGTATTCAGACCAGGTGTGGTAAAACGGAATGGGAGTGGGAATAAGTGTAAAGGCCCGCAAGCACAATAAACCCCGGCACCGCCATGCTCCCGTCCAAACTCATAATCATACCAACGCCCTAATGCATATATCCACGCCGGACCCCGGCCCCCGTAATCATCATAAACAAGAATGGTTTGGTTTGGTTTCGACAAAGGAAAAGTGGTTTGTAAACCGAAGACGACTTTCTTCTCTTCGTCGGTCTTCCAATTCGAAAAGGATAGAATAATGGTAATGTTTGTGCGCCATCGCTGTGCTCGCACCGTTTCCCCGCCATGCTATGATGCACGACTCTAAAGGTAGTAGTAGTAATCAAAAACACGAGTTCCGCCTCCTGTGGTATCAATTCTGCTTCGCCTCGAGATGTTCAAGCAACGCTTTCAACTTCAGTACGTCTCCTCCTCGACCAGGTCCTGGGGTCCGATTCTCGAACTCCTCAAGCCCATGGAGCTTCGCCTGCCGGATACACTGCCTCCGCTCTGGCGTCGGCTGCTTGGCATTGGAATGCCGCTCGTCGGCATGGGGATGCCACTGACGGAGCTGTCGGCCTCAAGGCGGGAATATGTGCCTCGCCTGCTGGGTGTGCGGTATTCGTCCTCGTCGTCTTCGGGCATTTCCATGCGGTGGTGGCTCACACTAATTGACCTTCCGTGCCCGCGAACGCTGCTCCTCAAAGAGTCTCCCAGGGAGCTCCGGGGGCGTCCCAGAGGTGTCCTAGTACCTGACATGCTGGTACGGCTAATAGGGCGAGGAGGTGCCATATCGGTGCGACTTGACGGCCGGGCGTATGATGTGCTGGCCCGCGAACTCGGTCGAGAGATTGACTCATCGTGGCCGGCGTTGGGATTCCGGTTGGGCAGGGGACCGAACGACAACCTGCTGACACCCGACGTACTAAGGCGGGGCACATGCTTTGATGTTGTGCTGGCAGAGAAGTTGGATGGCGTTTCGTCGCCCCGCACTGAAGAGGCGGTGGAGCCTGTTGGGCGCTTGCGAGAGCGGATCGTAACCGTCGAAGGCACACTGTGGACTCCATTGACTGAAGATCGGGGCGAAGCGCGGGGCGGCGTGGTGACGGGTGCGGGAAGCTTTGATCGAGCATTGTGGACACGAGCTTCCAGGCGTTGCATCTGCGCGGTGAGTGATCGGATGTGGCTGAGCGAGTTGGTGGTAGGCATGCGCTGAGAGGTTGAGCGGGGCGCCGTGCGAGTGGCAGGAGTGCGGGTGGTCGTGTTGGCACCGGAGACACGACCGCCGGCAGGTCGGCTGCTCGTGACGGAGGCAGTGAAGGATCGGGGCTTCGGGGTGACGCTGTGCTCGACGGACGGCAGGCGGGAGACTTTGCGCGTCGTCGATGCGGGTGTCCTGGTAACTGTCCGTCTGGGTACGGATGCGGAGACGTCGGACATTGGAGGCGAGGGCGGTTCCATGAGCTCGGCCTTTGCGGCGGGCAGAGCCTCCGAGTCTGGTGGGGTTGTGACCATCGGGGAGCTCGCTGTCGAGTTGGGAGAGTGCTCCGTGTTCTTGTCGAATGTAGGCGACGACATGACGGAGAGGTCGGTGGAGATGTGGGAAAGGTGGCGTGCCTCTTGCTTCTTGAGCTTGTCTTGGAGCAGCTCGGCTTCGATCTTGAGATCGGCAAGCTCCTCACGCAGACGTTGCGCCTCGATGCGCAGGGTCTCTCGCTCTTGCTCGCCCAGCTTGATTTCCTCCTCCATCATGACTGCACGCTCGATCGCAACGTTATATTTTGATTCAAGGTCCTCGAGGGAGGACGTCGTGTTTCGCGCCTGTCGCTCGAAATCGTCGTTGGCGACCTCAATGTCGCGCAGCTTCAGCTGCATGGTCCTGTTGGTATCGCGCAATGTGGTAATCTCCTTCTCTAGCGTGTTTTGAGCCGAGTTTGCTTCCGTCTTGGCTTGCTTGTATTTCGTCTGCAAATCGGACCTGGTCAGCGCTGGCCGTCGCAATCGCATCCATCCCTAGATGCTGCAGGCGGGAGAAATCTCACCTTCCACTCCTCAACCTCGAACTTGAGGCTCTCAGCCTTCTCCTGCAGGCCGCGTTCCCTCTTCTCGGCAGCCTCAATGTCCTTCTCCAACTCTTGCTCCAGCTCCTTGCTGGATTCACGGAACTCGGCTAGTTCTCCCTCGAGCACCTCGTACTGGGCCTTGTACCAGGCCAAGGCGTCCTCGGCGCTGGTTGCCTCGCTGGGCGGAGATGAAGGTGGCTCTGCCATGGTTGCTATCTGTTGCTACTGTGACGTCGTCGCCTCGGTGATCAGACGGATTGCATGTGAAGCTCGGCGAAAGTGGTGTTTTGGGTTTTGTGTGTTTTTGTCGCAGGTCGTGCAAGGCGCGGGGAAAGTATGCGGTCGCAAACGGTAGCGGTTGAAGATATACAAAAGGAAATTGTAATGTTGTGTAGAATGATCGTAAGAGTCGTAAAATGCGTGCTGTGCGGTCGTCGTTAGCTTGGTGTTGATTGCGCAGATTGAGGGACGCGGTCGCAGCGAAAACGACGTGCGGTCGGCAGTGCGGACGTACCGACTCTGTGGGTTGTTGTGGTGGCTGGTCGGCTGGGTCGTCGTAACAAGGCAGAGAAAAAGGACGATGGCCGAAGAAGAGGAGCAACAGAATAGAATGCAGGTGTCGTCGGTGTGTGTCGATAGTCGCGGTGGCTGGTGTCGATGATGGTTGTGTGTGTGTGTGTGTGTGTGTGTGTGTGTTCGATGCGCCGCCTTCGGATGTATTGCGGTGGGCGAACTTCAAGGCTGCTGCTGCGACTGGACTTACCTGACTTACCGGTGGATTGTCGTCGCTGGTCGTTCGTTGGTCGTCGTGTTGTCGTCGTCGTCGGTAGTGAAATGCAGTTGTCGATGTTGACTTCGACAAAAACAAGTCAGGGACTGCGACGGACTGGACGGGACTACTAGACTGACTGACTACCTACTGGACGCAGGACCGACTAAGGAGTGGTGGGATTGGGCATGGCTGGGACAGGAAAGGAAAGGGTCAATGTTGATGTCGGTCAGGCGTGTGTGCGTGGTGTGTGTGGTGGTGCAGTGCGTTGCTGTTGCGGGTTGCCCCCTGTCGCCCCTTGTCGTGGCAGTGCGCCAGTCCCGATCGGGCAAGGCCTGCTACCACGGGCAACTGGACTGCTGGATTATGTAAGTCGCCCGTGAGCCAGTGAGAGCGGTGGGAGCGCTGCTGAAAGTGGGGGCGGTGCCTTTTTTTGGATCGTCTGCAGCAGCGGCAAGCAACAACACACTGCGACTCTTTTGCCTGCAGGCTGCTTGCTGCAGTAAGGCACCTTCCTTCCTGCTGCATATGCAAACGATACGTACCGCCGCACCCGCTCCTTCCACATTCCACTGTCCCTAACACCTTTCCATACTTTATTATATGTGTCTCTGTTAAGGCGTCAACCAAACGTCTTGGGGAAGGAAGCCGCAAAGCCCAGAGCCCCTCCTTCGTCATTTGCTTCCCGCCGCAAGGTCATCGCCTGCAGCTTCACTCTTCACTCTTTCAACCACCTCGAATCCTCCCCTCCTGCCCCCAACACGTCAACATTTTCTGCCTCTCCAAAGCTACGCAGTACACCCGCTGGCGATCATGGAGACTGCGGTGGACCTGCAAGGCTTGTAACTTGAGAGGACACCTCTAGTCCTGCCATGCGAAATGCACAGCACCGCGGCCTCAGCCTTCCTCCCCATGAGGGATCCCCGTCCGGCCCGGTCAATCAAATCAGTCCAGTCGCAACACAGTCAAACAGCATCACGGCATCGTGTCTCACTCGTCCATCAAATCAGACCGCCTCCCACCGCCTACGCGTCTTTGTTTTCTTACCCTCTGCAAACGCGCAACGAACCATAACCGTGACTGAGCGCTGCAGAAGCCCCCCAACCAACCGCCGTAGATCTACCTGCCTAGCTGTACTAACAAAAAGCTCCAATCCTATCCTCGGACGATGACGGTTGCAAGCAGGCCGCTCCCGGTCCGACTGAACCCCCAAATCAGGGCAATCCCAACTTTTGACCTTCATGCATATGCACTGTTCCCTTGGAGCCCCTTTGCCATTTCACCAGAAACCCACGCCAGCAGCTTACCCACCGCCCGCGGCACCACCCTGCACGACATACCGTCTGCCACCGATGCGGCGCGGGTGCCGATTCGATCGGAGTAAAAAAGTGTCCCGAAATCTGCTTCTTTTTTGTTCGCAGATGGATGCAGAGAAGCTAAGAAAGATCAGACGTCCTGACGTTTGTTTCACATTCCACGCGCTAAGGGGCCCAACCAGTCCCTTCCGCATGACAATATCAAAAGTCTCATGCCCATGAACGGCACACCGCACCTTACTCATTCGCCCACCCACTCACCCAGCGAGCTTGGTAAATGTTAATGCACCTGACCTGGCCTCGCCCAGCCTGCTAAATTAAGGGATTTTGATTCATCACCCTCGGGAGATCCTCCTCGCCTAGACAGGGGTTAGAGGTGGTGGATGTGTTCTTCCGGTCACGTCCGACCGCTGCGCTGTGCCTTCCGATGCCAATTTCTGTCCGGCCCGCGATCGTCGCATCCGTCGCAGATACAACTGCCACCCCCTCCGTCTTCATGTCGCTTCCGGCGTAACCTCCGCCAAACGGGATCCAAGCCCGAGCTCGGGCGGACTGCCATTTTTACCTACGTCTTCGGCAAAAACCCATGTCGCCCGCTCTCGACAATCTCGGCGCACCGATCGCAACCAAGATGCTGACCTGTTTTGTTTCTCACCGCCTGCCATGTCGATATTCTGCCGGTTGACGCAGGACGACCGCCATCGATACTCGGAATAGCAGCTCGTCAATCATGGCGTTGTGGCTAACAAGGTGTCAAAAAGAGGTTAATAGTGTTGTGACAGTAGGCGATAAGACTGCCACGCCAAAGCATTTACCGACGGTCAAAGGTATCGCCTAATTTTCCTGCGTCTACGCGACTATGTTTCCTTTGCCCTGAGTCACTCCGATTGAGGACGGTAGTATGAGAGTAAAAACAATAGAGGTCATAAAAATATGACGCTGTTGAGAGTGCGCTATCGAGAAGTTGAGCTGGGTTTGGTGATGGCGTAACCATTCATTTTATGTACTAAAGGAGTGACTGATAGAAACAGGGCCCTGTATGAATACAAAGTGCAAACTCAACATCAATCCACTACTTTTCCCTCAATGTACTGACAAGACGCGAACGATCCCCTGAAATCAAAGAGCTGTTGGCGCCAATCATGACTGCTTCGCCCATCGGCTTCTTAGACGCAGAGGACGGAGTTGCCAGTGTGCTTGCACTCTAAAGCGTCATTGTCAGCAACTAGCCCGCAGGATCCACTCCACAATTGGGAAAAGGTAAGGTGTAAACTTACTGCCCTTGAACTGGCCACCGACGCCGTTGGTCCAGTAGGCGCAGAAAGCACCGTTGCCGTGGACACTCTCGGTGTTCATCGTGGTGCAGGCCTCGTGGACGGTAGCTGGTGTCACATCGGGGGTTAGCATCTCAACGGACTCGGGTCTGATAAAACGGCTCTGAAGTGAGGACTTACACCCGCGGATGGTGTAGTACGTGTTGTTGGCAACCCAGACGCCGTTGGCGTCCTTGGTCCAGGCGTGGGCGCCGGTGGCAAGCAGGGCGGCGGCGGAGAGGATGATGGCGGAGAACTACATTTTGAATTGAGATGTGTGGATTTGGACGAGGAAGCCGGTGGCTTGAAGGATGTTGGGGTGTATAAGTGTGAATACGAGGTGGGTTGTCTGAGTCTGGAGATATTTCTTTCTGAGGTGAAGAGCAAATCGGTTTATATAGCTTTTGGATCTTCTGTTTTGAGGGTTATTTCCATGAGAGATGCATGCCTCTATGATATCTTAGTACGCATAGTCATGGGAGGAGCCATGTTGTTTCACAAGATGGAAAAGCTCGCGGAGCCTACGGACAGACTATGCGATCCTTCGAAACAATTTGGGCGATCTTGTTTCGTTGGCTCGGACTCAGCTCTGTGTTGGACGCACAAGTACGAGACACAAGATCCTGCTGCGACAGGGAGCCTCGTCTGGTACGAGGCGTAGCTAACCATGTCCTAGACTTCGCTGCATAGATGGAGTCCTTCTCGCCTACTATCTACGGACTAAGTCGTGGGTCATGGGGCCGTAGTCTTTCCCTCGGATTCAGCGGAGCTATGAGTCTGCATTTGGGCAGAAAGCGTAGCGGCCCACTGCTCAATGTAGCTAGGAACTGCGCCTCATATGCAAGCTCTACGAGAGACTCTGCAGTTGACGTCTAGGGGTTGAAATGAAACTATGACTACCTAGTTCTTTTCAGCATGTAGTACCTCCTGCCTTACTTGGCATTCTAAAGGTTCGAAAGACGCGGGCTTCCACATTCCCATTACCCGATGCCAAGAACACGGCCCCAAGTGGCAAAGACAAGCTGGCTTACTACTGTCTCTCGATGTAACACGAATGGATTGTGCATACTGACATTAGGCAATGATCTGGTTCTCTTGAAGTTCCGGTGAAGAAATGCCAAGTCGCTGGTTGAAGCTGACAACAGCCAGGATTCGTGCGACGTGAACCACTTTTTGACGAAGCCATGCGAACCAACACAAATCTCCCAACACTCGTGTTCATACTTGATTGTGAGTAAGAGACAGGCAATAAAGCAGTATTGCTTTGCCGTGAACTATATTAGGCAATTCTATTCCCAGCCACTGAGATACTTGCTCCAGCGAGGGTTCGAAGACTTGGACCTGGATACAATGATCCAACAGCAGCTCTGGATGTGTGACTTGACCAGCGGATAATTGCATGTCCTCACATTCCTGCCAGGCAGTCGCCAAGGGAAACTCTGAATAGTACTGAGTTCAGCGATTGACAAATGACAAGACAAGTCTCACAAACCAAGAGACTGAAGTCGTTAATCATTCGATGGCAACATCGGCACGGGACAGGGCTGACGACGTTGCAAGGGATACACGAACGGAAGGCTTCTCCGCTAAGGCGGGGATGTTTAAAAGAGCGAAGGGACCAATCGCGATGTTTCTGACTGAATAGCCCGGGGTTAGTGCCCGCCCGGGACGGCACGGCTTACACCGGTGGCCGTGGGCTTACGCAGGGGGGAGATCGTCATCTCAGACTCCCCCAACGGAAGTCTTAGCTACTGAAATGGCTTCTCCTTCTTTGCTGCAGCCACCTTGATTTAAAATCACAACAATCAATAAGATCTATCTCTAGAAGTTTAATAGAGACGAACGAAGGCTAGCATATCGTTATTTCCTGTTAGATATTTCGTTAAAGTCGACTGAGGACATCTGTAATCCTACTAGTCGCGGTACCTGTGAGGCGCAGACAACAGTCAAAGGCAACAACTGCTAGGTTGTCAGTGATAAAATGCATGTGTGATTGTAATTTTCTTCTATCCTTATCTTGCTTGACGCGAGAATGCCCCTTAGAAGTATTGTCACGTCACGTCACGCGGGGCCACTAACTCCGATGTATCACGTAAACGCCGAAGGATCTAGTACCTGTCAGAGTCTGACCCGGACAATTTGACAATAATCAAGACGTTGCCTGGTTACCCCGCTTTCCATGCGTCATGTTACTTTTATGAATGGTCAGGTGAATATCATCAGCCAGGCACTTCAGATATAAACACTCTTCAAAGCCATCGGTGTCCCAGAAAAAACCGCCCTACTCGCCTGTCTAGTCCCCTCACATCATGGCCAAGACTAAAAAACTAGCCAAAGAGAGCGTCGTACGGTTGACAAGTTGGACCCGGTTTTACCTCCCGCGGGAGCAGGAGTGGCCGACGTGGTCGGCAGGGCAAGCTGGTGGTGGCCATTATGGCCCACTCAAGGGCGTCAAAGGTTGTTTTATGGCATCTCTGGGGAGAAAAGTTGACGACCCTGAAGAGGCCGTCTATATTATCGGTGAATACCATCTACATCGGAAATAAATGACATCTTTCCCTTGACTGACTTGGCTGTATTGTGACATCAAACAGAATGGACTACTATGGAAGCCCTAGAGAGCTTCCAGTCTTCTCCCGTCTGCGCAGAGTTCCTGCGGGGCCTCCCCGAGAAAAACGACGAGTCGCCCGTCGCTGTCGAGTCCGGCTCGGCGCTAAGGAGAGTAACGTTGGACGATACTTCCTCGTCGTCAGCACGTACAGCATCGCGTTTCCTCGTATTTAAGCACATCACTTCAAGCCCCAGCTCGAATGTAGAGGAGGGCCGGGTCGTTGTGACTTCCTTTTTGGTGCCGCAAACAGTTGACGACGTAACTCGCATGTGGACAGAACATTTCTACAAACCATTCCAGTACTTTGTGCCCCGCGGCTTCGAGCCCGTGGTAGTTACAGGCAGCTTCCTGTCTAAGTTCTCACACGAGTGGTTCGGGGTTCTCTCGGAAGACCGCTGGGTAGAGGACAAGTTTGGAAAGCTGGACGACGGCCAGGGTCGGACGATCATCTCCCACTTCCACCTGTGGCCATGGGACCGTGGTGCCACCCCGGAGATGGAGGCGGCGTCGGCGGCGGACCCGGAGGCGAGAGAGGCGTGGGATCGGGTTGTAGCGCAGGTCATGCCCCCGGCGACCGCCTGGGTACAGGAGCGATGGGAAATCCGATTCATGCCTCCCCCGCCTAAGCCTGAATATGATTCGGGGGAGCTGCCCGAGTATCAAAAAGAGAAAGTGAGACGCCTGGTGTCGTTCCGCGAGGCGAATGGCCCCAAGGAAGATTATACGTCGAATTGAGTTCATGGGTCAAGGTTTAGAATCAACAGCAGTTCCCAATTCTATCAGAAGGAACGGGCAAAGAAATGTACAAAGCTCAAAACAACATACATAAGACACATCGCTTAATTATCACATCACAGTACGCAAAACTGACGGAAAGTCAATACATGGCCTACAAGAGCCGTCATCCCAACCAGTAAGCGATATGGTCAGTAAGCGAGTACCACTAAGAGAACGACTTCAACTAAGTAATATATAGCAGTAGGAATTCTATGACTGAAGGCCAGGGATGTACTGATAAATCACCGCTCTATGCCCCGTTGAGGGTATCGACGATGGTGAAGCCGGTGTTTGTACTGGCATTCCCACCCGCGGCAATATTGCTGAGACGACCCCTGCAGCACGACTGACATTTAGGATCATCGAACGGCGACCCGCAGGCTCTGCAGTCGAAGTCCGCGCATGGATCGGTTCCTTCATCCCCTCGGCCGCCCTCGAAGGTGTACAACAGGCATCCAACCTGACATGTGCCACCGACACCACCATTATTGCCTGGGTGGACTGTTAGTTTACTTTCATTCTCCAAGATCGTACAGGAAGATACGTAAAGCTACTCAGGGAAGCCACTTACACTTGGTATAATCTTCCCGGACGAGCAAGTAAGCCGTAATGAGGCTGGGCGAACCCAGCGGGAACCCAAAGCTCTGTCTGTCGACCGAAGTGACGCAACCGGGAACCCAGCTGCAAGTATAATCATAGTTGACGCCGTGGGAGTCCGTCCGGCGCAGCGTGATAGCCGCATCGTCCGGCCCGAGCGTGTCATCGTCGCCCATATCACCGCGCAGATTGCTGAAGGCCGTAGAGAAATCGTCCTGGTCGCCCGACTGGATATCGGCGTGGCCCGGAAAGTCAGCTTCGTTGAAGCAGTTGATGGGTCCGCGAGTGAGCGGCGTCTCATCGGTGGGAGGAGTAGTAGGCGGTTGCGTTGTCGACGTACCGGGCCCTATCGTCGTTGTTGGCGCCGAGTAGCCGCCGGAACTGGGGTCCTTCGGGTCCTGGTACCCGGGCGGCGCGCTTGTTGGGTTGGGGTTGCACCAGTAGCCGGAGCAGATGGTACCGCCGCACGCCGTGCTGGCACCGCCACAGGTCGGCCCCGCGCTGGGTCCCGGGGTAAAGGAGAGAGTAGAACCACCGGCGGTTGCTCTGTTGCGGGCTATTTCCGCCGCGAGGGACGAGAGTGCGGACATGGTGAAGGCTTCTCCAAGATCGGTGGTCGCCCAGTTTTCGCCGTAGAAAGTGCCGACGGGAGCGGGAGTCTGAGTGCCAAACACCTCGGTTGTCGAGTCCGAGACACTGATGGAGCAGCCGGTGATGGTTTCGCACCGCGTTGTTGACGACGTGGTGGTGCCGGCCGAAACGTAGTTCGTGGTGGTACAGGCCTCGGCCTTTTGCGTCTCGCACTCGGGCTCCGATCCGGTGGTGAGCTGATGATCGTATCCAATGGTGATTTTCGGCCAGTTCGGCAAGTTTCCGATGATATTAATACCGGGAGGCGGGTGGATGATATCAATGGGCGGTGGCATGGGGCCGTAGATGCCCGGCGGCAGAATCCAGCGCCAGGATCGGACGCTGACCTCATTCCAAGAGATACAGAAGAAGAAGAACCAGGCGGTGCAGGGTACCAGAACGCTGTCATCATCAGGCTCGGGATCATCGACCTCCTCTTCCGAGGGGATGATTGAGCCGTAGCGTGGCCACTCCGTGAAGAGTGGCAGCGGTCCGTCGGTGGTGGTGGGGGACCCGGTCTTCCAGGATGTGACGAGGGAGCAGTCAACGCTAGCTACAGCCGTGGCGGGTCCGAGGAAGGTAAGAATGCGAGTTGTCGGGCACGCAAAGTTCAGAGTCAAGTCCAAATTCTCGGTACACGTCGTCGCCACGACGACTTCCGGTGTTTTGAAAACGATGGCCGTGGAACGGGGACAGTCAATGGTGATGACCCCAGTCGAGCCCGGAAACGTCACTGTCGTGACTGTAGCGCCGGGCACCGTGATTGTGCTGCTGATGGGAGTGTAGTACGTCGTGCTGGAGGGAAGACCTGAGCCGCTGGGCGGAGGTAAGGTGCCTGGATTCGTATACCCGCTCGACGGACCTCCATTGATAAGGGGCCAAGGTGGAAGGGGAACCACACGAGTGGTAGAGCCGCCCTCTCCATCCGGTAACGTAACGGTAGCATCCGGGACGTTTATGCTGGGATATATGGTGATGGGCATTGCTCCCGACGATGTTACGTTCACGTTGGAGAAGGGCATGCCGTCGGTGGTAATTGCGGGTACCGAGACGGTCACAGTAGTAGTGGTAGTGACGAAGATGGTGGTGGCAACACCGCCAATGGCAGTGCTTGAGAACCCTCCATACTCCAGCGACGTGACATAGTCGCTGGGACTGATGGTCGTTGTTGAACCCAACGATCTCGTAGGAATGACCAACATGCAGGATCGGGACGCGACCGGGCAACTCACCGTGGGGGAGGCCCATACTTCAGTTCCAACCCACACAATGTCGACGCTATCAGACCCTGGAAGCGGCACCCATACGCTGACCTCGGTTGTAAACCCTCGCTGGTTGTCTTCCTGAGGGACGTTGGTGTTATCGATGCCACTGGCTATGTTGATGGTTGCTACAGTGAATAAGTTGTAAATAACGACGCCGGTCGAGCCCTTGACCTCCAAGATCCGGTCCTGGCAGTTGTGGGTAGGAATGCAGTCCTGATAGTACTCGTTGAAAAAGCTGTACAGTCCAGCCGCGTGGATCAAGACATCTTTCGAGTCAATGATTTGCAAGCCCCAGGCGTAGTTACACCGGTCATCCCAAACATTCGGCGCGATCTCGCACTTACTGAAGTCCGGATCATTGGGGAAACCAGCGCGTGGGGCCGCACGGAAAGGAGCAGGAGGGCCGGGGTTGGGTTGGTAATACGGCGACTCAGTCTGGATGTGACCCATATACACGCTCTCGGCACCGCTGAGAAGATAGTTGTAGAGGACTGAGTGCTCCGAGCCGCCGCCGTAGAACCACGACGGGCCCTTGGACTCGATTAGCATGCCGCGGGCCCCAAAGACGGTGATCTGCGTCGAGCTTGAGTCGGGCTGGTTGTAGATGGACTTGTCGTTATCATGGTCCCCAACCCACGCCCACACGTTCTCGAAGTACCCGTTGGCCTGGGACGTGACGCGGAACATGAGCGAGGCAGCGACGCACTCGGCCTTGATACTGAACTTGGGGCATTTGCTCAGATCGAGATCGGTGCCCAGCGCGCCGCCGACGCGGAAGTGCGAATCCCACATGGCCGCCGCGCCCTGCTCCACGGCTGCGACGTTCCACTCCATCAGGATTGCACCGGCCGTGGCCCCGCGCACCGAGAAGAGCATCTCGGTGATCTCCATGGTGCCCACGTCGCCCTTGTTGCCGACCTGAACCATGACTTTGGGGTTCTGGATGTCGCTGAAGTAGAAGCCCGAGCCCAGGATCTGCGACCACAGAGAACCCTGAACGACGGAGCCGGTGGGGATGTTCACCGTGGATCCAACCGTGTAGACTCCTGCTGGGAAGTAGGCGATCTGACGGTTGTCCGCGGCCTTGCGGAGGAAGTTGTTGATGCAAGAGGCTTGATCGCCGGTGGCATCGTTCTTGCATCCGCCATCTGTGGTCGCCACTAGGAAAGAGCCGGCGCCGGTCTTCTCGTACTGGGGCCTTGAACGCACGTAGATCAAGCCGTTGGAATCATCCAGGCCCTTGCCCCTTCCAGGAGCGGAGAACGCGCCAGTCTCAGTCGAGCCCTCGGAGCCATTGTATCGCTTGCCCGTGGCCCATAAGTCAGAATTCCCAGACAACAAGTTGTTTCCGCCCGTACTTCTGACGGAGTTGGCCACGTTATTGAATTTGGTGTTGTCAAGGACAATGTTGGGCGACGTAGATAGGCTGTTGGTCAGGACGCCGATCTCCACGTCGCTGATGGTGGAATCGACAATGGACACGCTGCCTATACCCTGGCCGCTATCACCACCAACCCCTGAGATATTGAAACCGATAGATCCGCCGTTGATGGTGATCTGATGCCAGTTCCAACCCCAGTCCCAGACCATCTGCACGGCAGTGTTGCACTGGTTGAAGACGAGGTTACGTGCCGTGTACTGCTGAGACCCTGCTCGCCAGCCGATGTTGCCGCCGTTGAACTCAAGGTCAGACACGAACCCGCCACTGCCATTCTCCGTGAAGATGCCAACAGCGGTGGTGGAGCTCGTGGTAGGCATGTCGAACACCAGATTCTGTAGCGAAGTGGCCTGGGACACCTGCCAATGGATACCAGTTGGCACGAGGTCCTGGTCATTCTCCGCTGTCGAGTCGGGCATGTCGGTCAAGTCGAAGCGGAAGTTGCGGATCTGACGAAAGAACTGGTTCTGGTTGATGTACCACTGCTGGCCCGAGGCGCCGGGAATGTAAGGATCTACGTCGAACAGGGCGATTCCCTGGAAGTCGTCGCAGCCTTTGATGATGGGCATGTCGTTGGGGTCGCCAACGAACTGCGTGTAGTAATATTGGATGACGGGCGTACAGATCTTATAGGTACCTCCCGGGAAATAGACGATAGCGCCCTGCGAGAATGTGTTTCCGCATTTCTCACCGCATCGCGTCCGGTCGCCGCCGACGGAGTCTTTGTTCCAGCTGGCTGATGCCGCGTTTAGTGCCTCAGTTGCGTCCGACTCTCCCGAGTTGTCGGCGCCAAAGTCGTCAACAACGTTGCGGAAGAACTGGTAGCCGTCTCCGCCAGCAAATGGTTGCTGTTATTCATAGTCAGTTGGAGAGACACACGTTAAGACGAATTGCAGTCAGCTCACTGTTCCCAATGGTCCTAAACTAGACAGCCAGAAGTCGGATGACTGCCGCTTTTTGGGGGGCGCCTTGAATCTTGTTCGCTTGATAGTGCTGTTAGACCCAGTGCTGTTAGACCCCGCGCCGTCGTAGCCGCCGCGGAGCACGACGCCGCTCTGGAGGTTGGCCAGGTATGTGTTCAGGCTGCCCGAGTAGGCCCATACTGGGCCATTCTGTCTGCCCTTGTCTGGCGCTGTCTTGTAGTAGTTGTGCTGGTTGTCAACCATATACGCCGGCGCCGGCTATGAAGCAACTTGTTAGCGTTACCCATCCCAAGTACGAAGAAGAGCCACGACATACCCGTGGACCATGATCAAGATTGGTCCCATTAGAAGGCAAAGTAGTGTTTCGTCCGCGAACCGTGATGGCTGATAACACGAGGCTCCCTTGGGCGGCTAGCAAAGTCAAGAAAAGAGCAAGTAATGCCGCCATGGTGCTCTACCATCTCAGCCCGAATAGCAGTGTGTCAATGAGGCGCACGAAGAGGTGCGTGGTGACTGAGAGAAAGACAGAAAGGATGTGACTCTTGGGGGAAGGCAACTCGAATTTCACCAGAAGACATGCGAACATGAATAACACTGCGTCAAGTGGCAAGTCGCATGAAGGAACGCGGAGACCCGGTTGTGCGAGATACAAGTCCCTCACGCAGCTGCCTATTCAGTACTTGCCAAGAGTCCGGTATGCCTCGCGGTATCCGGACAGACACTATCGCGTCTCAGCTGATGAGATGAAGGTCAATCTCCAGGCTGCAGCCTCGCTTCGGAGTAACCATCCAATGTCTAGTACCTTTTAGGCTCGGGAGGAAGCCGAATCGTAAGGCTTGAGTTAGACTAGCGACTCCTGCATGGATCACTTCATCACAGTCGTATTTGGGGGCTATTGAGGGACCCGCCCGTGCTGTTGAGTGGTTGAATGATATGTTCTTCCAGGGTCTTGGCCATTGTAGATATTGAGTTGACACCACAGCCGCTGTCAGCCCGGGCAGGTCTATTGCAAGGACTTTGGTAAAGCCGGGGACTGACAGTCTCCACAAGGCCGTTGGCGTAGGGCTAAGCATTCATATCACATCGATACAACCTTATTAGACCGAGACGGGTTGCAGGAATCCTAGAGCAGGGGATGATGCAGTCATCTTTGGAAGTAACAGTATGTGCATGTGGCCACTGAACTCTACCATGCAGTTTCCCGTATGCTGCATTGGTACGGCGCAGCGGCGGGCAATTGACCGGCTGATGCGGATGGCGAATATTTTTGTTCCTGACTGCAAGTTATGCTTCATTGGACAAAAGTACCAACTCGGCCTCGGATGAATACATGCATCAACGCGAACCTATCGTCTGCCTGAACTCGAAGACATGAAGCTGAAGACTGTGAGACCACAGTGTATATCGATATTCCCCGCCTCCAAGTGTAATGATACGTTGCATACCGAAAACCTAGGTGATTATAAGTTGGCTTACGCACTTCGCTTCGGAGCAGCTGCCATCATCGACGTGACACCATCCCCAAGTTCCTCGTCATCCTACCTAATCAGAATACCTCAACTCTCTCAAAGCCAAACTTGAAATCCTCCACATTCAAGATGCTCTCCAACCTCATCAACCTTGTCCCGATGGCCCTCTTCGGCGGGGCCATGGCAGCCCCCAGTCCCATCGACCCAGCGGTACGCGTCTGCTACGCGACGGAGACGCCCAGCCAGCTGTGTTATACCGCACCTGACAACATCCCGCAAGACGTCCTCGTCGAGGACGTCCAGTTTATTGCGTCCTACCTGCGCTCGTACGGTGCCCAAATCAGGACCGGCCGCCTCTTCAACATGGCGGCTGCCGACGCGCCCGATTGCGGCGAGTGGCTCGTCTACGCCCACGGCACCGCACAGGCGTTCGCCAAGCACATCAACAACACCGTCAACTCGAGCGTGCTCTTTGCTGACATCGCCACCACCATCGACGGCGGCGTCGGTGCCAGCGAGGCCCAGATTGCTGCCTCCCTGCTTGGGTGCGGCACCGACGGCGGGTCGCTCGGGGTGCTCGTTGACACCGCCAACCCGACTTACTCGGGCTCGACCTACCCTGCCGGCTATGTCACCGACGGCATCATCATCAAGATTGTGGCTTCGGGAGCGTAAGGCTGGAGCTTGTACATAGAGACCGGGGTCCCTCGGGGAACCCTGGTTCGTGCAGATAGCGAATTAGTAGTCTTGGTGCTGCGCCCTTCCCGTGCCTCCCGTCTTTTTTGTGAACGGTTCCAACATCCTTCGCACTGCACCCTTGACATTGCATCCTTGTGGGGGCCGTCCAATGAAGCGACGGGAATCCGGTCACGTCCTTCCATTTTACCTGCATCTCGAGCATCAATGCTACCTCAACCATTGTGGTGCGGCAGCGAAGCTTAGCGATCTGTCCCCGGAACTCAGGCGGGACAAGGCGGAATAAGCATTCCCCCTGCATTGGCACCCTGGGATGATGAGCTTGTCAGCAACCTAAGCCAAACATGATTCCAGCCGGTGACCACCCCGAGGGATTTCTCTTTTTCCACGGCTTACATCTTACGACATGCAAGGCACACAGACACCCTGGTATAACAGAGTAAGCCGATCAAGATACGTGTTACCGCAACAGGAAGGTATCTGCTGTGCCTTTTGCTTGGCTTCCAGTTGCAGGGCTTCATCACGAGAACTATTCAATGTTACCTCACTTACACGATATTCCATTGCCTATTGATTCGCCCGTCACTCGCATAGGTCGGCAGAGACACACACTCAGCGTATAGAACTATCGAAAAAAAAGTCCCATTTCTGCGCCCCCGACTCGCATGGCAGATTTGTGCATCCTTAAAATTAAATCACAACGTCCTAAGCATACAAAAGTCCCTCCTTCAGATGACTTCTCGCGTTACATTCGGGTCTATGGAGGGCGAGTTCCTGACTCTATCAGAAGTCCGTGAATAAGGCCAGTCATGCTTGTGTCTGCCTGAGCGATTTCCAGTGCCATTGATCTTACCAATGCGTTTGCCCTCCCGCCGTTTATCTTCTTCGTCACTTCGTTGTTTCTCTCATCAGACCTAGGAACGCCAAAGAGAACCAAGCTCGGACTAACTCTGAGCGTATACGAGATGGCGACAAACTCCTTTCTTCTGGGCCTGTTGGCGGGCATCCTCCTTCTGTCATCTATGAACGTTGCGCATGCAGACCTGGTCATCACCGATGTGTTCACAGTTCAAACAGGGGGGGATAGCACCGGCGGCTGCGACGCCCGTCTGGATCCCTTGTTGGACGACTGGCTCACTGAATCACTTTTCAGTCTCACTGCCGCTATAGATGCGGTGGACGCCTATGATCGACGGTTTGAAGTCCGCTACGCCATGCTGGCATTCTTTTCATTCGAAATTCAGGACACAATTGGCACCCAACAGGAAAACCCAACCAGGTATCGTACCTGGGAGAAAATCAGACGTAAGCATTCTACACCAGCCTTGGCTCTTCCGATTTTACCACGGAAGTACCCGGCCCATCATGTCGTGTCTAGCTGACGTCGTGATCAGAGAATATGGCCGAGGTCAAGAATCTTTTAGAACACGACACAGTTCTTCCGGGCGGCGGTGATTTCAAGTTCCCCAAAGAAAGGTTCTGGCTCCATTGCCATAGTACCTTCCTGACGGAGCAGTCAAGTACGAGTCCAGCACTGGATTATGAGGGCAAAGAGATAAAGAAGGACGACAAAACCATCACCATCCAAGAGTTGGACGCTTACGAAAAAGCAATCGATAAGGAGCCAAATGCCAAACCGTGGTGGTCCGGCGTGAACACGGACCAGAACGGCTACTACTTCTCAGAGGATGGCCGCAACTACTGCCAGGGCGATAACCTCGGCACTACCGCGTCAATCAAGCTACTTAAAACCGAGGGCGGCCAAGCTGTGACCAAACCTGAGATAGCCTCCATCATCCTCTGTCCGTACGCCTTCGACAATACCAGGAACCCAGACAACTATCGCGATGCAAACGCCAAGCTGAAAAAGGACGTACGTCTGGAAGATGTCTTGCCCAAGAGTACAACCCTTGTCCACGAGGCCTTCCACGCCGTCCATGGGGACAAGTTCCTTGCGGGCAGCGATGAGAAATGTGCGTAGACTCCCAATCCATGTCTCCGTCTACGCGTTGCATAAATATTTGATCACTATGCTAACATGAGACGTTCCAGATGGCATCATCGAATGCTTGACGATGAGTGCTGAAAACCAACAGAAAAACCCCGAAAATTACGTCTTTTTCATCGCCTATATGAATCACAGGTACGGCAAGGTTGATGCAGGAGAAGAAAACGAACCTTGGGCTATTAACAAACTTTGGGAAATGGGGGTTGGGTCCAAAAAAGACAGATTTGGGGCGGTCAGAGAAGTGACTTTTATCAATGATGATGATTGAGGGGCATGGATAGGCGAAATCGACTTGGAGTTCTGTGTAGGCTGGATTGCCTCGTTATCAAGAAGAAGCAGTTTTGGTGCATTCAAAGCGCTATTCTGTCGGACTCGGCCGAATTGACTCATTTAAAGTTTGCAAACATTTGACAAGGCCATTTGTGCCTCGGCCACTGATCCCGTCCGAAGAGAGCATCTCAATGCTCTCGCAAATCAGAGACTGTACATCAGGACCCATATCGATGCCGTTGCGCGTATGCTGTAGTACTATTACCGCAGCGATGAATAACGAATGTGCCCGAGTCCACGTCAGATTGAAGACGAAATCAGCTTGGGATGACGCGGGAGTCGATGATCGGAGCAGACTACCCGCAGCACGCAGCAGTTCTCTACAAGACAACATTTCCTCGTCATTCGACACAAAAATCTGGCGGTGAGCATCGGCCGCAGCTTTAGCAAGTAGTAAAGCCTCGAATTGCTGAAATGTTCCGCAAGCCCTGAAATATTGTTGGAGGCCGGCATCGTCATGAGGTGCGAAGGACCCGATGAAAAGGGCGTCGACTTGTGTGTTCCATTTGTCGATCCAAATGCGGATTTCATGAATGTAAGAAGACATCCAGGAGCAGTCAGTCGTTCTGGACAAGCTGAGATTGTGTCCGGATGAAGTCCCGTGCTTGCCAATCATGTCTCGGTGAAAGCGACTCTTGAGCCGTGCAAGGTGGTACATCATTGATGGTAGGTCCATGTTCCCTGCTGCGGTCGATAGCCAGTCCGGCGAGCAAACCGACAGTGTTTTGACGTCTGGGAGCTGAGAAGGCCTGCCAAATGCTATCGCAGTCTCTGTCTCCAGGGAATACAGGGTGCGATAGAGCATGTCGGTATCGCCAGGTTCTGTCTGACCCGACCCGTGAACTTCGATGATGTCTAGGTACATCCGCGAGGCATGTCCCAGTACCCTCCAAAGATCAATGGCACTTGGACACAACCATGCGTAAATGCACAGAAGCAGCGTCGTTTGCAATGACTGGTTAGTAGGATGAATGAACAGGTCGTTGGAAGTACCACAAGACATGGCTTTGCCGAAGCAAGCATCTGCAAACACCTGCAGCCTTTGATCCACGGGGCTCAGCAGCGCCAAGGAAATAGCGAGTATGAAGTGTAGACGAGTTTGCGCCAGGTTCTCATACTCCGTCGTCGCGGAGCTGCCATTGTAGAATTGATCGAGGGTTTGATAGATGAGTTCTTGGCCGAGGATTGGATAGGTAATTTCGATGGACCGGTAGTAAAGTGAGGTTAGACTCTGCACCTCTGAGAATGGCAATATGCCTGTGATATCAACAGTGAGTGAGCTGCAAACGGATTCAAATAATCTTGCTACTTGAGGCGCAGATGTCGTTGCATCACTAGCCGCAGGCAAGAAAACAGACCCTTGGATGACGTTTGCTAGGCGAACATATGAGCTTGTGGCGCCGAAGAAGACCGTATCGCATGAGTTGTTTACGCCTGAAGGATTATGAAACAGAATACTCGACAGAGAAGAGTTCTGTGAACAGCTGGTTTGCGCGTTGTTTTGCAACATTGGATCATCTGGGGGAATGTTGCCAGATTCAGGAGAGCGTGATAGCTCCTCAGTCTCGTTGATGAGTCGTTCCGCGTGTTGAATCAGGGCGTGAAGATGTCTGTGTTTATGTTAGCCATTTATCTCTATCATTCTTTCGTGGGAAGCATGACCGTACTTCCGCGAAGTCTCTTCACCCAGTGCGTTATCCCAGTAACAACAGTCCTTGCGAAGCTCTGTGCAATTTCTACATGCCGGGATATCCGTGTCACACTTGATCCTTCTTCGCTTGCAGTGAGAACATATCGGTATTTTCTCCATTGCATTCCTGAGTTGAGCTTTGTCAACCATGCTTGCCGGTATTCGTTCTGGTAATATAGAAGTAGGCCTTAGAGAGGGCGCCGGCTGTTGACTGATTTCTTGTTGGGTATCTTCTAGGTCAATCGCTGTAGCATCAAAGCCCTCGATATTTGAATCGTCAAACAAATTGAAAAACTCAAGAATGTCGGCGCCATTCTCAAATGAGAGGGAGTCGGCTCCAAAATCGGGGAACATCGCGTCCAATGTCGGGTGAGCTGACGTATCTACCGGCTGCTCGCGGGCATAAAGAACGTCTGCATTCTCTCTCAACACCAGTTCCTTAAGCTGTCTGGCTTCGACTCCCAGGCTCGAGTCCGAAGAGTTGTCGTCTCTGAAGAAGCTTAACGGTCCCTTTCTTTAATCGGTCGAACAGAATACCACATTGTTGGGCTGCCGGCCGTTGCTTGGCAAGGAGTATCTACTTGACTCAGTATTGGGGCTCTGCCAGAGGACATGGGGGTTCTACGTACGAATATGCTGGATATCTGGTGCACAACCTCAAAGATTTGCGCGATTGTGTAATTTCTGCGGATAAGCGAACGATAGTGCCACAAAGCATATAAAATCAGATTTCCAGCTTCGTAGCAACGATGAGTCGCGTGCCATGGATCGTCCAGATCATTGGAGATGATGAGCTCCCAGTATCCCATCACAGTGCACACAGCAGCTCTGAAGTATTTGAGAACAGACGCCTCAGCTGGGTTGGGGTTGCGCGCACAGGGCATATGGAGGATAAGCATCGTGTGGCACTCCATAGAGTTGCTCATACTGGTGGAAACCACTCTAGCTTTGATCTCCTGGACTCGTTTCTCGACGTCAACTAGCCAATCCTCGTACGAGATGTTGCTCTTAGAGATTGGACGCATTCCGATATTGACAGAACAAATTTCCGATTGGAGTCTTAGGAACTTGAGGGTATCATTGAACCCCAATTTAGAATGGGGAGCTAGAGGCTGGTCGTGTGACTCGTCTGAAGTGTGCAATATTAGTGAACCGTTGCAATCTGGATCATGCTCGGAAGAGGGAAAGGGGAGATGAATTTGGTCCCCTGCCACAGCTAAAGGCCGATGAGATGTGATTGCAATTGATCTCTCAATGCTGTAAAGCTAAGAAAGAGTTATTCGTATTAAATCCAGCCAAGAAAGAAGACTTACTGTCCAGTACAGCCTCTTCCGATAATCAAGGATCTCTTCAGTCATGCCGCATTCTGACGTGGTGTCTTGGTGCAAACCGAGCCCCAGAGCAACTCGTGCCGCATCTCCGACCACCTGCCAGAGGTTTGTAGAAGCAGGAAAGAGAAAGCCGTACTGAGCAATCAGCAAGAGTTGCTGGATTGTTGTGGTCGTAGCTTTAGTCAAGCTCTGTTCCCAATCCAAACGTGCGAAAGCATCACGCCTTAGCGACTCCGCTACTGAGACCAGTTTTCGGTAGTCTCTAGCCTTTGAGGTGAGTGTTCCGATAGCCATGACCATGCATATTGTGAACTGTTCCTCTGACTTGACCTCCGCCTGATTGTTATCGGATTCTTTGAAGCGCTGGAACATTTCGAGCATTTCCTGCCTTGAGAATAACGGGTAGTGAGGTAGAATACGGTCGACATATACAATCATAAGCTGATTTGCAACTTTTTCTGGCAACCGAGTAAACGAATTTCCGTCATGGGTTGGAATGTTGACTGCGCGTTGTTCTTGAAATGCCAGTGGAAAAGGAAGCTCTGCGCCAAGGAAGTATGCCCGAGAATACGGCAGCTTATGCTGATGATCCTTTTTCATCGATACTAAGGGCTCGCTTTCTCGCGCGGCATTGGCGGCCAACTCATACGCAGCAGTGATATTGGCAGTCGAGGTATTGGGGTTATCCAGAACGGGGCTTGTGCCAGTCTGTTGCGGTCGCATGTGTGCAGGATTTGAAATCGAACCTGCCTGCCCTGTGACCAGTGCCTCTCTTTCGAGTTCTAATTGGGCAACGACATCTTCAAGATACGAGACAAGACTTTGTCGGATGAAAGCTGTCAGTGAGCGGAGTCTGACAAAACGGATGTGTGCGTGTGGTTTGTTTACCTGCGAGGAGCCTCCGTCTCGGAACCTCTATCAAGACCTACGCATTGAGCCTTCGCACTGGTACATTGAGCGCATGAAGGATAAGTTCGATCGCACTTTTCAACGAATTAGTTGCTGTCGAGACATTTCCCCGTCAGATTATGGAAATGGACCCGCCTTCTTCTTCCTTTTGTAACATCGCGCGCAGGAGTAAGAGGATCGCGTGCTTCTGACCATGATGTTATAGAGTTGACTTCTGTTCAAGCCCGCATTAGGTTGCGAAGATGTAACCAAACAGAAGACAGCACTTCGGGTGCAGGTCGAGGACTGGGCCAATATATAGTCATGTAGATAGGTACGGACATCCCTCCTCAAATCTGGCACAAGGATGCCAAGGGAGGGGCTACTGATACCCGGGGTAATGTTATCAGTACCGGACGCTCCGACCTCGGATACAACCCTATCTTGATCGGCGACAACTAGACAAGCAAAGTGAATTGAACATGCAAAGCACTATTGAGTTATGCCGGTAGATTCTGCAATCGCAGAAGTTTCAAAGCATACGAGAAAGCTCCAAGAGATCATCAAAGTTTATTCACATCCGTTTACTTTCCCAAAGCCTTCGTATCTCCCGCAACGCCGTCAATAGCCTTCTCTTCATTGGAAATGACGGATGCCGGTGAAGCCTCGACTACTTCCAACGTCTTGCTCTCTCGTCTTGTCAAGTACCAGACACCAAGTGTCGTCACAAAGAGAGACGCCCCCATGCACATCATGGCAATGCTTCCCTCCATCCAGTCTGGCCCCTGGGTGGCGCTGTAGAAGATAAGCGACCAGAACATGTAGACAGCAATCGCAAAAGTGTTCATCGCTGCGAGAATTACAGCACGTTTAGCGTCGTCCTCGCGCGTGACGGCATTCGCCCAGGCAAATAGCACTGTCTGGCTAGCATACTGACAGCCATTGAGAGATAGGGCAAAGAACTCTGCCCCTCTCGTGGGAGGTTGCAACATGATGGCTCCCGAAACAATGGCTGTGGAAGAAAGGATGATCCCAACGTGCCAGTAGCGCTTAGTGAAGTCTGAGTACCAGCCAAGGAACAGCGTAGCAACAATGCCGACTCCAGCAACGCCGGTCGGGATATAATTGACCTGCTCCACGCTATAATCGCCGGTTGATGAGAGCCAAAGATTCATGATGGCGTTTGTGGAGAACATTTCCGTGTTGCTGGCGAAGATCCATAGGAAGACAAAGCCCAGCCAGTGCCACGTCTTCAGGATGCGAGATACCAAACTCCAACCCAGAGTACCCCTATTTTTCTTGACTTCGGGGAGGCGATCGACGGCGAGTCTCTTCTCCTCATCAGTAAGCCACCAGGCGCGGGTAGACGTCGGGGTGTCCGGAAACGCGATGAAGCCATACAGCGCAACAGGCAACGTTATGCAGAAGTCGATGATGAATAGCCACCGCCATCCGGGCAGGCCGCGAACACCATCTGCAGCGTACACGTTAGTACTCTACGAGAAATACATGATGAAAGTCTTAACAAGACTCTTGTGGATACCTTCTTGCAAGAATCCAGAGAACATGGTTCCAGCCAGGCCGCTGCTAGTGAAGATGGCTGTTCTCTTGCCGAGTTCGTCCTCCCGATACCAACTGCCGAGAATGTAATGACACCCAACAAAGGTTGATGATTCGAATACCGCCTGGAAGAATCGCAAGATCATAATCTGCCATGGGTGGTGGACAAGACCCGTTCCAAGTGTCAAAAGACCCCAAGCGATCATGCAGGCGGGAAAGTACAGGCGAGGTGGCAGCTTTTGCAACGCAAGGTTGTTGGGGATCTGTCCTAGCACATAGCCTCCGTAAAAGACTACGATCATTATCCACAATCGTTGTCAAAGTCTAAAGAGACGGGAGAACTCAGTATACTGCTTACTTGTGTTGATAACGTTTAGTTGATTGCCTTGGAAGTCAAGGTCCTCTCGCATCCCGGTTACATAGGCATTATTCAGGTTCATAAGATCGAGATAGTTAACCCAATACTGTTAGCTCCTATCAGCCATGTTTGGATCGTTGAAGATAGTACGCGAGGCACGTCTTACCATGAGACAACAAAAGGACAAGATGACGGTGTCAAGCTTGACGATAAGTCGCCGTTCAGCGCTGGTCGCTGCAGGCTTACCCCACACGATTTCCCGAAGCTTCGTCATGACAAACATGGCAAAGGCTTGGTGGACAAAAATTGGTGGCTGTTACTCGAAATCGTTTCGGTGAACGGTTCCCCGAATGGGTTTCCTGGAACCACTTCAATAATTAAAAGTTGATGGCCTGCTCAGCCATGTGTCTCCATGACTGTCTCGGGCTTGCGGTGAAGTTCGGGTTCTCCACTTCTGTGTCGGATTAGAGCGCGCGCTATCTTCCCGTATCTCCTCACATCACATCGCTCATGCCACGACCCAGGATGCGATTAGCCGGGGGCAGTCGGAGAGCGGCCGCTATCAAGTCGGCGTGCACACCAGAGTATTAGCAGCACAGAATTGAAGATTTCGGGTTAAGCCGCCCTACTCGCCACCTTGAGGAGCGTATGAGACGTCCAAGGAGATCCCCCAGTCTGAAGACAGACCGGCAGCGACCAAATCATCTGTTGAGCCGGGAGCGCACGTCACCAACAAACTAGAACACACATCAAATTAGCACAGTCAAAATGCTCGATATCACCGTTGCTGGAAATCATCACGAGGTGAGTGTTTCCCCTGACTACTTCGGGGGTTTTCAAGTGATTAATCTGAATGCACACGCAGATTGGTTTGGCAGTCGGGCAACAGGCTGCAGCACAAGTTGCTGGGTCCATTGACTTCTACCGTGTGTTGTTTAAAGCTTTCAATGATCTGGAATGGTCCACTGTCAGGGAGCGAACGTTGGAGTTCGTGCCTCATCTCAAAGCCAAGTTTCCACGCTACTACGAAGAAATGGAAGGAATCGCAGAGGGAGCCGGAGTAGACATTCTCGATATCGTTGCTCTGAACATACGAAGTGAGATCGCTTTTGGGCATTTTGAGGAGAACTCAAGACGGCCCATGGCGATCGCCGCGGTTGATGCAGCAGTGGACGGATGCACCACTTTAGGCTGGAAGACCCCCGGCGGATCGACCTTTCTCGCACAGAATTGGGACTGGAAGAGCAAGAAGAAGCCCAATCTAATCATTCTGCGTGTCAAGCCACGAGGCGTACCGGACATGGATCTGCCTGCTTTCCAAATGATCACCGAAGCCGGAATTATTGGGAAGATTGGCTTCAACGAGCATGGTGTTGGATGCCTGCTCAACGGCATCCGTGCCAAAGGCGTTGACCCGGAACGTATGCCGATCCATTTTGCCCTTCGTACGATTCTCGAGTCCAAGTCAAAGAGAGAGGCATTGAACAAGATCGAAAGCGTGGGATTGGCCGGAAGCAGCCACATTCTGATGGGAGGCAACACTGGTCCGACTGGTCTTGAGTGCACGAGCATTGGATACAAGGAGTTGCCGGCTGATGGACAAGGTCGTGTTGTGCATGCGAACAACCTGATTCTGGAGCATGAAGGTGTGTTTGAGCCACTCTGGCTCGAAGATTCACCGAAACGTACCGCCCGCATGCAAGAACTTGCTACCCCCCGAAGTTGGCAAGAAGGCTGGCTTCGATACTTTGCTAGAGTTGTTCAAAGATGAGCAGAACTTTCCGGCATCCATAAACCGGAAGCAGTTTGGAAACAACGACTCCAACACACTTTTCAATGTAGTGTATAATCTGACGGAGAGAAAGGGCGTCATTTCAATGGGTCGAACAACGGAGATTGAGGAGAAGATTGAGATTGGATTTTGATTTTGTAGCAAGTAGAGCAGTCAGGCTGTAGTCTAGTCGGCCACCCGTCGGGCGGCTACAAACACCTAATCGCTATCATCTCAAATCATTGTTTCTGTATAATAGCCACTCTTTAGTTTCACGTAAGCGGTTGAACAAGCTCCGGGATGGGGAGATTGAGTCTTCAAGTACCAACCGAAGTCGCAGTACTTGACGGCGGAGCAATGCGCTCCCAAAAAGCCCACATAGTGTTTCCAGAATTGTGCCCGCGAACAGGGTAAATTTTGCCATAGAGTTTTTGCGGGGAGGGGGGGCTGCGTCGTAACTACAAACTCAAGCTTCATATCTGCCATGTCTTTCTGCAGGATCGTAGTTCCAGTCGCCCAAGCTGTGGGGAGCAGTCAGCCTGTGCTGGCTTGAATGATTCAACCGGAACTGGATAGGCTGTTGATATCCACGACATCGAACGACCGCTGACAAGGTTTCATCGTGGCAAAGATTTACATTGAGTTGCTGAAGGAATTTGAGATCTCCGATTGAGAAAGATACCTCTAGTCACTAGAACTAACACCGGCTTGCATGGTTTACCCCTGGCAACGTTCCTGCCTTGAACTCGTCGCAAACTTGGGCCATGGTAACGAACTCAACGCCTTCCTTCGTCTTCAAATACTCAATGAATCGCTCGTGCATCAACATGACGTTCGACTTTCCGCTAACCTGCGGGTGACAGCTGACACAGAACACAAAGGTGTCATACTCTCTGTAGAAGAAGTCAAATTGATCCTTCCACTGAACCTCGATGTCGCGTGGGTTGACAAATCCATGCGTCCCAGGACGCCTGGTGTAGTTCATTGGCGCTATGTGCGGATGTTAGCAAGTATTCGGAAGAGCGAAAGAGGATGAGACGTACGCCAGTCGTCCACGTTCCATGAACCAGGGATCTCAAACACCTTGGTGGGCTTGTGCTCTATCATAGGCACCATCCAAGTATCCGGATCTTTGGAGTAGTCGGTGTGCACCAGCGACTCATCGGGAACGTCCGCGACATAGTATGGCTGGCAGTCATGATGCAACATGGAATGGTCATACTCGATGCCCAAGTCCTCCAAGATGGACATGGTCTTGGGACTGACCTCCCAAGCAGGGGCCACCCATCCCTTGGGATACTTGCCGGTGAACTTCTGGTAGACCTCGATGGACTTGGCCATGACCTTTCTCACTTGCTCTTCGGTCAGAAACCGCACAAACTCGTGCGTGTAGCCATGCAAACCACTGGATCTAGCGTGTCAGACTATTGTTGGGACTCAAAGAGCGAACTTGCGAAGAAGGCCATACATTTCATGTCCTGCATCTCTGATTTTCGCCATCTGGTCAGGGAATGACAGGATGGTGTGACTGGGCATGTACCAGGAAGCCTTGATGTTATTATCGGCAAACAGCTTGAGCATGCGGTCGGTACCGACATTTGCCCCATAACTACCCCTGGATACATCGGTTGCGCCGATTTTAGTTCCGTCCCTGGTATTGATCCTATGAAGTCATCTCCAGTCAGCCGAATACTGTGATCTCTGAAGTTGCAAAACGCATACCAGTTCGCGCATGCGTCGACATCCACAGCGTATGTGACTAAAGCTCGTTTAGGAGGCATGATGTTAAGTAGTGAACGGACGGTGTAGAGGAGTTTGAGAAAACGTTGATGCCCGTCAACAAGATAAGAGAGACTGCTAAATACGTACAGGACGTATGCATATTCTGTGGCATGCTGTTTCTCAATTTCTATTTAAGTCATCCTGACTGGAAATCCACGGACAAGGGGCCGATAGCTGTCGGAGTTGCGCGCGTGAGTGCGTCACAATCAGCGGGGTTGCTGGGTGGGGCTTGGGCGGTTTAGTCCGACATCCTCATGTCCGAGACGTTCCCCAAACCCTCCGTCGGATTGTATACCTCCGAACCCTGTATTCATGATAGGATCTGCAATCGCAGGCAACGGGAGTGGCCTTCGCCGATCGTCTCATGATGTAGATATCATGCCTTGACAACTGTTCATCTCACAGGACTGCAAGAGGTGCCAAGATCACCCTCAACACACACCATGGAAGGCGGTTCCTCTTTTGGCGGACGTCAGATCGCTATCACGGTTCGTCCCCTATCCTAAACTCCTAGAAGTTTCGCTAAGATGGTCTTGAAGGGAGGTTGTTCCGGCATTGGGCTGGCGGTTGCCAAGACACTGCTTGCACTTGGAGCGACCGTCTATATCGCCGATATCTCTTCGCAAGATTCAGGTGAATTGAACAGCGAAGAGAACTGCCATGTAAAACTTGGATGTGGTGTGACAACCCGAGAGGATTGCAAGTCGTTCTTGGATTCTATACCTGGCCGACTCGATGGGCTGGTAAACTTTGCGGGCGTTTCGGGCTGGGAAGGCAAAATCGGAACCGACGCGATATATAAACGAACCATGGACGTCAACGTCACCGGAACTTGGAACATGGCAACTCAAGCGGTGCAAAGAATGATGGCTCAAGAAAACATCGAAGCGCCAGGCACGATTCCGGGGTCAGTTCGCAGCGTAGGCCAAGGCTCTATAGTCAACGTCGGAAGCGGTGCTTCTCTTCGTGGAGTATCTGGGCTGGCGGCGTATACTGCCTCAAAGCATGCTGTTCTCGGCCTAACGCGTGCATGGGCACGAGATTTCCCCAAGTTGCGTGTAAATATGGTTGCTCCTGGTAAGCATCTTCATGCACAACCTCCAGGAAGTTTGCATTAGAGTCATTGACGATCGCCAGGCGCAACTGATACTCCACTAGCCGAAGCTACTGTTGCTGGTGCTCCGCAGGATGATCCAAGCGTTGTCATCGGGAAAGCCCAAATTGCGGCCATACCAAAAGGCCGCATGGCGTTTGCGACTGATATTGCGGACGCAATCATATTTCTGTTGTCAGACTGGTCTAGCCTCATTACTGGCCAATGTTTGCCAGTAAATGGTGGGAATCTGTGAATCCTGTAGAAAACGACCAATCAATCCAAGTGCCAATATTCATTACGTTGTAACCCGAATCTGAAGTGTTGTGGTTTACTTGGTGGAAAATGCAGTCGGAAATAACCGCGCATTTCGTATCACGTCGGCCTGCCCTCCGATAGGGTTGTATCAAAGTCGTGTGAAGCCGCGAAATGAGAATCTGTATTCTTCTTCTTACTCTTTGCTCTTTTGAAACTCGGCTTTTTTCTTCTTCTCTTCCTTAGATTCCCAAGATCCACAAACATCATTCGGCCCTTCTCATGGATCACAAACTTACGACTGGAAAGGTCGCCATTGTTACTGGTGCAGCTGTGAGTATGATTGCAGATACGAAAGCTGAAGATTCTGGCGATAACAAGATTACAGTCCGGCATCGGAAAAGCTCTCGCGACGAACCTCATTACCAAAGGATGGCGCGTCGCATGTTGCGATCTCCAAAAAGACGCCGGCAACGCCGTCGCTAGCGAGCTTGGCGACCACGCTGTGTTTTACGAGCTGGATGTTTGCGATTACGACGCCCAGGCGAAAGTCTTCAGCCAAGTCTGGGATAGATGGGGTAGGCTCGACGCCTTGCTGGCTAATGCAGGACATTCAGATCGCGGCTCGATTTACATTTTCGATCACAGAGGCAAAGACGACATACCGCCCAAGCCTGCTCTGAAGTCTATCAAGGCATGCTACGAGAGCTTTCTGTATGGTGTTCAGCTTGCTATCCACTTCATGCGTAAGAATTCAGTGCCTGGAGGACATATAATTGCGACTTCAACCATTGCGTCGATTCATCCCCATCAAACGTTCCCGGAGTACTGCGGAGCCAAAGCCGCGGTAGGTTCATAGCCTCAATCATCCGCTGGCGACCACCTTTCTGATGACACTTTGAAAGATCAACCAATTTGTCCGAACAGCAGCACCGCTCCTCAAACTGGTTTGGTCCCTATTCCAATCGCACCATGGGTGTTTGGAATCTCATGTGTGCAATTGCTAACGTTCCCTAGAAAGAGAACATCGCCATGAATGCCGTGATTCCGGGTATTGTAATAACAGGTGCCGTTCCGCAAGCGTCTATCGACGCGACGAAGCCAGAGCAGTGAGACATCTTTGAAACTTGAAGAGCAGAGGCTTACCAGAAACATAGCATCACGCCCATCGAGACAGTCGTAACAGCATACAATCTATGCCTGGATGATTCGGAGGCGAATGGCCAACTAATTGAATGTTCGGGTAACAAGACTATTGCCCTGCCTGTACCGGAGATGGCCAATGGTGCGACAACAAAAAGGGCTTGTACAGTGTGGGAACCTCTCTTTGAGGTGAAGCACCACGAGAGATCCGGGTTACCAGATGCAATCCCATAGATGGGCGGGCGTTATCATGTGTGTCAGATAAGAAACAAAACTCAAACGTCACTGTGTCAATTCTCCATGGATGATGGTAATATTTGGTGCTTCTCTGATATCTCTACTCTTTGGCTGCGAAGACCTTCTGTGTAGATACAGAAGGATCTGCTCGTACAAGAGACCAATTGCCTCCCGGGAAAATGAGTTGAGCTTCGGAAACCGTAGTTGATGTGGTTTTAACCACGACTGGCTCTTCAATCACACCATCTTGCCAGTTGAACGAAACGAGCCAGCCGCCCTTCGTCCTGACGCCTGTGAGCTGCCCCCGAGCCCAGTCCTTCGGACACGAGGGCAGAAGTCGAATCTCAACTGTATTGGCATCAATGATGAACGACTGGACGAAGCATTCGAGAATGCCACCACACCCACCAAAATTGCCATCAATCTGGAACGGTGGGTGGCTGTCCAGCATGTTTGGCAACGTGGAGCCTTTGAGCAAAAGATCCATGTGTTGTCCGCAGCCTTCAGCATCCAGGAGCCTGGCGTGAAGGTTTAACAGCCATGCTCTGCTCCAGCCTGTGTGTCCACCTCCGTGAGCAGCCCTTCTCTCGAGAACGTTCTTTGCCGCAGCTGCCAAGTCTGGAGACCTGGAAGGGCTGATGCTCTCTCCAGGGTAGAGTCCGAACAGATGAGACACGTGGCGATGACCTGGCTCCTGCTCTTTGTAGTCTTTCAGCCCCCACTCTTGGATCAAACCGTCGGAATTGATCACCAGGGGTGGAAGCTTTGCAAGGACATCTTCCACTTTAGCTCTAGGCGGATTGTCTCCACCTAGAATATTAGTGCTCCAGAGGAACTTCTCGAATGCGATTCGAATGATGGTCATATCTATAGCTGAACCCTCGCATAAAATACCCGGCTCTCCCGTCTTCGAGAGAAATGTGTTCTCAGGAGATAGAGATGGGTTGGTGACCAGATACCTCCCACAGCCTGAGGGTACCAGGTATTCTAGCAGGAACACAATCGCACCCTCCAAGACCACTGCTGCCCTTTTGTGAAGGCCTTCATCGTATTGGTACTGCAGCATTTCGAAGATGTCGATACATACCCAAACACCACCTAGAGGCCAAATAGTCGACGGCATCCACCGGTCGTGAGGGTCTGTGTCGGCCCATATGTCGGTGTTGTGATGAGCACACCATCCTTCACATCCATACATGACTCTCGCAGTATTTTTTCCCCTCTCGGCCATTCTTTCTAGAAGCTCAAGGACGGGAATGGCGCATTCGACGAGGCTGCACGGCGCCGCTGGCCAATAATTCATCTGCAGGTTGATGTTGATGGTGTATTTTGAACCCCATGGCGGTGCAAAAGATGGGTTCCAGATGCCCTGCAAGGTTGCTGGCAAGGCCTTCTTGGAGTTTCGGCTGCAAGATATGAGTAGATACCTTCCATAGTTGTGGTATAGAGCAACTAGTCCCGGGTCTCGACTGTTCTTGATTCGTTCGTCTGTGGGCAGATGGCTTGCGTCGGGCGACATCCGCAAACTTGTCCGGTTGAAGAGGCCAGCATAGTCCTGTTGGTGACGTTCAACCACGTCACTCCATTGGTGGCTCAACGCTTTGAGTACATCGTCCACAGCGGCGGTCTCGGGTTCCTCAGCTCGAAATGTTGTTTGAGCACCAATGATTATGGTGCATGAAGTCGAATTGACTGTCAGTGCATTGCCAATGGCCCCCACGGAACCCTTTGCATCGTCGCAAGACACACCCAACGCTATCGCCAAGCGGTTGCTATTATGGCCACCAGGAGTCGCCTTGAGAACAATACGTCCATTCGTCGCGTCGATGCTGTCAAGGAACTCGTTCGTCTCATACTCAATCTCGCTAAGACGGTTCAGTCGTACGACGAAACGAATGGCCTCGGACGCAACGATTCTGAACGCCAGCACATTATCCGGGAAACTCGCAATGGCATCTCGACGGTACGAGACCCCCCGGCATCGATATTCAACGGTCGTCTGAGCTGTTTCGAGACACAGGTATCGGCGATAATCAGTGACATCCTCGATGGCGTGGCCGAACTCGATGGTGCAAGTGCCGAGAGGTTCATAATGGCGCATGCTCGCAGGCGTCGCAAAGAACGCCTCGCGCACCAGCGACTCGGCCTCGGCGTGCTTTTCATCTCGGATGAGTTGTCGGAGCTTCGGCAGGTGGCGGAGGGCGTCTTTTGGGGTCCTGTCCTGCGGACCGCCGTACCAGACCGAGTCTTCGTTCAGTTGGAGAAGCTCGG